TGAGTAAAAGGTGGGAAGTGAAAGTGGCAAGTGGGAGTGGGAAGTATAAAATGGAAGGTGGGACTGGGAAGTGAAAAATGGGAGTGGGAAGGATAAAGTGGAAGGTGGGTGTGGGAAGTGAAAAAGTTACAGAATCGACTCCCAGGACCCTTGAATTTACTGAGGAATCGTCCATAAACTAATATGAAGTAATGAGCTGTAAATTGTAAAATTAATAATTTCTAATCCAGATGTTATTACATAACCAAGACAAACTCTAAAAATCTTCGGTTTATTTATATCCAACCGAGAGGCTAACTTCTGTTATTAACAGATTTTCAATAATCCCCTGCAGTTTCTCATGCCCTTGTGCTCCACGAACCGTAACTTACTTATCTTGAAAGCATTGCATTGTTGCATTTTCTCAATTCTTCGATTACATGTTTGGGAACAATTTTCAAAAGCACACGTGTTTCTTTTCCGCCCTCACACCTTCTGTATGATCCTCAATGTCCAGTTGAACCTTTAATTGAAAGTTGTACTTACTTTGATATAAAAAAAAATTAATTCGACTTTTTTTTTAAAAAGCGAGGGACAAAGGAAATGAAGACTTAAAGCAAACTCATAGATGGCGTAGGTGGAGTTAAAGAAGGGGGAGGTCAGTTGTACGTGGTTACTCGTCCCGCGGTACCTACAATACATCATTTTCGGCTGGGATGATCTTACGGTAGATTTACCATTTGTACAGTTTATGGGCGTCGGTCTGGGCCATAAACTTGGCGACCCGACTGGGTTAGCTGGCTTCTGGAAACTCGAATCACCAGGGGGTTGAAACTGGTAGGACATGGAAAGAATTTCCAGTTCGTGTGCAATAATGTTCTTGTATTAACGATCTTTACAAAACTGTTCTCTCTCAGGAATTTTACTTTACTATCTTGAAATTGACGTATCACAATATATTCTAGGGCAAAAGGGTTAGTAATTTAACAAATTTCCGCAAAGTTGGGAAGTTGGTAAACAAATTTTTAAAAATCTTTCAACGGTGTTGGGCAGTTGACAAAAAATGACTCATTTGTCAACTGACCAACCTTGTTGAATAAATTTTTTTTTAAATTACATCCAGCAAGGTTGGGCAATTGACGAAGCGCATTTGGAAAATTACTTAACGAAAGTAAAGGGTTATTGTGTTTCGGCCTTTATCCACTACTGGTCGCCATCTTGAAAATATAATGCCAATTCTACAATTGTCAATTTTCTACAATCTCCTCGAAAGTCAGTAAAATAAGTCCCCCTTAATACTACCCCGTGGTGCAAATTATCGAAGTACAGCTCGAACTCTGCTCGAATATCGTCACCATGGAATGTACGTGTGTGTATATGTGTTTGTGTGTGGAGGCAAGGAAATTAAATGCGCAGTCGGCCGTTACCAGTTGATTGATTCGTAGGTTCTAATCTACTCGACATTACGAGGAAGTGTACTAAACTGCAGGATTTATGTTCTTCACTAATTGTCACGTCCAACTGCGCCTCTGGCAATTGATCGTGATTAGTTCTCGCGTCGTGTATAACTGAAAGTCACTAATTGACATTTACTTCAACAATTTTGCGCGCTTATACTAATGAAAGATCATTCCACCTGCACTTGAAGTTATTGACCTTGGAATTTTCTTTTCCTTTCCCAATTCTGGAGATTTGAACTATTTGAACAAAAATTCTTTTATATCTGTCACATTTGTAGAAATTTTCATTTCATGTTTTTTATAAATAATTTTCGATACTTAATACCGGGTGTAATATCGGGTGTAATACTGAAGAAAGCGGGTATAGTATGAAAAAGTTAGGCTAGAGGGCAGTAAGTTACGGATGCCTAAAATAGAAAAAAAAATCTGTATCTTTATTTAATTTTGGGTCCTTTATGCTGTTTCTACAATAACTTTTTTCTATCGACACAAACTGAAAATTTATGCGAACGCATTGTGTTGATAGTTTATTTTGTTTAAGTAAAAGCTTCGGTCAAAGTTACCAGTGGCGTAGGAACCGGGGGGGGGCAAGGGGGGCAGTTGACCCCAGTTATATACATATTACATTGTTAAATATATCTATATAATTATTTAGTTTGCCCCCCCCTGGAAAATAATTCGTTCCTACGCGGCTGAAAGTTACCTTTTAAAGTTGGTAATTTGTATCTTGCTATAATAATTTTTTACTAATTTGGCAAATTTAAACTAAAATGCTTTAATTCCCTTAATTTTCTGTCTTTTATTTTTAATAATTAGAAAACAAGGAAAAGTTTCAAAATAGATAAATTCGTTTAAAAGTGTTAAGTATGGTTAAGTATTTCCATCTAGTGAAGAAACATCAAAACTGAATATACTTTATCGACCGCATAGTTACCATTGAAGGGTAACTCTCAAATTTCAAACGGGAGATTCCCCAAGTTGTGTTGACCCAATATGCTATAATCTGTGCAGTTTTCGATGATAAAAGAGAAATCTGTAAAATTCAAAAGTTTTAAATTCTTTATTCACTGTTGGTAAGTCGATAAGTTAGTTATTATTATTATAATTATTAAATAATAATAATTAAATAATTTCAATTATTCGTCAATTCTTCATATTAAAACTAGGTTAGAAAACAAAAACTTAAAATAATAAAAAAAATTCAATTAAACTTTTTCAAAAAAATTAATTTCGAAATACAATTATTTCTAAAAATTCACGATATATTGCTTTTATTATTCAATTATAATCTAAAATTTTAACTGAAATTCATATTTAAATCAATTTTTATTAGAAAATCCAATACGAGAATTCAATTATTTAAATACAAATAAAATGCAAATAAATAATTTATTGAATAATGGAATGTTTCTTAAAATTTATTTTTCATAAAGAATTTTATCAACAAATTTTTAAATAATTCAATTCTCTCCACAAATTTTAATAGGATACTTAAGAATAATTAAATACTTTAGACGAACTATAATAGCATTTTTAAGAATAATTGAATTCTTTGCAGGAATTCAATTAAAATTGAACTGAATATAATTGAATTTGATTTTTTTCAGATTTTTGTAAATAATTGAATTTTGGCAAAGAATTTTATTACCTACCTTTAAAGATAACAGAATTCTTGTAATGAATTCTTTTGTTATTTATGAAAATAATTGATTTTTACAATGAATTTTATTAAAATTTCTAAAAATAATTGAATTCCCAAAAAGAATTTTATTTCTTTTCAAAATAATTGAATTTTGCATTGAATTTTCTTAAAATTCCTGAAAATAATTGAATTTCTAAAAAAAATTTTATTACTTTGGATATAATTTAATTTTGCATTGAATTTTCTTAAAATTCCTGAAAATAATTGAATTTTGCATTGAATTTTCTTAAAATTCTTTAAAATAATTGAATTTCAACAAAAAATTTTATTACTTTGGAAACAATTGAATTTTGCAATGATTTTTATTGAAATTTCTGAAAATAATTGAATTCCCAAGATATATTTTCTGTCTTTTGAACATAATTGAATTTTGCATTTAAATTTCTTAAAATTCCTGAAAATAATTGAATTTCTCCAAAAAATTTTATTACTTTAAAAATAATTGAATTTTACCTTGAATTTTCTTAAAATTTCTGAAAATAATTGAATTTCTACAAAAAATTTTATTAGGTACTTTGAAAATAATTGAATTTTGCATTGAATTTTCTTAAAATTCCTGAAAACAATTGAATTTCTACAAAAAAAAATTTTAACAGTAGAGATAATTGAATTTTGCATTGTATTTTCTTAAAATTTCTGAAAATAATTGAATTTCTGCGAAAAATTTTATTACTTTATAAATAATTGAATTTTACATTGAATTTTCTTACAATTCCTGAAAATAATTAAATTTCCAAGAAGAATTTTATTTCTTTTGAAAATAATTGAATTTTACATTGTATTTCCTTAGAATTCCTGAAAATAATTGAATGTATACGAAAAATTTTATTACTTTGGGAATAATTGAATTTTGCAATGATTTTTATTAAAATTCCTGAAAATAATTGAATTTCCAAGAATTTTTTTTTTTTTAAATAATTGAATTTTGCCTTGAATTTTCTTAAAATTTCTGAAAATAATTGAATTTATACGAAAAATTTTATTACTTTGGAAATAATTGAATTTTGCATTGAATTTTCTTAAAATTCCTGAAAACAATTGAATTTCTGCGAAAAATTTTATTACTTTAGAAATAATTGAATTTTACATTGAATTTTCTTAAAATTCCTGAAAATAATTAAATTTCTACAAAAAAATTTTATTATACATTGGTAATAATTGAATTTTGTAATGATATTTAGTAAAGAATTCAACTTATTTTCAAAGATTTTAATTTGAAAGTTTTTCAAAATTCTACTAGAATTCAATTATTGAATTTTTCTTAAAATTGAATTCTCATAAAGAATTTTATTATAATAAATTTTTAAATAATTGAATTTTTTTGAAGAATTTTAATAAAATTTTTTAGAATAATTACATTTTTTCTTTGATGAGTTTTATATTATTTATGAAAATAATTAGAGAATTTTATTATATTTACGAAAATAATTGAATCCCTGTAAAAATTTTATTATTTATGAAAATAATTGAATGATTGCGAAGAAATTTATAAATTTCTAAATAATTAAAAATAATAAATAAATAAATAATAATAAATTTATAAATTTGTAAATAATTGAATTATTGCGTAGAAATTTTTATTATTTTATGAAAATAATTGAATTATTGTGAAGAAATTTATAAAAAATTTTGTAAATAATTGAATTCTTGTGAGATTTTTATTATTTATAAAAATATCGAAATGAATTATTTTAATCCTTTCTGATGTTAATTTAATTCCAGAGGGATAAAACTGTAGCATATTATTTTAACCCATTCTGATGTTATTTTAACACTTATTCATTTACCACGTAAATGCTTATTTTGAATCTGATTTAGATAAAAAAAAAAATTACCAAAATGAAGTAGAAACAAAGACATTATAATATATTAAACATTTATTATCATTTTTTACAATTTTTATAGTGAAAACGCTGTTTTCAATCTGCGTAAATCTTGTACAGAAAGATATTGAGTTACAAAATGAATATGAATACTTGAAATCTGAATATTAAAATTCCCCTCAACAAGTCTTTGTAAAGAATTTACGCACATGTCCATAAGATTCTTTCTCTCAATTCCTTCCTGAATGTTAACTTTCAAAAATTCGCCATATGCCGGAAAATTACAATAAGAATCTTCTAAACTCTTTAACAAATTCTCCCGTCCTATGTACATTGAAATTTTCTCAACAGACATTGTTAAAATATCGTAGAATGTCAAATTATAATCATCACAAACATTCGTCTCTTTCATTCTTCTTAATTCTTTCTTACACTCTTCTTCCCAATTCTTTCCTTTATATTTCGAAGTCTTTCGCACTTTATAGTCACCAATTAACAAAACAGAACGTGCAACAACCATTTTCATGATGAAAATTTGTTCTATTCCCAAACAACTTGTCATTAGTCCCAAAGAATTCCTCGTGTTACTAATTAACAGAATTGCTATTTTTAAATTATCTGGCATCAAAGTATATGTTTCCACAGGCGATAGAAGTTTTAATACAACATTGAATGGTGTTTTATTAACGAAGGGATCAGCACCAGCCTCGAGGAGAATTCTAAAATTATTCAACTGTCCCGAAATTGCCGCAAAATGCAATGGAGTGAAATAATTATCAGTTTGTGAATTAATCTCACATTTGGAATGTAGAAGCATTTCTAGAATCTTCGTAGTTTTAAATGTTGCCGCAATATGAAGAGGAGTTAAATTCATGAAACAGGAACCTACACAAAATTGATTTTTTAGAAGAAGTTTTAAAATTTCCGGTTGCTCCGTTTCCACTGCAATATAGACTGCTTGTTTTGCAATTAGGGGATTTTTTTCCTTGTCGGTTTTTAAAAGTTTTTCAACTTTCTCCAATCGACCGGATCGTACAGCTATATGAAGGGGTGCTTCCTTAGAAGAATAAATTTTCGAACTACACTTTAGTAACAACTTCCAAATTTCAACCTTACCTAAACTAAGTGATTCAATTAGTAAATTTCTACTCTCACTTTTCACTCCGAAATTAATGAAATAGTTCAAAACATCGACATTGTTGTTAATAACACACGCGAAGAGTAACTCATCGTTTTTTTCAATCAACAATCGAAGTGATGGGAAATTTTCCGAAAAATATTTAATTACCTCCAAATTACCGAATTTCATCGCTAACTCGAATGGGGACATCAAACATTTGTCCTTGACACTAAAAGAATTTGATCCACAGCTCATGAGCAGTTGAACAATACTCAAATTTCCGTTAACAGACGCATGATGAAGAGCCGTTCTTCTGTAATGATGATCTGAGATATCAATTTTAGCACCTCTTTTGATGAGTATTCTTGCAAATTCTAAGCGATTGTGAAGTGCGGCCAAAATTAGTGGTGTTGCACCCCAAAAATTTTTTGTATTTACGTTACTATTTTGCACTAGTACAATAAACATTCCGGGATGATTTTTTTCTATGGCGAGATGTAGTGGTGTGTTTCCGTTTATATCTGGTTTGGTGATGAGAAAACTAATTGTTTTTATATAACCCTCGGCAATGAGGATTTGAAATATATCATCGTACCCTCGTGCTGCTGCGACGTGCATCAATGTTCTTCGGGAAATTATTTCTCTTGCTGAATATTTTCTTAGGAGTGAACTAATTCTTGCTGATTCGCCATTATGAACAGCAAGAAATAGTTGATTATATTCAAGAGTGTACTCGTAGTCGTCGGCAAAATTCATATTTGTCACAAATTGCGTTCTCGAAACTTTCTGTAAAAAAAAAAATTTTTTCGAAAATTTAAAAATTCTAACCTTTTTGAAATTAAACAACTTATAAAAAATTGTTATAAACATAAAGAAATCGATCAAATGACCGACTGGTAAAATCATTATTTTATAATATAAAATAATATAATAATAATATAATAACAATAATAATAACTGTAACTTATTCAAAATTACTTTATTCATTATTTTAATTCAACTACTGTTTTCCAGAATTTTTAACTAAAATTCTTCTTCATAAAGTTTAAATTAATTATTATTAATAATTTCAGCGACAAATTTCTTTGAACATTTTCAAATCCTTTTGTTTACAAATTCTTCAATCAAATATTATATTAGAAAATAAAAACTTCAAATAACTTTAAAAAAAAAAAAATTAAATCTACACAATTTTAAGTTAACCCGCACCCGAAATTTCAACTATAATAGAATATAGTTGAAAAAATTTAGTATATTTTTTTTCTGACACTATTTTGATTTAGAAATAAGGTGAAAAAAAACCAAAAAAATTTCATGATTTTTTCGGAAATTAAAAAATTTTTTTTAATTTTTTTTTTTTTGTAACTTTTGACAAAATTAAAATTTCACAAAATCCATGTCCTTAATTATAAAATGGAGTGTAAGAAACTCATTAAAACAAAAACCATTAAAAAATAAAATTTATTTTAATTTGTTGTAATGAGTTTCTTACTACTCTATTTTATAATTAAGGGCGTGGATTTTGTGAAATTTAAATTTTGTCAAAAGTTACAGAAAAAAAAATTTTTAATTTCCGAAAAAATCATGAAATTTTTTTTTTTTTTGTTTTCACCTTATTTCTGAATCAAAATAGTGTCAGGAAAAAAATATAAAAAATTTTTCCAGTTATATTCTATTATAGTTGAAATTTCGGGTGCGGGTCTCCCCTTAAAAGTATGAAAAATTCAAACATTGAAAGATTATATAATTTGAAATCTTTTCAAAACTCAATTATTATCTAAAGTTTTAACTGAAATTCATATTTGAATTAATTATTATTAGAAAATTCTATACGACAAAAAAAAACTTAAAAACTTAAAAAAAAAAAAAACTTAAAAACTTTTGACCATAAATGAATTTCTGATAAGAATTTTATTACTTTTGAAAATAATTGAATTCTTAAGACGAATTTTTTTAATAATATTTCTTTTTAAATACCTAATTATTTTGAATAGAAAAGTAAATAATTTATTGAATAATTGAATGTTTCTCAAAATTGAATTCTCATAAAGAATTTTATTAACAAATTTTTGAATAATTGAATTTTTTTAACAGACAATAATTGAATTTTGCATTGAATTTTATTAAAATTCCTGAAAAAAATTGAATTCCCATAAAGAATTTTATTTTTTTTTTAAATAATTGAATTTTATTAAAATCCCTGAAAATAATTAAATTTCTACGAAAAATTTTATTACTTTAGAAATAATTGAATTTTGCATTAAAATTTCTTAAAATTCCTGAAAATAATTGAATTTCGCATTGAAATTTCTTAAAATTCCTGAAAATAATTGAATTTTATACGAAAAATTTTATTACTTTGGAAATAATTGAATTTTGCAATGGTTTTTATTAAAATTCCTGAAAATAATTGAATTCCCATGAAGAATTTTATTTTTTTTTAAAATAATTGAATTTTATTCAAATCCCTGAAAATAATTGAATTTCTACCAAAAATTTTATTACTTTAGAAATAATTGAATTTCGCATTGAAATTTCTTAAAATTCCTGAAAATAATTGAATTTCTACAAAAAATTTTATTACTTTGGAAATAATTTAATTTTGCATTGAATTTTCTTAAAATTCCTGAAAACAATTGAATTTCGCATTGAAATTTCTTAAAATTCCTGAAAATAATTGAATTTCTACGAAAAATTTTATTACTTTGGAAATAATTGAATTTTGCATTGAATTTTCTTAAAATTCCTGAAAATAATTGAATTCCCATGAAGAATTTTATTTTTTTTGAAAATAATTGAATTTTATTCAAATCCCTGAAAATAATTGAATTTCTACCAAAAATTTTATTACTTTAGAAATAATTGAATTTCGCATTGAAATTTCTTAAAATTCCTGAAAATAATTGAATTTCTACGAAAAATTTTATTACTTTGGAATAATTGAATTTTGCATTGAATTTTCTTAAAATTCTTGAAAATAATTGAATTTCTACGAAAAATTTTATTACTTTGGAAATAATTGAATTTTGCAATAATTTTTATTAAAATTGCTTAAAATAATTGAATTCCCAAGAAGAATTTTATTTCTTTTGAACATAATTGAATTTTGCATTTAAATTTCTTAAAATTCCTAAAAATAATTGAATTTCTACGAAAAATTTTATTACTTTGGAATAATTGAATTTTGCATTGAATTTTCTTAAAATTCTTGAAAATAATTGAATTTCTACGAAAAATTTTATTACTTTGGAAATAATTGAATTTTGCATTGAATTTTCTTAAAATTCCTTAAAATAATTGAATTCCCAAGATATATTTTCTGTCTTTTGAACATAATTGAATTTTGAATTTAAATTTCTTAAAATTCCTGAAAATAATTGAATTTCTACGAAAAATTTTATTACTTTGGAATAATTGAATTTTGCATTGAATTTTCTTAAAATTCCTGAAAATAATTGAATTTCTACGAAAAATTTTATTATTTTGGAAATAATTGAATTTTTCAATGGTTTTTATTAAAATTCCTGAAAATAATTGAATTCCCATGAAGAATTTTATTTTTTTTGAAAATAATTGAATTTTATTCAAATCCCTGAAAATAATTGAATTTCTACAAAAAATTTTATTACTTTGGAATAATTGAATTTTGCATTGAATTTTCTTAAAATTCTTGAAAATAATTGAATTTCTACGAAAAATTTTATTACTTTGGAAATAATTGAATTTTGCAATAATTTTTATTAAAATTGCTTAAAATAATTGAATTCCCAAGAAGAATTTTATTTCTTTTGAACATAATTGAATTTTGCATTTAAATTTCTTAAAATTCCTGAAAATAATTGAATTTCTACGAAAAATTTTATTACTTTGGAATAATTGAATTTTGCATTGAAATTTCTTAAAATTCCTGAAAATAATTGAATTTCTACGAAAAATTTTATTACTTTGGAATAATTGAATTTTGCATTGAATTTTCTTAAAATTCTTGAAAATAATTGAATTTCTACGAAAAATTTTATTACTTTGGAAATAATTGAATTTTGCAATAATTTTTATTAAAATTGCTTAAAATAATTGAATTCCCAAGAAGAATTTTATTTCTTTTGAACATAATTGAATTTTGCATTTAAATTTCTTAAAATTCCTGAAAATAATTGAATTTCTACGAAAAATTTTATTACTTTGGAATAATTGAATTTTGCATTGAATTTTCTTAAAATTCTTGAAAATAATTGAATTTCTACGAAAAATTTTAATACTTTGGAAATAATTGAATTTTGCATTGAATTTTCTTAAAATTCCTTAAAATAATTGAATTCCCAAGATATATTTTCTGTCTTTTGAACATAATTGAATTTTGAATTTAAATTTCTTAAAATTCCTGAAAATAATTGAATTTCTACGAAAAATTTTATTACTTTGGAAATAATTGAATTTTTCAATGGTTTTTATTAAAATTCCTGAAAATAATTGAATTCCCATGAAGAATTTTATTTTTTTTGAAAATAATTGAATTTTATTCAAATCCCTGAAAATAATTGAATTTCTACAAAAAATTTTATTACTTTGGAAATAATTGAATTTTGCATTGAATTTTCTTAAAATTCCTGAAAATAATTGAATTTTTACGAAAAATTTTATTAATTTGGAAATAATTTAATTTTGCAATGATTCTTATTAAAATTCCTGAAAATAATTGAATTTCTTCGAAAAATTTTATTATATTTGATGGTAATTGAAATTTTTCGAAGAATTGCGTTAAAATTTTTTAAATAATTTTAAATATACATAATCATTAAAGAATTCAACTTATTTTCAAAGATTTTAATTTGAAACTTTTTCAAAATTCTACAAGAATTCAATTATTGCATTTTTCTTAAAATTGAATTCTCATAAAGAAATTTATTAATAAATTTTTAAATAATTGAATTTTTTTGAGGAATTTCAATAAAAAATTTTAGAATAATTACATTTTTTCGAGGAATTCGATTAGAATTGTATCAAAAATAATTGAAATTCTGCAATGAGTTTTATTATTTATGAAAATAAGAATTGAATCCCTGTAAAAAATTGTATTACATCTTTATAAAAATAATTGAATCTCTGTAAACATAAATTGAATATTTTTTAAAATAATAGAATTATTGCGAAGAAAAATTGTAAAGGCAACTCTTTTAAAATTGAATTAAGAAAATTGAATTAAAGAAAAATTAGAATGTTCATAAATATAACATTAAATTTCTAATATGAAAACTTATAATATTTGAAATTTAAATATAAACTGAACAATATAAGTGTATGTAATAAATAAATAAAAAACATTTTAAATTTGTGTACTTACGGTTACATGTTCGTTAATCCAATTTATTTAAATTTTAAATTAATAATAATAATAATAATAATAATAATAATATTAAATCACAATTTCTGTATTATTGAATAATTTATATCACAATTTCACTGGATAAATATTGCAAAATTTTTGAAAACGTCCTGCTTGCTTGAAGGTTTAAGATTGAATGAACGGCTATTTTTCTGTTCACCTCTAAAAGTGAAGGTCATTAAAAATTAATTAGTATCGATCATTAAAATACATTTAAAATATCATTTGAAACTATATTCTTCGATTAATGACCAGATGAACGTACCTGCTTTCTTTGTATTGTATTTCAATAAGAAGGGGTGTATAGCATTTTGTCCGTATATTCAAAGGTGCGCTCATACAAAAGATTATTTATCAAAATATGGAAAATATTTCAATTCTGCTTGTAAAGAAATAATAAAATAATAATAAATTTAAATTATTTATAAAGTAATTCATAAGTAAATTATAAATAAAAACAATTTTAAATTAAAGTAATATATATTATTATGAATTTTCTGAGAATTATTTACAAACAATTGTCAATCATCAGCAAATCATAATATGATATAATTATAAAATTATAAATTAATATAAATAATTATATAAATTAATATAAATAATTTTATAAATAATACTATAAATTAATTTTATAGAAAATTGATAATAATGAAGAAATAATAATATTTATAAACTAAAATTTTAAGTGTATTTCACGATCGTAATTGACTAACAATTAATTTAACAATAATAAAAAATAGTAATTATTATAGTAATATTATAATAATTACAATTAATTGCAATTTTTGCAAAGCTTATTTGGCCCTTAACAATTGTTTTTATTTTGTTAATAATTGTTATAAAAAAATAATTTGAAGAAAAAAAATTTGTTTCACTATTATTATTAATATATTATTATTATATGATAATATATAATAATAATATAATATAATAATAAATTAACAAATTAAACAAATTTTGTTTCTTCAAATTATTTTTTTACAACAAATATTAACAAAATAAAAACAATTGTTAAGAGCCAAATAAGCTTTGCAAAAATTGCAATTGTTAACTGAAGAAAAAAGGCAAAATGTTACATAAATTATTTCATAACAAATTTTCTGTGTAAAAAAATAATTTTAATTTGAAAATTGCAGATTTCGATCATAAACATAATTTTTCGAATCTTTTTTATACTTCATTGACTTGCATTTTTTTAAAGAAATATAAGTAGATAAATTCCTGTAAAAGAATCTCAATTCTACAAAATTTGAAATAAAAAATTTTTAAAAAACTATTACTTTTTTTATTATACTTACGTTTATTATTATTATTAATCTAGCCCAATCTAGCCCGTTATTAAACTCTGAATTGTATTGAAATAAATTGAAAATATCGTAAAGTAAGATATCGTACAAATATCGTACAAAGGTCAAGCCATATTTTTCCCAAGATTTTTAAGCAATATTCCAAAGATAAAAAATCTTAATGGAAGAAAAAGATTAGAATTTAAAAAATGCAACTTACAGATTTAAAGAGTTAGTGGGAGGGTGAAAAATAATTGCAAGCTTTTTCGAAAAAAGTAATGATCAAAGGAATTTTTATTAATTATAAATTAATCTTGGCTCGCGTCTACATTTTCTGTTTGGAGACCCTTAAATGTACCGACGGGGATGTATGTGACGAGGGTGTATAATTTGTTTACTGAATCCTCGTCGTCGTTCCTCCTTCTGCTGAGCCTCACGCGAACACGGAAAGGTACATTTCTGCAATTAGAAAAAAATATTTGAAAATTAATTTTCTGATTGAAAAAATATACTTATAGACTATAGCTATATTATTATGATAGAAATATTCCAAATACATCTCTTTTAAATATTAAAATTTCCCCAAAAGTTTTTAGTTTAATTTTAAATAAATTTCACTTAAACTTTAAAACTTAAAAAATTTAAAAAAATTATATTTAAAAAAATTTAATTTTAATTTTTTTAATTTTACTATAATGTTTAAAAACTTACAAAGTGATCACTGATTATATAATTATACATTATACATTAATTAATATTACGTAACTGACTTTGTACTTTAATTACTGTTCTATTAAAAGATGGAAATTGTGCTTTCAAAAAATCCAATTTTATTTTAAATTTTTTTAAAATCTACTTCAAATGTTATTAATTTATAAATATACAAGAAAATATTATGCAAATCTTTCTTTACTGTTTTGTAAATTAAAAAATTTTATATTTTCAAGAATAAACATCAATTTTTGAATGATTGCAGATTTAAAATTTATAGATATCACTTATGAAGTACAAAATATTAAATATTCTTGTTTATTATTTTATTCAAAAATTTTAACAAAAATTTGTCGCAAGAATTTCATTATTTTCAATTTTAATAAAATTTCTCGAAAGAATACAATATTATTTTTAAAAATATTATTTAAATTCAATTATTTTCAAGAGTTTTAATAAAAATTCAATTATTCCCAACAACTCTGATATATAATTAAATATATTCTTCGCGAAACAATTCAATTATTTTTATAAATTGTAAAATTCTTGTCAATAATTCAATAATTTCTGTAAATAATAAAATTGTTCGGAGAAATTCAATTATTTTCAACACAATTTTAATAAAATTTCAAAGAAAAAGTTCAATTATAATCAAGTTTTTTTTAAAATAAAATTTCTCAAACAGGTTCAATTATTTTTAAAAATTGTAATAAAAATTTTCTAAACAATTCAATTGTTCTCAAAATTTTTTAATTAAATTATTTTCAAAATTTTCAATTATTTAAAAAATTTTCAATTAAAAAAAATTATTTAATAAAATTACATTATTTTTACGAAATTTAATGAAAAAATTTTAATAAAATTCTCAAAATGAATTTAATTATTTAAAAATTTTTTTTTTATAAATACTTTACAAGAATTCATTGAATTTCAGTAAATCGACAATTTAATTATTTCTGAAAATAATTGAATTCTTGAATAGAATTTTATGAAAACTTTTTAAATAATTAAATCCCTGCAAAAAAATTTATTTTTTTTACAAATTATTAAATTTTTGCAAAATTTTAAAAATTAAGTGGATTTTTGAGAAGAATTTTATTAAAAATTGTCTTTCAAAATAATTGAATTCCTGTGAAAAATGTACAATGATGAAATTAGATTTTATTAGAAGTTTTTTTTAAATAATTGATTATTCAATTATTGAGAATAATTGAATTCTTCATAAAATTCAATTATTTTCAAATCTTTTTATAAATACTTTACAAAATTCAAATTAAAAATTAAATTAATTAAATTAATTTTACATTCATTTAAAAATTGAAAACAAATTATTACAGATTACTTGCGTCTAATATCAAAATAAATATTTACTTGAATGAAATTATTTTTATTTAAATCAAATAAATTGTATTTGAACCATACTTTCATTATTTGAAGGAAATACAATTTAATTGATTTAAATACAAATTACTTGACACTAATAAATGTTTTCAATATTAATATTACATATAATTATCGTATTATTATTATATTTGAATTATTACTATTTAAATAATCGTTTATATGAATTAAATAACTTTTTTTAGTGTCTAAAAAATTAATAATAAATAATAACTTTTAAATTAATAATAAAAAAAGGGTAGTTCGTACCTGATTCCTTTGGACCAAAGTTGTTTGTTTAGACGGGTATCAATTCGCACATCTGGAGTACCCATTTGTTTTTCGGCAAATTTGCGAATCTCCTTAATCGCTCTTGGTGCTCGGTACTTGAAACCGATGCCATGCAAACGTTTGTGGAGGTTCACTGTGTATTCGCGTGTCACCACCTCATTGATGGCACTTTTGCCTTTCTTCTCTCCAGGTTTAACCATCTTGCCTACGCAATAAAAATTCACAAAATTTAATCAACTCTCTTTAAAGTAGCCAAACTTGAAAACTTAAAAAAAAGCAAATTTCCCTCTCTTTCGATTTAAAAAAAAAGTAAAACAAATATTCCAAATAAAGAATATTAAAAAAAAAATAGTCAAACAATAACAATAGAAAAAATTTCACTCCCTAACTTGCAATTTTACACTTAATACAGTTGTGAAATGAAATTTGAAAAAAGAAAAATGTAAAAATAGGTTATGAATATCTGTCAACGATAAACTTTCACACATTTCCCCCCCTTTATCGTAACATCAATTTTTAAATTATTTTTCACAATTAAATTCTATAAATAGTGTAATAAACGTAAAATGTGTTTGAATTAATTTTCTACAGAATAAAATAAATTTTAACAATATTTCACAAAAATTAGGTTAGGAGTATATCACGTTTTTGTTTACAAGACCCAACGACACTATTTCACAAAAATATTTACGTGCCTAACAATTAAATGGTATGGAGAATAATATTTTTGAAAAAACTTTTATAAAAAAAACAGAATTCTACACGATTTTAATGGATTATTTATTGAAAAATTCACAAAGTTACCTTTCCGATAAGGAGTGTTTTTAACAAAAGAGAAGGTCGACCGCGTCGACGTTCCAAAAGGCATTCAATTTTCACCATTAGGCTCGTTTCACAGGACTTGCAGTGGAGTCTCTATTGGATCAAGTTTCTTAAGCTGCTTCTACAACAGTTTTCTTTTTCTTCGTTTGTGTCGACACCGTCGACACGAACAAGTAAATTAATTTTTAAGTAGTGATTTAATTATTTATTAGATTTAATTAATTACTTCTTTCATTAATTAGTAAAAGTAAAATATACCAACCAACCAAACCAAGAAAAAAAAGTTGTTGTAGAAGCAGCCTAAGCTGCTTCTACAACAACTTCTTTTTTCATCGACACGAACGTGAAAACGATGCGCAAAATAGTTATTTTGCATAGTTTTAATAGAGCGTTTACACCTTCGGTAAAAATTGTCCAGAACGGAAAATTTACATTGGAGTAAGAGAGACAAATACACAGCCTGTCTCTCTCACTCCAATATAGATTTTTACATTCTGGACAATTTTTTTACAAAAGGTTGTAAATGCATTGCTCCATGAGTGTAACAAGGATAGAAGTACATCGAAACGCAAAGTGTGAACACAGCTTAAGAAAATGACAAAGAAAGGAAAGTGATAAGTTTATGCAAAATTCGTATTAGTTCAGTTTAAATTAAATTTAAAAACATTTAAATGCAAAATAAAGGATTGAAAATAATATTTTAAATGAAAGATTAAATAAATTTGGTTAAACTGCAACAATTACTTTAATCTACAATATTCTATTTTTGTTCTATTTGCAAGAATAGAATAAAAAATCGCCGCGGCAAAAAGTTTGAATTTTTTTTTGCAAAAATTTCACTGTTTCAAACATGAAACAAGTTGAACAGTGTGAATGCGGCTTTAGCACTCAAGTTGTAGGTAAAATTTGATAAGTTTTAGGAACACATCGCATATTGTAAATTTGTAACTGATGAAAATGGCGTCTGTTAACCTGTGATTTGCACGGTTATTGTTTTCGCGAAGAGAACAGACGTGTTTATTTGTATTACATGATATTTTTTTTTAAATGATGGCCGGTAAAATTTGGAATTCTGATTTATGGAAAACATGGGAGAAACAAGGAAGAGGCGATTTGTAAGTGAAAAAATTGACGACGTAGTTGAAACGCGCGTCCATATTAAATTTTACAATTTCTACTGAGAGCTTATAAAAATTGTGTGAGAGAAAAATATATATAAAAAAAAGTAGTAAATAAATAAATAAAAAAAAAATAGTTAAATAAAATCTTAGATCGTCGTGACTTTATCTCCCTTTGATTATCGTCCTAGCGAAGGGTTAATTTGTCAATTAACGACTGTTTGCAGCTTCAAGTTAATCAAGCATACATTCAAGGAAGGCCAAACATCAGGTGAATATTTTTTTTCATATTTTATATACATTTTTATTTACTTTTCCCTTTTTTTCTCCTCTTTCTCTATTTCTTTTTTTGCTTATTCTCCATTTTCGAAAAGTGACAATATTTCTTTTTAATTCATAATCAATTGATTTTGACTTTTTTTTATTGTGAGCACGTTTTCTTTTTTGTTTGATATTCAAAAATATTCTCTCGACTCTCGTGTCGGAGTAAATTTTTATATTTATTATCAAAATCATTTTTTATACATTCAGTTTGTTTTTATAAATAAAAAAAAAGATTGTTTACAACAAAATAATTTCAAAACTTTTCTAAATAACAATTTTTTGGCGAAATGGAATAGATTTCTAAATGTTTTCAAACAAAGGAAAATTTTTATTTTCAAAAATGTGCAAAAATAGAAAAAATTTCTTTTCTTATCTGTTATCTTTAAATTTATTACGATTAAAATTTAAATTTGTAAAAAAAAATGTTTCTAGTAAATTCTTTTATAAAAAAAAGTTCATTATTTTATTTTAACAATTGTATGAAAAATGTATTTTTAAATATTAAACTTTAATTAATATTCGTTTAAATCTTGAATAAAATATATTTTTTTAAAAATTAGATTGCAGTGAAAGAAAATATTACTTTATTTGAAAAAAAAATTATGTTTTTGAGTTTTTTCAGAGTGTCCATCGATCAGGGAAAGGAGGAGAAGTCAAAAAATTTTAAATATCGGAAATTTTCAGTGAAAAGTTTCGGTATTTAAATAAATATTCAAAATTTCTAGAAAAATTTTTGTTCGAGAAATTTTTATTTTTTTAACAAAATATTTTTTAGTGATATTTAAAGAACATTTTAATCATTTTTTCGATTTTAAATATCATAATAATAAAAATAATAATAAATAATAAAAAGCAATAAATAAATAATTAAAAGTTTATAATAAAAAACAATTTTATTTTACACTGAAATTCTAAATTTTCATCTAAAAACAATATTTTCTGAAGAATTTCTTTGTATTTTTTTTAAAAATAATGGAATTTCTTTAATAATTGAAATTGAAAATTTTTAAAATAATCGCGTTTCTTAATAATTTAAATTAAACATTTAATTATTAAATTTTATTAAAAAATTTAGAAAATAATTAAATTCTTCTCAGAATTTTTATATACAATTTTCTAAAATAATTTAATTCATTTAAGGAATTTTTATTTAAAATATAGAAAATAATTAAATTCTTTCGAAGAACAAATAACTATAAAAGGTTTTGACAATAATTGAATTCTTTCAAAAAATTTCTTTAATTTATTGAATATTATCGATTTTGTTATTAATTGTAATTAATAGTTCTAACATTAAAATTTTATTACAATTATTGATAGAAAATTAAACTCTTTTAAACAATTTTATTAGAGTTTTTGTAAATAATTCAATTTCTTTAAGTTTTTGTGAAAATAATGTAGTTTTTTGAATAATTTTAATTGGAAATTTTGAATATTATTGAAGTAAACAAAGAATTTTTCTTAACTTTTTAATATAATCGTGTCTATTTCTTATTATAATTAAATATTTTATTTTTGAAGTTTATTAAAATTGTATTGAATATAATTGAAATCCTAAGAAGAATTTTATTATTTATAAAAATAATTTAATTCTTGCAATGAATTTTACTACTTATAAAAGTAATTGAATTGTTTCGTAGGATTTATTAAAATTTAAAAAAGTAATTGGAATTTTTTTTTTAAATATTAAAAATTAAAAAAAAAATGGAATTCTTTCATAAAATTTTTAAAAAATTGTATTAAAAATAATTGAAATCATAAGAAGAATTTTCTATTTATAAAAATAATTGAATTGTTTTGTAGGATTTATTAAAATTTTAGTAAAATAATTGAATTTTTTCGAAAAATATTATTCAAAATTTTTTAAAAAATGGAATTTTTTCATAAAATTTAAAAAAAAATTGTATTGAAAATAATTTAATTTTTGCAAAGATTTGACTATTTAGAAAAATAATTGAATTGTTTCGAAGGATTCATTAAAATTTTAGAAAATAAGTGGATTCTTTCGAAAAATATTATTAAACATTTTTTTTAAATTTGAATTTTTTCGAAGAATTTATGAAAGTTTTAGAAAATAATTGAATTTTTTCTTGAAATTTTAATAAAATTGTATTAAAAATAATTCGATTTTTGTAAAGAATTATTTGGGTCAAGTAAACATTTAATAATAATAGTCAAATAGTCGATTATTTCACTTAGTTAAATAATTATTTGGGTCAAGTAAACATTTAATAATAGTTGAGTTGTCGATTATTTGAGAATACGGTAAATGTAATTAGAATAATTTTTAATTTTCAAATTATTAAGCTTTCCTGGCGTAAAAAGTAAGTTTAACAGGAAATGTTTTTTAATTTGAATGAGTACCTGACTTTTTGTTTTTGAATTAGGAAATTTTACTAATAAATTAGTAAAAGTTATTATTTATTAGTAAAATTTACTAATTCAAAAGCAAAAACTGAAGTACTGATTCAAATTAGTATTAAAATTAATAAAAAAAATTAAAATTAGTAAAAAAAAATTCTAATTTTAAAAGGAAGTTTTTGTTTATTAATTTAAAATTTTTGTTACGTTGAAATTAAAAAAAAAATTTGAAAATAAATAAATTTCATTTAAATTAGAGAATAAAGTGAAATTGAAATTTAACAATGTTGGGACACTAATGAATTCCTTCTCAATGTCCATTTAAATGAAGCCAAATGAATTGTTAAATAAATCGATGTTAACATCACAATGGAGACGCACAGCATTAATCGAATTGCACATATGTTGTAAATAGACGCATAGAAATCAATTGATTACTTTGGTTTAGATAATGAAGAAATTTACTATTATAACGTGAGTTATGTTTTAACAGATTAAAATTAATAATACGTAATAGAATTTCTCTATTTATCCATCATAAAAAACCTTGAGGATAATGATTAAAAATTCAATGATAAAAAATAAAAGTAAGACGTACAATTTTACATTTGTAAAATAATTAGAAAATAATTAGACTGAAAATATAAATTTTAGAAGTTCTCGATAAAATAATTTATATTTTTTATATTTTATATTTTCCAAAACAATTCAATAATTTAAAAAAAAAATTAATAAAAATTCTATACGAACTTTTAATTATTTTCAAGAAATAATAAAAATTTCACAGGAATTTCATTATTTACAATTTTTTTTTTTATAAATTTCTTCGCAATTTTGCAAAAGTTACAAATTATTTTAAACATTTTTTGAAACAATTCAAAAATTTTTAATAAATTACTTAAAAATAATTCAAGATTTCTATATTTAAAATACAATGTTTCTAAAATTTTTTCAAAAACAAATTATTTTTAAAAAAAATTGGCATAAATTGTGAAAATTCTTCACAAAAATTCAATTATTTTCATAAAGTTTTTCACACAAATTCAATTATTTCAAAAAAAAAAAAAAAAAATTAATATAATTCTTCGCAAGAATTTAAATATTTTCGTAAAAAGTAAAATTTTTCACAAAAATAAAATTATTTAAGAAAATTTTTATTAAAATCCAATTATTTTCATAAATGATAAAATTCACCTCATCACAGAATTTTTATTATTTTTAATATATTTTTAAACTAGCCAAACTATCCGCGCGCAAGCGCGCGGGAATGTTGTATGGGGCTGCTTATTTTAAACAATTTAAAAAATTTTAAAGAAATAATTATTATAACCTAACAAAGAGATTTAACTAACTAAAATTCAAATAATTTCACTCAATGGTCTCAATTTAAATAGAATTTACATTACTAGACTTAAACTATGGCTAGAACAATTACAATTAGTATCTGAGTCATCTTTTGCATTGCTTATTTTATAAAGCCATTTTAAATTAAATACTTTTTAAAGAAATAATAATTATTACACACTGAAAAAAGTTTTACTTGAAATAGCGATAAGTTTCTCTAGAATAACGAAAGTATTAATTGAAGCACTGAAAAATTTCGCTACTAAAGTGAAATCTGTAGTTCATCCAGCTAAATATTTTTTGCCGTGCATAATGAAAAAAGAATTAAATTAACATCAGATTTTCTACATTCAAAAAAAACGAATTCAAATAGAAATTAATCATTTTGTCAACTTAACCAAATTCACCCCAGAAATCACTGAATTCGATAATTTAGAAGAAAGTCAGACAAAAGCAGGGTTCCTACAGAATCTGGAAATCATGGAAATCATGGAAATCATGGAAATGGTATGGAATTTTTAAAAGGCTTCTGGAAATCAGGGAAATCATGGAAAAGGCCTGGAATTTTTAAAAGTTTCTAAATTTTTTCAGTTTTCCATTTTTTCTCTTGAATAAAAATTCAAATAATAATAAAGCTAAATGGCATAAAAGAGAAGGAAAAATGTTGAATTTTAACAAATTCGATTTTTCGGATTTTGATAATTTTTAATAATTTTTGATTTTTTACCAAAGAGTCGAGACAATTTAATAAGTAAAGTATTTTCCAAAAGCACCAAAAAATAATGAAGCTAAATCCCATAAAAGAGAGGAAAAAATGTTGAATTTTAAGAAAAACGGATTTTTGAAATTTTTCGAATTTTCGATAATTTTAGATTTTTTACCAAAGAGTCGAGACAATTTACTAAGTAAAGTATTTTCCAAAAGCACAAAAATAATGTAGCTAAATCCCATAAAAGAGAGGAAAAGATGTTGAATTTTAAGAAAATCGGATTTTTGAATTTTCTTGAATTTTTGATAATTTTAGATTTTTTACCAAAGAGTCGAGACTATTAAATAAGTAAAGTATTTTCCGAAAGCACAAAAATAATGAAGATAAATCCCATAAAAGAGAGGAAAAAATGTTGAATTTTAAGAAATTCGGATTTTTGAATTTTTGATAATTTTCGATAATTTTAGATTTTTTACCAAAGAGTCGAGACAATTTACTAAGTAAAGTATTTTCCAAAAGCACAAAAATAATAAAGCTAAAACCCATAAAAGAGAGGAAAAAATGTTGAATTTTAAGAAAAACGGATTTTTGAAATTTTTCGAATTTTTGATAATTTTAGATTTTTTACCAAAGAGTCGAGACAATTTACTAAGTAAAGTATTTTCCAAAAGCACAAAAATAATGAAGCTAAATCCCATAAAAGAGAGGAAAAGATGTTGAATTTTAAGAAAATCGGATTTTTGAATTTTTGATAATTTTCGATAATTTTAGATTTTTTACCAAAGAGTCGAGACTATTAAATAAGTAAAGTATTTTCCAAAAGCACAAAAATAATGCAGCTAAATCCCATAAAAGAGAGGTAAAAATGTGGAATTTTAAGAAATTCGGATTTTTGAATTTTTGATAATTTTCGATAATTTTAGATTTTTTACCAAAGAGTCGAGACTATTAAATAAGTAAAGTATTTTCCAAAAGCACAAAAATAATGCAGCTAAATCCCATAAAAGAGAGGTAAAAATGTGGAATTTTAAGAAATTCGGATTTTTGAATTTTTGATAATTTTCGATAATTTTAGATTTTTTACCAAAGAGTCGAGACTATTAAATAAGTAAAGTATTTTCCAAAAGCACAAAAATAATGCAGCTAAATCCCATAAAAGAGAGGTAAAAATGTGGAATTTTAAGAAATTCGGATTTTTGAATTTTTGATAATTTTCGATAATTTTAGATTTTTTACCAAAGAGTCGAGACTATTAAATAAGTAAAGTATTTTCCAAAAGCACAAAAATAATGCAGCTAAATCCCATAAAAGAGAGGTAAAAATGTGGGATTTTAAGAAATTCGGATTTTTGAATTTTTGATAATTTTCGATAATTTTAGATTTTTTACCAAAGAGTCGAGACTATTAAATAAGTAAAGTATTTTCCAAAAGCACAAAAATAATGCAGCTAAATCCCATAAATGAGAGGTAAAAATGTGGAATTTTAAGAAATTCGGATTTTTGAATTTTTGATAATTTTCGATAATTTTAGATTTTTTATCAAAGAGTCGAGACAATTTACTAAGTAAAGTATTTTCCAAAAGCACAAAAATAATGAAGCTAAAACCCATAAAAGAGAGGAAAAATGTTGAATTTTAAGAAAAACGGTTTTTTGAAATTTATCGAATTTTTGATAATTTTAGATTTTTTACCAAAGAGTCGAGACAATTTAATAAGTAAAATATTTTCCACATTAAAAAGTTTGACATTAAAAAATATATAAAAAATGCCAATACTTAACCCACAAAATTACATTTTCAAAACAAACAAATGAATGCAGATAATTTGTTAACGGAAAGGAAACTTACGATTATTATAATGTATTTAATTCCTCAAAAAAATGCAATTATTCTTAAAAATATTTTAAAATTTCAATTATTTTCACAAATAATAAAATTTTTCACACGAATTCGATTATTTAAAAGAAAAATGTAATACAATTCTTCGCAAGAATTTAAATATTTCAGCAAATAGTAAAAATTTTTCACAGAAAAAAAAATTATTTTCAAAAATTTATAATGTTTTCCAAAAGAATTCAATTATTTATAAATTTCTTCTCAATAATTCAATTATTTTCGCATAAATAATAAAATGTTTTACAAGAATTCAATTATTTTCATAAATAATAAATTTCTTTTTAGGAATTCAATTATTTTTATAAATAATAAAACTCATTGCAGAATTTCAATTATTTTTGATACAATTTTAATCTAATTTCTCGAAAAATGTAATTATTCTTTGAAATTTGAATTCTATCGACAAATTATCACTGGGACAACTTTAATTATTATAAAACATGAAGATATTGATTGCTCCGAAGTGATCGATATTTTCATGTTTTATAGTTATGAAAAATTTTAACTTATAATTTTAAGTAAAATGTAGATTTTTGTAGTTTCTTTTTTTTTTTTTGCTCTGTGTATTTCAAAAAAATAGACAAAATTTTTAACTTAATTTTTGCGCAAAAAAAAGGAATGAAAATAGAAGAATTTTTTCCTGGAAAGAGATATTAATTTTGTATGTAAGTTTTTGCTGATTATGGGGGAAAAATCAGACTTAAAAAATTGATTATCTATTAGTACCAAACTCGTACTTAAATATACCACTAATACTAATTTTTTATCAATCGAAATGACTGATTGACTAGGTACTTAGACGTTAAAAGTTTCTCCTTATAAGTAACGAAGATTCTAATTCTCTTGTGAGTGAAGCGCTCGGTGTCCATCTATCGGTCGAATTTCAAACTTCGCGTGTTTACTAAACTGAGTAATTTTTTTTATTAAACAATATTAATAGTTTAAAAGTGGACATTTATTATTGTTTCGTTCAGTATCAGAAGAGAATAATTTTATAATTATTTTCCAAGTTTTATATTTTTAAAATTTATTTTATTTTATTTATTTTTTTATATTTTACATAAAAAATATGCTTTATATTTGAACCGAAAATCGTATGAATTTCAATTATTCAATTACAATTTCGAAGCCGAGGTTGTAGTTTTTCTTAGTGTTAGGCTTTTTTATTTCAAATAAAGTAAAATTTTTACTGGCAATTTAAATACTTTCTCAATTTTATTCATTTTTACAATTTGAAATAAAAGATAAATTATTTTTTTTTATTCTATAAAATACATGATTTTATTCTAAGAAGTACATTTTCAACATTTTTTTTTCTTCTTTTGCAGAATGGAAGCGAGGATTGTACGAACTAATTTCACAGGGCGTTCGAGGTGTCGTGAAGAAGGAAAAAGTAGTCGAGGCATTGGCTGAAATTACTGTGAGTTTAGATCTTTTATTTCCGTTCAAATACAAAAAGAGAAAGTAATTTTGAATTTTGAAAAAAAAATTAATTTCTAAACTTTAAAAAAGAAATAAAGAAAATCTTTCTATTCTTTAAAAAAACGTTTTACTTTGAAATTTGAAGTTTTATGTTCAAAGAAATTTTAAACGTTGTAAAATTATCAGTAGGTTAAACATTGGAATTTTATTAATGTTGAAATCGAATTTATTAATTTATTTAATTTAAATATTTTTAATTTATTTAATTTAATTTAAATTTATTGAATTTAAATTTAAATTGAATTTATTAATTTATCGAATTTAAATTTAAATTGAATTTATTAATTTATTGAATTGAAATTGAAATTGAAATTAAAATTGAATTTAAATTGAAATTGCAATTGAATTTATTAATTTATTGAATTTAACTTGAAATTGCAATTGAATTTATTAAATTTAAATTGAAATTAAAATTGAACTTATTAATTTATTGAATTGAAATTGAAATTTAATTTATTAATTTATCGAATTGAAATTAAAATTATTAACTAACGTTAAAAGAAATTTGAACTATTAAAAAATAATCGGAAGATTAAGGATTGAAATTTTCTTTTTCAGACCATCGACGGAGCATTCCCATCTGCAATTGTAGATATTTTTACTTTGATCGATTCAGAAGCGCAGAATGAGGAAAGAAACGTTTTTTATTACATCGTCAAGGAATCAGAAAAGGTATAAAAAAAAATTAGTTCTTTTCTTCCATTTAAAACTTACTTTGTCGCCTTTTTTCTTTTCTTTTCTTTTTCTTTTTTTTTTAATCGATAACCTTTTTTCCACACAAAAAATAACAAATAATAACAAAAATTATTTACAGTTTTTAACAGATCGAATACTGAAAGAAAGATTAGAAATCGACACACTTCAGGATGTTGGGACATTAAAAAATCTCAATTTTCAGACTAAATTCATCAAAGTCAAGACGAAACTTTAGTACGTACATTTCCTTTCTTTTAATAATTTGAAAATCTTTTTTTTTTACCATTTTTACTTTTTTTTACATCAAAAATTCAATAGAAGTAATTTTTGAAATAATTTTTTCAAAAAATGGTATTTATCAAAATATCAAAAAATTGTAATTTTCTGAAAAATTTCTAATTTTTCTTCAATTTTATTATTTTATACAAATTTTTTTATATTTTATAATATTTTTTGAAAATTTTTTCTGTCTATAAATTTTTTAATGAATAATTTTTTCTATCTATAAATAGAAAAATAGATTTTTTCTATCTATAGATTTATTAATTTTTAATTTTAAATTTATACATTTTTTTATGTCTACAATTTTTTATCTGTAAATAAAAAATTTACAAATATAAGAAAGAATATAAAAATTGAAAAAAAATTGAAGAAGAAAAAAAAGAAAAAAAAATTTAAAGGAAAAAATTATATGTAATAAGAGAAATTTTGCTATTTTCTCTATTGAATTTTTGATAAATGCAGACATCACAGATCGTTTACTATTCTAATTTGAAAATTTTTATCTTATCACGAGAATAAATTTTAATTTTTGAAATATTTAAAACAAACTTGAGATATTTTTGGAAAAATTTGAATAATAATTTCAATCGTCAAATTTTTATCGTCTTAGTCAATAAATGTTAAAAATATAATTCTATAAATTTCTATTCATTATTTCTTTTTTTTATTTCTTTTTAATTGTTAAATTGTTAAACTTGTATCTATATTAACTTTTTTACAATTTTTGAAAATTTAATTAAAATTTTTAATATTTTAGATGTTTATTCATTTTTACTTTATATTTAAATCTTTTAACGAAACTAAAAATAACTTAATTACAAAACTATTCCACAAATAAAAATTTGCCTTGTTTTTTTTGTTTTTGTTTTTTAAACTTAATTTAAATTTGCTCCATTTTTTAATTTTTAAATGAGTTTAAAAAAAATTTTTTTTCACGTTTTGAATATTTTTTTTTTAAAGTTTTGAATATTTTTTTACAAAATTTTGAATATTTTTTTAAAAAGATAAAAAAATTTTTTAAACTGAGAGTTTAAATAATTATTAATATGTTATAAATAAAATGTGATGACTGCGAATAATAAAATTTACTGTAAAATTCTAAAAATGTTGGGGAACAGGAATTGAGGCATTTTTTTTCTAATGAAATCGATGAATTTTCTCTTTCAGCTACAAACAACGTAAATTTAATCTTTTTCGTGAAGAAAGCGAAGGTTATTCAAAATTAATTGTAGAATTAAGTCAAGAGCGACCGGAAAGTGAAGTGGCGTCTACTTTAGAGATTGTTAAATCCCTTATTGGTAGGAGATATTTTTATTTTTATCATTTTTATTCTTTTTTTATTTTTAAACTTTATAATTCAAAAATTAAAAACATTCTTCGGCTGCTATTCGTCGATAAAATTTTGCAACTTTATTTTTTAATTTTTTTTAGTTAATTCCACAATTCTTTTTTGTTTTTGAAAATATTCCTTTATTTTTTGCTTTTATTTGCTTTTCTTTGCTTTCTTTGCTTTTATAGTAAAAATTCAAAGCTAAAACAAAATTTTTGAATTAAAATCAGAATTTTTTACATTAAAATTTAAAAAAAAATTTTTTTTTTGTTTAAAAACTTGAATAAAAAGAATTTTCGAAAAATAGTGGCGAGAATATGTTTTTAATTAATTTTGGAATCGATTTAATTGGAATTGTGAGGGACGAGAAAGAAAGTAATTAACTGATAACTTTTCTGTTTAATTCTCTCAAGTTTTGGATTAATTTGCCTTTTTTAGGATATTTTAATCTCGATCCAAATCGAGTATTAGATATTTTATTGGAGACCTTTGAGAAACGGCCACAGGACGATGGACTTTTTATTCCATTGATACGCTCGTATATGAGCGATCAACAAGTACTTTGTGAAGTATTGGGTTTTAAATATCGTTGCACGGCAAATTCGACTCCCTTTTCATTACAAAGAGTCACGGCACTTATGCTTCAGCATGAAGTTATTAAACTTGATGATATTTGGCCGTGGCTCGTGCCCGATGATAAGACAATTATTCGCGATTGTGATATTGCAATGAAACAAGCGAAGGAATATGTTAGAAAAATGAGCATTATCTCAACAAAGGACAAGGAGGATGTTCCAGAAGAGAAGGACAATTCTCAGGTTAGTTTTTTGAAATTTAAATAAAATACAAAAACTTTTTCAAAAAAATAACAAATCAATTATTTTACAAAAATTTTAATAAAATTCTTCAAAATTTCAATTATTTTCAGAAATTTGGATAAAATTCTCCAAAATTCAATTATTTTCAAAAATTTAAATAAAATTCTTCAAAATTCAATTATTATATAACAAATTTTAATAAAATTCTCCAAAATTCAATTACTTTTCAAAAATTTTACTAAAATTCCCCAAAATTCAATTATTTTCAAGAATTTTTTTAAACTTCTTCAAAATTCAATTATTTTTTTAAATTTTGATAAAATTCTTTAAAATTCAATTATTTTCAAACATTTTTTATAAAATTCTCTAAAATTCAATTATTATCAATAATGTTAATAAAATTCCCCAAAATTAAATTATTTTCAAAAATTTTATTAAAACTTCTTCAACATTCAATTACTTTCGAAAATTTTGTTAAAAATTTCCAAAATTCAATTCTTTTTAAAAATATCAATATTCATCACAAGAATTCAATTATTTTTAAAAATTTTAATAAAATTCCTGGGAAAATTTCAATTATTTTTAAAAATAGCAATATTCATCAAAAGAATTCAATTATTTCTAAAAATAATAAAATTCTTTGCAAAATATCAATTATTTTCAAAAATTTTTATAAAATTCATGGTGAAAATTAATTTTCAAAAATTTTGATAAAATTCTTTAAAATTCAATTATTTTCAAAAATTTAAATAAAATTCTTCAAAATTCAATTATTATATAAAAAATTTTACTAAAATTCCCCAAAATTCAATTATTTTCAAGAATTTTTTTAAACTTCTTCAAAATTCAATTATTTTTTAAAATTTTGATAAAATTCTTCAAAATTCAATTATTATATAAAAAATTTTACTAAAATTCCCCAAAATTCAATTATTTTCAATAATTTTTTTAAACTTCTTCAAAATTCAATTATTTTTTAAAATTTTGATAAAATTCTTTGAAATTCAATTATTTTCAAACCTTTTTTAATAAAATTCTCTAAAATTCAATTATTATCAAAAATTTTAATAAAATTCCCCAAAATTAAATTTTTTTCAAAAATTTTTTAAAACTTCTTCAACATTCAATTACTTTCGAAAATTTTTAAAAAATTTTCCAAAATTCAATTATTTTTAAAAATAGCAATATTCATCAAAAGAATTCAATTATTTTCAAAAATAATAAAATTCTTTGCAAAATTTCAATTATTTTCAAAAATTTTGATAAAATTCTTCAAAATTCAATTATTTTCAAACATTTTAATAAAATTCTCCAAAATTCAATTATTTTAAGCAATTTAAATTATTTTAAAAAATTTTCCCGAATTCAATGATTTTCAATAAAATTTTTCCATTAGAATTCAATTATTTAAAAAAAATTTATTATAATTCTACGCAAGCATTTAATTATTTTCATAAATAATAAAAATTTCACAGTAATTCAATTATTTACAATATTTTTATAAATTTCTTCGCAATAATTCCATTCTTTTCGTAAATAATAAAATTTTTGACAGAAATTCCATTATTTTTATAAATAAAAAATTTCTTTTTAGAAATTCAATTATTTTCATAAATAAAAAAACTCATTGTAGAATTAAATTATTTTTAATACAATTTTAATCAAATTCTTCGAAAATTGAAATTTTATTCTTAAAAATTTTATTAAAATTCGTCGAAAGAATTCAATTATTTATAAATTTGTTAATCAATTTCCTGATCAAAATTCAATTTTTAAGAATAGTCAATTATTCAATAAATTATTTATTTTTGCATTTAAATAATTGAATTCTCGTTCAACTTTCAAATAAGAATTTGATTAAAATTTAAATGAAAAAATTTGATTTGACTTTTAAAAATTTGAATTTGATTAAAAATTAATTTTTAGTTAAAATTTAAGATAATGATTGAATATTAAAAGCATTATAGCAAAAATTTTTGGAAATAATTAAATTTCAAAAGATAGAATAGAAATTCTTGAAAAATTTAATTGTTGTAAAACTATAGTGATATTTAAATATTTATTAAACAAAATTATTCAAGTTTTAAATAATTGAATTTAGAAATAAGGGAAATACAAAATAGAGGTTTTGTAAAAACACTGAATTAAATAAACTACTTTTTTTTTACTTTTTTTGTATTTTTAATCGACAAAGAGCGACTTTTTTTTGCTCCTTGAAAACGATTCGAGGTTTGCGAATACAGTAAAATTCATAGAGTTTTAGAAAACAAAAGTAACGTTCGAACAAAAAGTTTTTGATTTAAAATTTTTAGAATAATAGGAAAGGACTTGAAAATTATTAATTTTGTTGGTCGGTTATTAAATTTTTTTTTAGGATAAATACTCAAACAATCAGAAATTTGGATTATGCGAAGCGCTTTTAGACATTGGAGCTTGGGAAGTCGCTCAAAGTTTATTCAACAGATTACCAGATTATTCCTTCACCGATCAGAAACCAATTGCTCTTGCTTTCTGTAAAATTATTCAGTCGCTGATTGAACCAATTTATCGCAAGTAAGCACGAATCATAATTTTCTAATTGAAATAAAAAAAGCCCAATTTTTTTTATGTTTGATATAAATTTCCAAATTTTTAAAAATTATTTTACAATTCTTTTTGTGCTTTTTTCGTATTTTTAAAAATTAAATTTTCTCTTTAGGTATTGTGTGATCTCACCGAAATTACCAGGAAGGAAAATTCCTCCACTGAAGAGTCAATTGGCACCAAAGCCGATGCAATCGCTGAATCAAATTCATGATCAATTATTACCAATGCTTGTGATTCTTGGACCGAATCTTCATCACGATCCGATCCTTATGTATAAAATAATGCGATTGTGTCATTCGGCTATAAAGCAAATTTCAGTGGACTCGAATCGACAGCCAGTTGACAAGTAATTTTTTTTTCTTATTTTTTCTCTCTACTTAAATATTTAAAATGTTTTTTTAATTTAGAAATAGAAAATTTTAATTAGAAAGTGAAATTTTCAGTTTAAAAATAGAAAGAAAGTAGAAACTAAATTAAGAATTAGAAAATTTCAATTTTAAAATAGAAAAAAGAAAAAGGAAAATAGAAATAAACAATAGAAATGGAAAATAGAAATTAAAAATTGAATTAAGAATTATAAATTTTCAATTTTAAAATAGAAAATAGAAATGGAAAATTGAAAATAGGAACAAAAAAATAGAAATTGAATTAAGAATTAGAAATTTTCAATTTTAAAATAGAAATGGAAAATAGAGATTAAAAATTGAATTAGGAATTATAAATTTTCAATTTTAAAATAGAAAATAGAAATGGAAAATTGAAAATAGGAACAAAAAATAGAAATTAAATTAAGAATTAGAAATTTTCAATTTTAAAATAGAAAATAGAAATGGAAAATAGAAATTAAAAATAGAAATTGAATTAAGAATTAGAAATTTTCAATTTTGAAATAGAAAATAGAACCAAGAAAATAGAAATTTAATTAAGAATTAGAAATTTTCAATTTTAAAATAGAAAAAAGAAAAACTAAAATAGAGATAAAAAATATGAATAGAAAATAGAAATGGAAAATCGAAATTGAATTAAAAATTAGAAATTTTCAATTAAAAACATTAAAATTAAAAAAATAAGAAGTTTATTGACTTTAGTTTTATTTATTGTATTTTGTTTAATTTTACAGAACCAATAATCTTTATTATGACATACTTACAATTCTTGACGTTGCACTGCTGCCGTCTCTGTCGTTTATGGACTGCAATTGTTGCGTCGCGGAGGAAATTTGGAATATTCTCAAACATTATCCATATCAAAATCGTTATTGTTTGTATGCGCGGTGGAAAAATGAGACTCCACTTCAGCATCCGGCTCTACTGAAGAAGAGGGCCGACGCGCAAAAGAAAATCAAAACAATCATGAAACGAGTCAGTAAGGAGACAATAAAACCCGTTGGAAGATCAATTGGAAAACTCACACATTCATCGCCTGGTGTTTTGTTTGATTATGTCCTCATTCAAATTCAACTTTACGACAATCTTATTGGTGAGTATTGAAATTTTTAAAAATTAAAAACAGTTATTTTTTTTAATTAAAAAAAAAACACTGGTTATTTTGTAAGAGAAAATAGAAATATTAATTTTCAAACTTATTAGTCAAAATTAATAAGTTTAAATATATATTTCATTGAAAAAGATTGAATTTTCTTCCATAAAAACGTTTTATTTTGTAAAAAAAAAAATAAATATTCAGAGTTGCCAGAGGTGAGCCGGGAAATAAAATTCAGGAAAATTTATCAAAATTTACTGAAAAAAAAAAATTCTTCTTTAAAAAAATATTCATATTTTAAAATATTCAAGGCTAATTCTTTTGTATTCGTAAATATTTGTCTTTTTATTCCAAAAAAAATAATTATAGAGGAATAAATAATGAAATGAATAGTTTAATAAATAAAAAAATAGTTGTAAAAATAAAAAAAATATTTTTAGAGGTAAAAAAGTGGTCGAAGTCGTTACTACAGTTCAGTGTGAACGTGTTCTCACTAAGGGGGCCGCTTTGGGGGTTAAGGCGCTGCCTCAACATGAAGGCGCTGCCCTCATATTTTAAAGTCATATATTATGACCGAATATATATTATATATTCAATTTATACTACATATACACAGTATATGCAGTGTTGTTTTATTAGTCAAAGATCGCAGATCTTTTCCGACTAAACGGAAGTTCCTGAGTAACATCAGACCACCTGTCAATGAACCAGTCGAGTTGTCCTTATATATTAAACGTAGGCCTCATGTCACCACTTGCGAGAAACGTCAATTTCACATCGACTCAAATTAATAATTACTTTGTCGACAAATTCTTCGATTCTCACTAAACAATTGACCCTGGGCCATTTAAATAAAATTGCAAAAACTCCCAAAGTATTCAATAAATATTTCTTTATTTAAAACGAAATTAAAAATTAACGATTTTAGCCAGTGATACTGTCTTGCGAACCCTAGCGGAGATTTTTAGAAACTTCGCCAAAGTTCACAGTGGTGGCGTTCGTAACTAACTATATATTTCTCATTTGAACATTTTTAATCTTTTTGGAATTAAATTTTAAAATTAATCTACTGAAAATCATTGAATTCTTGTCAAATGTTTATAAAAATTTTTGAAAATAAAAAAAAAATTTTTTTTTTTTTGTGAATTTTATGAAGAATTTAATTATTTTCAATAATTGTCATTAAATTCTAAAGTCAATTTATAACTAATAAAAATCTTTGTCAAAAAATTCAATTATTTTTATACAAATAATTAAATTTTTTATCAGGATTTCACTTCTTTTCAATACAATTTTTAATATTGATATCTTCGGAAATTTCAATTATTTTTAAAAATCTTGTAAAAATTCTCCGAAAAAATTCCATTATTTTAAAAACTAATTTAATTTTTCACAGGAGTTCAATTATTTAAAAAACTATTAATTCAATTCAAGTATTCAATTATTTTGTAAAAGTAAAGAAATTTTCGGTGAAATTAAATTTTTTAAATACAATTTTAACTAAATTCCAGGGATCAATATCTTATCAATAAATAGTAAATTTTCGACTGGAATTCAATTATTTTAAAGACAATTTTTTTTATAAAATTCTTCTCAAAAATTCACTGAATTTTTTAAATTTTGGCAAAAATTCAATTATATTTGTAGAAATAATAAATTTTTTCGCAGAGAATTAATTATTTGAAAGAAAGTTTTAATAAAATTCTATTCAAGAATTCAAATATTTTCATAAATAATTAAATTGTCGATAATACTGAAAATCATTGAATTCTTGTAAAGTATTATTTATAAAAAAAATATTTGAAAATAATTGAATTCATTTTAAGAATGTTATCAATATTTTTTTCAATAATTGAATTCTGCCGAGAAAATGTAATTAAAATTGTATTGAAAATAATTTAATTCTTGGAAAGATTTTTATTAAAATTCTTGAAAATAATTGAATTGTTTTGAAGAATTTATTTCAATATTCTTGAAAATAATGAGGTTTTTTAAATCATTTTATTCATTTTGACAGAAAATTTTGAAAATAATTGAATTTTAGAAAGAATTTTTTTTAAGTTTTTAAAAGAATCGTGTTTATTATTAATTTGTAATGAACGACTTTCCTATTAAATTATATTAAAATTATTCAGAGAAAATTAAATTGTTTTGCACAATTTTATTAGAGTTTTTGTAAATAATTACATTTTTTTTAAGAATTTCATTAAATTTCGTAAAAATAATGTAATTTTTTTAAAGTAATTTTAATGGAAAATTTGGAAAATAATTTTGAAATTTACAAAGAATTTTATTAAAAACTTTTGAGAACAATTGAATTTTTTAGAAAAATGTTATAACAATTTTTAAAAAATATTTAACCTTTTAGAGAAATTTTTGAATATAACTGAATTTTTTCTTGAAATTTTATTAAATTTGTATTGAAAATAATTGAATTCCTTCAAAGAATTTTATTATTTACGAAAACAATTGATTTTTTAAATTTTCTTTCTAAAATTAATTTTTATTTTATGAGGAAATTTTTTTAATTTTTCAGGTCCAGTTGTCGATTCCTTGAAATATTTGACAAACATTTCTTACGATGTATTGGGATATTGTCTTGTCGAGGCATTAGCTGGAGCCGATCGCGACAGATTTAAACATGACGGTACCAGTATTTCCCTCTGGCTTCAATCTCTCGCCTCTTTTTGCGGCGCAATCTTCAAAAAATACAATATCGAATTATCCGGTCTCCTTCAGTACGTAGCTAATCAGCTCAAAGCACAAAAAAGGTACATTTCAAACATATTTTTTTCTCGTAAATTAATTATTAATTAAAATTATTAAATTAATTAAATTATTAATTAAAACGATCAAAACTCGTCAATTTCAAATATTTTTTATATTCCACTTTTTGATTATTTTCGAAATTTTCGATTTTTTATTTATATATTATATTTTCGATTTTTCGATTTTTCGATAGTTCTCTCAAAACATTTTTCTTTTTTTGTTCTTTTTCATTTATCCAATTTTTTAATCTTTCTCAAACCTTAAACTTTTTTTTCTCAACCATTTACCATTTTTTAAATTCTTTTTCGCCTTTTTTTCTATATTTTTTCATTATTATAAATAAATAAATATTTATTTTTGCCATTAAATATTTTATTATTTTCTGTTATTCAAATTTTCCATTTGTGTAATTTATTTAATTTTTTTTATGTAATTTGTTTATAAACGAAATTCATTGATATTTAAAAATATTACTTTTGTGTTTAATTTTTAATTTTATTTGAACATTTATTATTAATTTTATTCTTTTATTTTTAATAACGTTTTTAATTTTTAAATAGTATAATTTTAATTCTATTTTCTTAAGTAATTTTTATTTTTAATTTTACTTTAATTTTACTTTCGATAATTTTCATAATTTCAATAATAATCATTTAAAAAACATTTTCCTCGTCATTTTTTTTTTTTTTTTTTTTGAACGCGCTTTAGTTTTAATTTAAAAAAAAAAAAGAAAGAAAGCAATGAGATTAAAAATATAGGGAAAAAAATAAAAACTAAATGAAAAAAGAAACTTTCTCAGACAATGGGTGAACGCGGTGATGAAATTCCAAAAAACAAAATTGGTAAGTTTTTTCAAAAAAAAAAAAGTGTAATAATGAAAAGAAAAAATTCCTTTACGTCGATTTCGAGAGAAAGAGAGAAAAAAAAGAAATTTTTCTTTTATTTATCGATTGTCGCGTTTATTACAATAAATATTGTAATTTGTTATTCGACAATTACCCTATTGTTATGAACAATGAGAATTCGTTGTCTTTTAAATGTCCTTGTGTTTCACTAGAAATTGGAGAGGCTGGTGCGTTTTTCTTGCCGCCCGTTAAGCAAATTAGACGCCCCAAGTTTTCAACTCAAGTTGTGCGCCACAAAAAAATAAAATTTTCAAAAAAGTGTGGGAATCACTTTTTTTCCAAGTTCAACGGATTTCTCCTAAAGAAAACAATGGATCTCCCAATTGTCGAGAAGAGAATTAATTTCATTAATTCAAGACAAAGCGAAAAAATAATTCTTTTCCTAAAGGAAAACGGAAGAAAAAAATTTTTTTTTTTTGAGAATTTATTGAGAAATTCGAAAATTTACGAAGAGCTTAAGAAGTTGAAAATTTGCCAAAAATTTAAAAATAGAGGAAAATTCAGAAAAGGAAGAGAATTACAAAGAAAAAAAATGAGAATGAAATAAATTAAAAAGCGAAAAATTGAAAATTAGGGAAAGAAATTAAAAACAAGATGCGAGAGGGAAGAAAAAATATTTTGAATGTTAATACAAAAATTTCTATACGAGATTTACGGTCTGAGAGGAAAACTATTTTAAAATTCGAAAAATGGAAAAAAATTCGAAGAGGATTTTTAATTTATGTAAATGGAAAATTATTTCGCCTATGAAATTTTAAATTGGAATTTGCGGAAGAAAAGAAGAAAAAACGATTCGATAATCAAGCGGAAAGACAAAAATTTGAAAAATTGCGGAGAAAACCAAAAAAATAAATAGAGAAACGAAAAATTTGGAACTAATGTTTTGAATCTGAGGAATTTGAACCAGAAGAATTTGAAAATTGATAATTTTCATGCAAGAGAAAATTGAGAGGAAAAAAACTAAAAAGTCGGGAATTTTTGAAAAAATATAATTAATAAGGAAATTAAGAAAAAAACTAAAAATCAACAAGAAGAAGAACTTTTATGTTAGAAAAAACCGGAAAGTCAAGAAATGAAAAATTTTTATAAATAACAAGAAATATCAATGAAAAGATTATAAATAAAAAAATTGAGAATTAAACGCTTATTGGAAATGACGAGATCCAAATCTCGTCGAGGAATCTTCAACATCAGGTAAATATTCGTAATTAACTTTTTTTTTTTCTAAATAGTAAAAATAGAAATTTAATGAAACGATAGGAAAAATTAGTCTATAAATTTATTGATTAATTAAATTAAAAAGTTAAAATTGTGATTTATTATTTTTCAGAACTTTTTTTTGGGAGAAAGAAGAGAATTGAAAAATGAAGAGGAATTTTAAATGTGAGAGGAAAAAATTAAAACTTTGGAGATGGAAGAAATGAAGGACCGTGTGATTCTCTTGTGACAAAATCCAGGGAGAAACTTCGGTAGTGTTGCGACTTTAATACGACGTAACATTAACAAAAAAAAAAAGATAAAAGAACCTCATTTTCGAACGCGTTTTGAATTTTTCTCGGGAATATCGACGAAAGTTATCGTCTTCACAAAGGGAAGCTCAATTTTCTTTTGCAACTCCCTTTTTGACCTCTAGTCTCAGCTTTTAACTATTTTCGATATTTTTACAAAAGAATACTAAATAATTAATTTGAAATTAACTAAATAATTAAAACAATATATTAAAAAATAGAAAAAACTATTCAAATATTAATTTTTGTTTAACAATTACTTTACTTGATCGATTAAAATTTTCAATATATATCAAAAAATAATTAATAGAAATTTAATTATCGTATCGATCGATTTTTTTTTTTTTTTTTAAATTGTAATAGAAAAACTTTTTGACAGTGAAAATAAAAGAAAGAAAAAATTGATTGTTCAGCGATTGTGGAAAATTAATGGAGAAAAAATGTTGGTTTCGTTTTCAGTCTTGATTTATTAATTTTGAAGGAGATTGTGCAAAAAATGGCAGGAATTGAAGCTGCTGAAGAAATGACTCCCGATCAATTAGACGCAATGGCTGGCGGTGATCTTTTGAAAAATGAGGTACACTTTCATTTTTTTCTTTTCTGAACATTAATTTTCTAATTTTTGATTTGTAATTATTTCTAAATCCTAATTTTTATTATTAAATTTCTAAATTTCAATTTCTTTGAAATTTTCAATTCTAAATTTCAATTTTTTATTATCAAACTTTTTGATTTAAAAATTTTTTATATTTTTAAATAGTAATTTCCATTAATTATCTTAAAATTTTTAAATTGAAACTTTTATTTCTTTTAAACTGTTATTTTCATTATTAATTTTTTAAATTGTAATTTTTAACAGTAAATTATTAATTTTTGAAAATTATAGTTTTTAATAATTAATTGTTAATTTTTTAAATTATAATTTTTAATAATGTTATTAATTTTCAAAATTATGATTTTTATTATTAAAATTTCGACTTTATGTCTAGAATTATTTCGTAAATATTGTTAGAAAAATTTAAATTCATAAATTATTGAAGTGTTTGTATTTAAAATGCAATTAATTAAAATTAAATTTGCTATTTTCAGGCTGGTTACTTTAGTCAAGTTCGTAATACGAAAAAATCATCACAAAGATTGAAGGAGGCTCTCGGTGAACAGGATTTGGCAGTGGCACTTTGTCTCTTAATGGCGCAACAAAAACATTGCGTTGTGTATCGAGAAACCGATAGATCTCATCTTAAACTTGTCGGCAAGTGTTTTTAAATTGTGATTCTTTTTTTTTCTAAAAAAAAATCCAGTCTATATTTTTGCTTTGTATTTTTTTCATTACTTTACACGCTCTTTTCTTTTTTTAATCAACAGAATTAAAATATAGATGAGAATATTTTTTCAAACTGTATAATATATTTTTTATTAAAAAAAATTTTTTAATTTAAAAAAATTTTTTAAAGTATTTTTTATTTGATTCTGTTTATTTTACTGAGCGGGGAATTTATTCAATTTTTCTTGTTTCACAGGCAAATTGTACGATCAGTGTCAGGATACGTTGGTTCAATTTGGAACATTTTTGGGATCGACGATGACTGTCGATGAATACGTCGAAAAATTGCCTTCAATTCATTCCATGTTACAGGACCATCATATACATTCGGACGTTGCATTTTTCCTCGCCAGGCCAATGAACGCTCACGCTATTAACGTAAGTTTCCTAATAACTCTAAAATAAAATACCTTTTTAATTTTTTATTTTTCTAATAAATTTTCAACTTTTTTTTTAATTCTAAATTAATTCTTTTTAACATTTAATGTTAAATTTATTAATTTATATTACTTATTCATTAATTAATTTAATTTAATTAATTTTTTAATTTAATCAATTTATAATTGAATAAATTACAGATCAAGTACGACTCGTTAAGAAAGGCAGATCCAAATTACAAGAAAATGTCAACGGCTGTGAAGCAGGCGAAATGGGCCGAAGCAGCGCAAACAACAATGGCACCAGTTGCACTGTCGGTGCGACCGCTTCACCCACTCAAAGTCTGGGAAGATATATCGCCACAATTTTTAGTCACATTCTGGTCATTGCAAATGTATGATTTGTATGTGCCAGGCGACAGTTATCAACGGGAAATAAATCGATTGAAGCAACTTGCTGCTCAAGTCGCCGATTCCAAGGATATTGTAAATATAAATTTTCCCCTCTTTCAAAATTAGAAAAAACATTCAAACATATCTGTTTATTAATATTGAACAATTATTGTCCAATATTAATAAATATGAAAAAATTCAAACCCATCTATATTTTTTAATATTTGACAATAATTGTCCAATATTAATAAATATGAATGGGTTTGAATTTTTTTTCTTTCTTCTAATTTATTAAAAGTATTAGGATTTTATTTTGTTTGGAACATGTTTTCTATTTCTTTTTAAATTTACAGAATGCTGGTAAAGGCAAAAAGGAGCAAGAAAAATTCACAACATTAATTGAAAAACTTCAGGACGAGAAGAAAAAGCAAGAAGAACATGTGGAAAAAGTGTTTGCCTATTTAAGGTAATTTTCCCTTTTTTTAAATTTATAGTTAATTTTTTTGAGAAATTTATTCTTGGAATGTATATAAAAATAAATAATAACACCCTTCAAAATAAGAGAAAATTAATATTTATTTTATCGTATTTTGAAGTATGTTATTATTATTTTTGATAGAATGGATTAATTTCCCCTTAAAATAAATTTATTAATAAAATAATATTATTAATAGAATAGATTTTTAAGTATAGGCAGAAAATAATAAAATGGAAAAAAAAATTTCTTTTGTAGACAAGAGAAAGATTCGTGGTTTTTATCGAGAAGCGCCAAGTCCGCCAAGAATGAGACGATAACGCAATTTTTGCAATTGTGTCTCTTTCCACGATGTACATTCACAACAGTGGACGCAATGTATTGCGCTAAATTTGTACATACTATTCATTCGCTTAGGACCGCGAATTTTTCCACCCTTCTCTGTTACGACCGAGTAAGTGCAATTTTACATTTTTTTCTAAATTAGAATATTTTAGAAAATATTATTTAGTATTTATTACTATTATTATCAACAACTACTATTTATATGTTATTTTTTTTACTGTTATTAAGTAATATGAATTTATTTTATTACTATATTAATTTATTTTATTAATAATTAATTTCTTATATTAGTAATAAAAATTTATTTCTTTTACTTTACTTATTACTCTTTTTTTCAAAAATTTTCTTTCAATTTTAAAGATTTTTTTTTCTAGCACAAAACAAATTTTTTTATATATATTTTTACCTGAAGAAAAATTGTATTTTATTTTTCTAAATTTGCAGTGTAATTATTTTATTTATTATTTTTACGAAATTTAAAAGAAAATAAATTTTTAATATTCATTTTTTATTCTAAGTTTTGATTCTGTTTAGAATTAGTGAAAAATAATTGTTTTTTTTCTGTTAATTTTTAGATTTTCTGTGATATCACTTACTCAGTGACATCGTGCACTGAAAATGAAGCCAATCGGTATGGAAGATTTTTGTGCGCCATGTTAGACACTGTGATGAGATGGCATTCAGAGAAGGCAATATTTGATAAAGTAAAAATCCACTTTTTAATAATTATTTTATGGAATTCTTCAAAAGTTTAACATAATTTTAACTATTTTCTTTTCTCGGAAGTATTTTAATTTTTTAATTCAGTTTTCTCCAAAGGTATTGAATAATTTTTTTTTTCATATAATATTTCAAAAATTTTAGAGTCCATTGTTAGTTACAAAAACTTTCTTTTTAAAACTTAGAAAATTTAATTATTTTTTATAAAATATAATACTTTGCATAAAATTTCTTTACCTTACTGTACTGTGAAAATCCTGTTATTAAAATTTAAAATTCTAGGGAAATTAATTTCACTGAAACATTCATATTTTTTTAAAGAAATATTTCTAAAATTATATTTTATATCATTCAAAATTATTAACTAAACATTTATTTTAATTATATAATGTTTAACATTTAAATAATATGTTTCAAAAAAGATTAAAAATGTTCAAATCAGAAATATATAGTTAGTTACGAACGCCACCACTATGAACTTTGGCGAAGTTTCTAAAAATCTCCGCTAGGGTTCGCAAGACAGTATCACTGGCTAAAATCGTTAATTTTTAATTTCGTTTTAAATAAAGAAATATTTATTGAATACTTTGGGAGTTTTTGCAATTTTATTTAAATGACCCAGGGTCAATTGTTTAGTGAGAATCGAAGAATTTGTCGACAAAGTAATTATTAATTTGAGTCGATGTGAAATTGACGTTTCTCGCAAGTGGCTTAATGAAGCCTACGTTTAATATATAAGGACAACTCGACTGGTTCATTGACAGGTGGTCTGATGTTACTCAGGAACTTCCGTTTAGTCGGAAAAGATCTGCGATCTTTAACTAATAAAACAACACTGCATATACTGTGTATATGTAGTATAAATTGAATATATAATATATATTCGGTCATAATATATGACGATAAAATTATCCGAGGGCAGCGCCCTCCCAAACATAGTGAGAACAACTGTAGTAACGACTTCGACCACTTTTTTTACCCCCAAAAGTATTTTTCAATTTTTTATCCCATTTCTTTTTTATTTTTTACAAGTGGATTGTTCTATAAGAAATTTACACTTTTTCGGAGTGTGAACCAATGTCTCTTAAAATCTAATTTTTGTATTGGATCAATTCACGTGGAATTGCTCAATTAGGAAGAATTTCTCCCTAATTGAGCAATTCCACGTCAACTGATCCAATCAAAAAAATTAGATTTAAAAAAAAAAAATTTTGATTGGATCAGTTCACGTGGAATTGCTAAATTAGGAAGAATTTTTCCCTAATTGAGCAATTCCACGTGAACTGATCCAATAAAAAAAAATTAGACTTTAATGGACATTGTTTTATTCTTAACTTCTAGAAAAATAAGGATATTTTAATTTTTATATAATGAATGTTAAAGCATTTTTTGTGTACTTTTCAATTTCAAAACTCTTTTTTCAAAAAAAAAAAATTATTTACCTATTCTTTGATCACTTTTTTACCTCTAAAAATATTTTTTTTATTTATTAAACTATTCATTTCATTATTATTTTATTTCTCTATAATTTTTTTTGGAATTCTTTTGTAATAAAAAGGCAAATATTTACGAATAGAGAACAATTAGCCTTGAATATTTTAAAATATGAATATATTTTTTTAAAAAAGAATTTTGTTTTTTCAGGAATGCAGCAATTATCCGGGATTTGTGACGAAGTTTCGAGTTAGTAATCAATTTTCCGAAGCCAATGATATGGTGGGCTTTGAAAATTATCGACACGTTTGTCACAAGTGGCATTATAAAATTACAAAGGTATTTTTCATTTTTTTTTTTAAGTTTTAATTTTCTAAAGTAAATAATAATTTAAGTAATTAATAATTAACTAAAGTTATTAGTAATTAAATTAATGTAACTAAACGACTATTGTAAATAGTAATTATAAACTAATTAATAATTCGACTAATAATTATAATTTTTTTTAGATATTATTTTTGTTAATTTTGTCAATGTTTTTTTTGTTTTCATTTCAGGCGATTGTTCTTTGCCTGGATTCCAAGGATTACGTACAAATTAGAAATTCATTGATAATTTTGATTAAGATTTTACCGCACTTTCCTGTTTTGGCGAAACTTTCGCAAATTCTCGAGAGAAAAGTCGAAAAAGTGCGCGAAGAGGAGCGTGGTCAGCGACAAGATTTGCATGTTTTGGCCACTTCATACAGTGGACAACTAAAAGCAAAAACACCGAGTATGATACGCGAATCAGATTTTCATCACGTTGGCGATAAGGTTCGATTTTCTTTTTCGCTTTTTACAATTCAAAACAATTTTTCTTTCTTTTGTTTTTATTTAATATTATTATTACTTTTTTTTTTGTTCAGATTTAGATTCGAAGGGTTCACATTTAATTTAAAGTTTAAATTAATCAATTAAAAGTTCATCTGAATAGTTTAGATTCAAAATTTTGTTTTGTTTATTTCTTAAACTTTTTTTAAAAAAATTTTTTAAGTTTAATTTAGTTTATGAATTAAAGTCACAAATACGTGAATTCTTTTTTTTCTCTCGTAGGTGGCGAAATCTCAAGAACAATCGGCTCCAGAAACAGAAAAAGTGAGTAACGGTGTTTTACAAAAGGAAGTTTCAAACGGCGAAGCACGAGTCGAAAAGGAAAATAAAGAGATTCGTGAAAAGCGAAATATGATTCAAATTCACCAGTAAGTCTCCATAAATTGATCAATAAATTCGATTATAAATAAAAATAGAAATGTATTTATTTAATCGAAATTAAAATTTCTTTTTGTATAGTAGCCAAAAATAATTATTTTTATATCATTTAACTACTATTCTTATTATTGAATTCTTATTCTATTTAAATTATATTTATTAAATTTTTATTCTATTTAAATTCTATTTAATTTTTAATCTATTTAAATTCTATTTATTGAATTCGTCATCAGGAAGCTAATGTTAATAAATTTTCCTTATTTTACTTATTTTTCCGTTCATTATTGCAGTGAGAGTTTGGAAAAGATTCCAAAGGAAAGTTCAAAGAAAAAAGAGGAGAGTAAAGATACTCAAGAGGCGAAGGAGGAAAGAAAGATAAAGAAGGAAAAGGAGGAAATCAAAGAGGAAGAACCGATTGAGAAGAAGGAAAGAAAGCATAAGGTATCCGTCTTTTTTTATCACTAATATTAATGAAAATAGTTTTTAATATTTTTTGCGTAATTATTGTTATTTTCTTGTAAAATTTTCAACTATTTTTTAAATTTCAGTCTCAAGATGATTACTACAATAGTAGTATGGACAATTTGGACCGAGACTTGTCGAGTGTTTCAAACAGTAGCGGAAGTTCCGGTCCATCTCAGGATGTATCTGAAAAAGGTACAAAAAAAGTCACAGAAAAAAATTTCAATTATTATAATTGTTATTTTAAATTATTATTTTATTTCTTAAAAACCTTTTTTATATTTATTTTTTCCGAGGCTAATATTTAACATGAGATTTTCATTTCTTTCAGTTATAATGCCCGAACCAAAACGAAGAAAAGCCGAAAGTTCTGTTTTAAAGGTAAATATTTTTTTAGTTTTACACTTTTAATTATAAAAAATATAAATAATTTAAAAAATAAATTTTGATAAAGAAAAGATAAGAATGAGAATTTATCATTTTCAGGAAACTAGACGAGCTGAAATATCAGTTGAGAAAAAGGAACGTTCCAGTAAAACCAAAATTCGAGACGAACAAAAGGAAATGCGTAGGGAAAAGAAAATTGGCCGCAAGAGAGTGAGAACAATTTATTTATTTATTTACAACTTTAAACAATGTCAATTATTTTTTCCAACGAATTTTCTTCTGCAAATTAAAATATTAAACATTTTTTTTAAATAATTAAAAAAGAAACTGAAAAAAAGGAATTTTAGTCTTTAAAATTTAGGTTGTAATTGTCGTTTATTGAAGTTTATAAAGTAAATTCTTAAATATGTATAGTTTATAAAATAATTAATAATAATAAATTTAATTTAAATATTTATAGTTTATAAAATCATTTATAATAATAATAATAACAATAAATGGTTTTTAAAATAAAATAATTTAACTGTTTTTAAGGATCGAGCTGAAGATATTGTTCCAGCCGAGCAAAAACGAAGAAAAGATGACGAACGCGGTAAGCGCCCGAAAAATTACTTGTGAACATTTTTTACCAATAAAGTAAAATAAAAAAAATTTTATTCTATTATATTTGAAGAAAAATTCATACTTTTCACTATCGTGTAAATAATAGTTTTATTTTTTCACATTTTATTCCAAGTTTTGTATTATTTTATTTATTTACACATTAAAGGACCTGAAAGGGAAAAAATTGAAAAAAAAACTTTTTTGTTAAATTTATTCAGTAGAAATAAGCAAATTTGGTTTATAAATTTTCAATTACGTTTTGTAAAATTCTCTTTGGATTTTATACAAATAAAATGATTGTTTTAATTTGAGAAACAAAAATACGAAAGAGAATTTTTGAAAATAATAAAATGAATAAAATATAAAATTGAAATTTCTCTTTTTAGCAAAAACAACTCACCAAAATGGAGATATTCCTGAGCATCGAGAGAAACATCATTACAGCAAGGTTAGTATTATTTTACTCTATTCTTCCTTAATTATTCACAAATTTTTCCTAATCACTATTTTTATTATTATTATTATTATTATTATATTGATTTTTATTTTTTATACAATAATAATAATAATAAAAATAAAAATAAAATTTTATTCCATTATTTCTGTCCTGATAATTTTTTTTTGCTTTTTGAAAAAAATACCAACTTTTTTCCAACTTTCCAAAGATTTCCAATGTATTTTCAATTTCCCATTCGAGTTTTAGTTTTTATAATAATTAAAAAATTATTTTACACAAATATTCTTTTCTCGATGAGTCGCAGGTAAATTTACAAATTTTGAATTTGTTTACAATTTTTCAATTCGCGCGATAAATTAAATAGAAATATCTAACTTTATGAATTTACTCTCGTAAATTTTGTTATTTTGTTAAATTTCAAATTAATTAATTTCTGTTATAATTTATATTTAAATTATATTCAAATTCTAATATAATTAAATCTAATCTAATTAAATTGAATTTAATAGCTAATCTAAAATTTAAATAGATTTAAATGTTTAGATTTTTCAATAATTAAATTTTTTGATAAATTTTGCCCTTTTAAATTTTTTGAATTTTTATGTTTTAATTTTAATGTTTAAAGTAGTTTTATATTAATTTTCTATACTTGAATTTTTCGATTCGCTTTTTTATATTGTTAGATTTCCGAAAAGTGTATTTAGAAAAATTGATAACAAAAAAGGATGAAAAAAATTTGAAGAGAATTTCTGAGACTATTTTATTTTATTTTAGCCAAAGTATAAACCGAATTGTGTGGCAAATTGCCTTTCAAAATTTATCGAGAGTGAAGAAAAATAAATTATTTTACAATATCAATATTGTAAAGAGGTTGTTTTTCTCAAATATAATTTGGAATTTTTTTTTCGTCCAACAATCTAATTTTTTTAATCGACGCTTTCCTAGTTATTAAAGACGTCGCTGTCCGGTTCATTGAAAAGACGAATTATCCGGCAATAGAGTGAAAAAGAAAGGCAAGGAAGACAATTTTTAACGAGATAAGAACTGTTACATAATCGCAAAATTTTTTCAATTCATTTACAATTTTTTTCTATTGTCTTTTTTTTAGTTTTAATTTTTCTGGCAGTTTGTTCTTTTTTTTTTAATTGGGTAAATTTTTACAGGAAAAGTCGCCTTATACTAAAGAAAGACACGAGCGAGAGGGACGAGAAACCAGAGATAAACAATATCCTTTTTTCTGCTAGAAATAATTTTTTAATGTGATTAAAAATATTTTTGAGAATAATTTTTTTTAACTATTAATTTTATTTTATTTTTTGTTACTTTAATACTTTTGTTTAATATTTCTTACATTTCTTTGAAAAAAATATAATTTTACACAGTGTTTTTTATTTTTCCTGTAAAATAAATGTTACGTTTGATTTATTTTTTCAATATTTCTTTAATAAAAAAAAGGTCTAAATACGATTATTTCAATTTATTTAAATTTATTTACTTTTCTAATGAAAATAAATTCAATTAAAATTGTTAGTAATTATACTAATAATTTTAATAAAAATTTAATAAAAACTTGATAAAAATATAAATAATAAAATTTAATTAAAATATAATTAATAAAATTTAATAAAAAATAATATTTAATAAAAATATTGATATTGATAAAATATGGTTAAATATTGACGAAAAATTGAATAAAAAAAAATTGTCCTTAATATTGAAATACTAGGAGAAATTCAGATCCAAAACGAAGATGATGCACAACAATGGATGACGTGTGACTTACATTTTTTTTAAGCTACGTTTCAATGTTGTATGTAATTTAAATTAGATTCGGAAACAATAAAAATTAGTGACAGAATCGACTTATTTGTATATTACGTCTTACGTTCAATTTTTATACAATAAATGTATTTGTCGAAAATTGAAATACTTTTTTGCCAGTGAAAAGGAAGAAGAAAACTTATTGTTATTACTTTTTATCTCATCTCTTTTTTTTAATGAGTCTTATTTGAAAAATAAAATCCAAAAAACAAGAAAAATTTTATTAATCGTACTTTTTTTACTACTTATCTATCAATTGGTTTTGTTGTGAAAAATTAACCTTTTAGTATGGCAGAAAGTATAATGATAATTTAAAAAAAAAAAAAAAAAAAAAAAGTGACATTAAATTTTAATGATAAAAATTAATTTTAAAAATTATTTACTATTTATTGATTTTTCATAATGGAAAAGAATGAAAATATGGATATTATTAAGGGAGGAGAAAATAACAAAATTATTATATTTGAACAAATAGATTTTATTTCTATTATTCATCATAATATTAATACATTTTTCTTTATTTTTTATTAATTTTTAATTACCCTTGATGACGGTTCAAAAGATTTAGACAATAGTCAGTCATCAACTGTAGATCTCTAAAAAAGAAAAATAAATAGTATGTAAATAAGTTTTTAATAAAAAAAATTATCAAATTAATAGAAATTTTTTCATTAAAAACTTTTTAACATAAATCGAATTTTCAAATTATTTTAATTTAATAATAATTGAAAAATAATTGAATTTTATAAAGAGTCGCATTCTAATGTATTCATGTTTTTTAGTGCGATTAATAATTAAAATTTTTAATAGTTAATTTAAAAAAAGAGACACATTTAAAATTTTTTTATTAAAATTGAATTTTTGTCAAGTTTTTTTTTTTTGAAAATTCTGAAAAATAAGATTTTTGAAATTTTTCAATTCTGTTGTTTCGAGATAATTGAATTTTTATAAACAAATAATTGACAATTTTTGAAATAATTATAATTTCTTTACATTCTATTAAAAATAATTAAATTCTTTTAAAGAATTTTATTTAAATTTTTCGAAAATAATCAAGGGAAGTTAGTCACCGTAATTATAATTTTATTATCAAAAATTTCGACGCAACATAAAATATATTCAATTATTTTCATGAATACTAAAATTCATCATAGAATTTCAATTACTTTTAATACAATTTTAATCGAATTCCTCGAAAAATGTAATTATTCGTAGAAATTTTTATTAAAATTCGTCGAAGGAATTCAATTATTTCCATAAATAGCAAAATTCTTCAGATTTACTTGAATTTACTAAATTTTTTTTGAATATTATTTTTAAATCAAAATTCTTCACAAGAATTCAATTATTTTCATAAATTTCCATAAAATTCTAAAAAAAAAAACAATTCAATTATTTTCAAAAGCAATAAAATTCTTCGCAGAAATTCAATTATGTATAAAAATTTGTTTCTTAATTTCTCCTCAAAATTTCAATTATCTTTATAAATAATTAAATTCTTCTACACAATAAAAATCAATTATTTTCAAAAACATTAATAAAATTCTACGAAAACATTGAATTATTTTCATAAATAATAATATTCTTTGAAAGGATTCAATTACTTTTATAAAAACAGTAAAATTCTTTGCATAAATTTAATTAGTATCATTACATTTTTATAAAATTGAATTAATCAAATTTTCAATTATAATTATAAACAGACAAAATTATTTTTAAAAATTTGAAAAAATGAAATGGATAATCTGTTAATTACCCATCGTAACTAAGACGTAGTTGTAGTAAATGAATCGTCAGGAATTGTAGATCTCTAAAACAAAAAACCTTCTGTAAATAAAGATTTTAAGCATTTTTAAAAATTTACTGAACTTAGAAAGTAAAATTCATTTCTTTATCATCTGTTACATAAAAATTGAAATGGATCATCTGTTTTTTACCTTCGGTAACCATGTCATAGTAGGATTCGATAAATCGTCAGGATTTGCCGATCTCTAAAATTGAAAAACTTCTTTTGATTTGAAGAAGTATACTTTTTACTGAATTTAAAAACTAAAATATTGATTTCTTCACCATCGGATACATAAAAATTGTCATGGATTGTTTATTACCCATCGTAACCAAGGCGTAGTTGTGGTAGATGAATCGTCAGGATTTGCAGATCTCTAAAATTAAAAAACTTCTGTAGATGAAGATTTGAAGCATTTTTGTAAATTTATTGATCTTAGAAAGTAAAATTGATTTCTTCACCATCTATGTTACATAAAAATTGTCATGGATTGTTTATTACCCATCGTAACCAAGACGTAGTTGTAGTAGGTGAATCGTCAGGATTTACCGATCTCTAAAATTAAAAAACTTCTTTTGATTTGAAGTATACTTTTTACTGAATTTAAAAACTAAAATATTGATTTCTTCACCATCTGCTACATAAAAATTGTCATGGATTGTTTATTACCCATCGTAACCAAGGCGTAGTTGTGGTAGATGAATCGTCAGAATTTGCAGATCTCTAAAATTAAAAAACTTCTGTAGATGAAGATTTGAAGCATTTTTGTAAATTTATTGATCTCAGAAAGTAAAATTGATTTCTTCACCATCTGTTACATAAAAATTGTCATGGATTGTTTATTACCCATCGTAACCAAGACGTAGTTGTAGTAGGTGAATCGTCAGGAATTGTAGATCTCTAAAACAAAAAACCTTCTGTAAATAAAGATTTTAAGCATTTTTAAAAATTTACTGAAATTAGAAAGTAAAATTCATTTCTTTATCATCTGTTACATAAAAATTGAAGTGGATCATCTGTTTTTTACCTTCGGTAACCATGTCATAGTAGGATTCGATGAATCGTCAGGATTTGCAGATCTCTAAAATTAAAAAACTTCTGTAGATGAAGATTTGAAGCATTTTTGTAAATTTATTGATCTCAGAAAGTAAAATTGATTTCTTCACCATCTGTTACATAAAAATTGTCATGGATTGTTTATTACCCATCGTAACCAAGACGTAGTTGTAGTAGGTGAATCGTCAGGATTTGCAGATCTCTAAAATTAAAAAACTTCTTTTGATTTGAAGTATACTTTTTACTGAATTTAAAAACTAAAATTTTGATTTCTTCACCATTTGTTACATAAAAATTGTTATTGATAATCTGTTTATTACCCATTGTCGCCAAGAAACAGTTGAAGTCAATGAATCGTCAGGATTATCAGATCTCTAAAATAAAAAAATTCTGTAGATGAAGATTTGAAGCATTTATTTAAGTTTACTGAATTTAAAATCTAAAATTGAAATCTTTTTCGTCTGTTACATAAAAATTTAAATGGATGATCTATTTATTACCAATAGTGCCTATGTCGCTGTTGCATTTGATAAATCGTCAGTATATATGAAGTATTTTAAAAGATAGATAAAAAATTTTTCTTAAAGTTTTTATGAATAATTAAATTCTTTTGACAAATTTCTTTAAATTTTTGGAAAATAATTTTTTTGAATTGAATTAAAGAAAGATTTTTTTCAATTTTTGTAAAATAATCTTGTCTGTTTATAATTATAATTGAAAATTTGATGAATTCAATTTTATTAAAATGTCTTGATACTAATTGAATTTCTGCAAAGAATTTTACTATTTATAAAAGTAATTGAATCCTTCCAAAGAATGTTATTATTTATATGAAAATAATTAAATTTTTGCGTAGAATTTTATTAAAATTTTTGAAAATAATTTATTTTCATTGTGGAGAACAATTTAATTATTTATAAAAATAATTGAAATTTTGAGGAGAATTTAAAAAAAAAATTTTTTAAATAATTGAATTTCCACGCAAAATTTTATTACTTTTTGAAAATAATTGAATTCTGTTTTTTAAGAATTTTATGGAAATTTATTAAAATAATCGAATTCTTGTGAAGAATATTTTTTAAAAATAATAGGTATTCAAAAGAATTTAGTAAATCTGAAGAATTTTGCTATTTATCGAAATAATTGAATTCTTGAGAAGAATTTTTTTTTAGTTTCTAGAAATAATTGAATTTTTTCGAGGAATTTTAATAAAATTTTTACGATTAATTACATTTTTCGAGGAATTCGATTAAAATTGTATTAAAAATAATTGAAATTTTGCATTGAATTTTACTACTTATGAAAATAATTGAATATATTTTATATTCAAAAAAAAATTTTTCAAAAAATTGAAATAAAAAACGATTTTTAAAAAGAAATTAAAATTTAATAAAATTTTAATAAAAGTTTTCTATGTCAAGTGAATTTTATTTCTAATAAGGAAAAAATAATTAATTTTTCTTACCCCTTCATTACGTTGACCTTCGGTAGATTCTAGTAGAAGAATACTACCGACAAGAATTAGAATTCCTTGAAAAATTTTCATTTTCAAAATTTTTTTTTTAAATATGATTGAAAATTGAAATAATTCTTCCTTTTTATACCCGTATTTTTTATTATATAACTATAAAAAGATACTATCAAAAAATTCCTATATCCAACGTGCTGAAAGAACTATAAATATTTATTTCTTTTTTTTGTAACTGATTAGAAAAATATTTTCTCAACTTTTCTTTAATTACTTTTGAAATAATAAAATACTGTTTAATTTTATATTCTATTAATTTCTCTTTCTACAGGAATTTTGACACCAAATCGGATATCATTTTGCATCTTAAATTGTTTTTAAAAATATTTTTCTTTCCTTATCGAAATTTGTGTTTTTAAAATAAAAAATGTATTAATTTTAAATTTACAAATTCTTAAGATTCATTTTTTAATAATGTGTGATATTATTTTAAAAATTTAAATCTTTTGATAGAATTCTATTATATTTACAACGAATTTTAATTATGAGACATTGAATAAAAATAGTTTTTCAATATTTTCCAAAAATATTTTTATTTTATAAAAGTATTATTTCTTTAAAAGAATTGAAATTTTTTTCCAAACGAACAAAATCTATTGTTTTAAAATCGTAAAAAGTAATAAAAAAGATATGCGATACAAATATCTCTTTTCAGAATTTTGAATTTTAATATAGAAAAAATTTATTTACTGTTTAAAACGTTTAAAAAGTTGGTAAATAAAAAAAACGTAATATAACCTTCATGTGACATTGGAAATATATTATGTGAATTACAATTGCTTTATAAAGCATTTTTAAAAAAAATTGTTAATTATTTAATATTTCACATTTTTTACTTTTATTAAAAAAATAGAAACTTAAAATTTATGATTATTTTACTTTTTTATAGGGAATTTGACACCGAATTAAATTGAAAATAATTTTACGTCTTAAATTTCTTTTGAATTAATATTTTTCTTTCAAAAAAAAATTTTTTATTAATATAAAATTTACAAATTCTTAAAATTCTTTTTTTTATGTTCACTTTTATTATTTAAATTTCAAATTTTTTGTTACTTATTATTTTTTGTTTAGAACGAATCTTATTAGGAAACATTGAATAAAACTAATTTTTGAATATTTAAAAATTGTTTTGAATAAATATTTTTATTTTATAAAAGTTAATTTCTAGAAATTTGAAATTTTTTCCAAACGCAAAAAAATTGTTTTAAAATCATAAAAGCGTGAAAAGTAATAAAATGCATACGATATAAATGTTTTCTTTTCACAATTTCGAACGTGTTCTATATTGAAATTTATTTACTTTTTAATAGTTTTGTAAATAAAAAAAAGTGTAATCTATGTAACATTGGAAAATATTTCTAAAAGTTTATTTTAATATTTAACATTTTTCACTTTCATTAAAAAAAATCGTTTCTATTTTTTTTGAATTCACTTTTATTAAAAAAAATCGTTTCTATTTTTTTGAATTCACTTTCATTAAAAAAACGTTTCTATTTTTTAATGAAAGTGAATAATTAAGATTTGAAAAAAATTTATGAAAATTTGAAACTATTGATATAATTATCGAAATAATTATAAATACTATAAATATAATCTTAAATAGAATTGTAAAATTTGTTTATTGATAAATCTTTGTTGAAAAGATTAAATATAAAAGAAAATTAAAAATCAAAATAGTTTTCACAATATTTTGATCGATTACAATAAATATTTCTATTTTTTTTTTGTTTCCCCTCATAGACTATTAATTTAATACAATGACATGAAAAAAAAGGGAAACAAATTTACGTAAAAAAAAAATACTGTAAAAAAATAAAATTTCTACATTATGACGAAGTAATGTAGTCGAAAAAATACTGATCGGCTTTTGTACTTTCTTCCTCAAGGCGTTTCAGTCTCATTTTTGCGTCCTGAATTAAATCCTCAGTCGAACTACTCTCACTCACAATTGTACTATTTTTCGTTAATTGAATGACTGGATTTGGCAGTTCTAAAATATTTCTCTTCACCAATTGCGTCTCTTCCATTTGCCTCGAGAGACGAACGGCTCTCAATGTTAATTGTTCAATTCGCGCCTGTTGCTGTTTCACCAAACTATTTAATTCCTCATTTTCACGGCAGAGATTCGTGAAACTCTCGAAATCCGTTTGCGTATGCATATCGCGATAATCATTTTTATTTAACGTTGGAAATTCTCTTTTTACTTTTAATAATTCGTCCCGTAATTTTTGCAAGTCTGTCTCAAACTTTCTATAACTGTCCCTCTCCTTTTCTAATCTGAAAAAAGAGAAAAAAAATGGAATTGAATAGAAAAGCATTTTTTTTCGATTATTTAAATGCTAGAATTATTAATTCTAAAACAAAAGTGTTACAATTTCTTTTTGATTTTATCAAATTTTATTGAAATAAATGTATTTTTTTACTTTTAAAAATACTTTTAATTTGTCGCGAAAAAAAATTATTTTCATAAAAATATTTAAGTAGATAATTTTGCAAAAGAATTCACTTATCTCGATAAACAAAACAAAATTCTACCCATAAAATCAATTTTAAGAAATTTTAATAAAATTCTTTTCTAAAATTCAATTATTTTGATAAATATCGAAATTCATGACAAGAATTCAATTATTTTTAAAAAGTAATAAATTTTTTTGCCAAAATTCAATTATTTTCAAAAATATTAAACTTTTTCGAAGAAATTCAATTATTTTTAAAAATTTTAACGAATATCTCGTCAAGAATTCAATTATCTTTATAAATAGCAAAAATGTTCGCCAAAAATTCAATTATTTTCAAAAATTAAATAAAATTCTTAGCAAAATTTCAATTCTTTTCAAAAATTAAATCAAATTCTTTGGAAATTTCAATTATTTTTAAAACTTTTAATAAAATTCTTGGCAAAATTTCAATTATTTTTTAAAATAACAATATTCATGCAAAAGAATTCAATTATTTTTAAAAATAATAACATTCTTCGAAGAAATTCAATTATTTTCAAAAATTAAATCAAATTCTTTACAAAATTTCAATTATTTTCAAAAATTAAATAAAATTCTTTGCAAAATTTCAATTATTTTCAAAAATTAAATGAAATTCTTTGCAATATTTCAATTATTTTCAAAAATTAAATAAAATTCTTTGGAAATTTCAATTATTTTCAAAAATTTTAATAAAATTCTTGGCAAAATTCAATTATTTTTAAAAATAACAACATTTATTACAAGAATTCAATTATTTTCAAAAATAATAAAATTCTTTAAAGAAATTCAATTATTTTCAAAAATTAAATAAAATTCTTTGCAAAATTTCAATTATTTTCAAAATTAAATAAAATTGTTTGCAAAAATTCAATTATTTTCAAAAATTAAATAAAATTCTTAGCAAAATTTCAATTATTTTCAAAAATTAAATAAAATTCTTTAGAAATTTCAATTATTTTCAAAAATTTTAATAAAATTCTTGACAAAATTCAATTATTTTTAAAAATAACAATATTCATCAAAAGAATTTAATTATTTTCAAAAATAATAACATTCTTCGAAGAAATTCAATTATTTTCAAAAATTAAATAAAATTCTTTGCAAAATTTCAATTATTTTCAAAAATTAAATAAAATTCTTTGAAAAATTTTTATTATTTTGAAAAATTAAATAAAATTCTTTGGAAATTTTAATTATTTTCAAAAATTTTAATAAAATTCTTGGCAAAATTCAATTATTTTTAAAAATCACATTATTCATTACAAGAATTCAATTATTTTCAAAAATAATAAAATTCTTTAAAGAAATTCAATTATTTTTAAAAATTAAATAAAATTCTTTGCAAAATTTCAATTATTTTCAAAAATTAAATAAAATTCTTAGCAAAATTTAAATTCTTTTCAAAAATTAAATAAAATTCTTGTCAAAATTCAATTATTTTCAAAAATAATAACATTCTTCAAAGAAATTCAATTATTTTTAAAAATTAAATAAAATTCTTTGCAAAATTTCAATTATTTTTAAAAATAATAAAATTCTTTGAAGAAATTCAATTATTTTTAAAAATTTTATCGAATATGTCATCAAGAATTCAATTATCTTTATAAATAGCAAAAATTAACATAATATTTAACTATTTTAAAAAATCATTTAAATTATTAATTTAAATATTTACTTAATAAAAATTATTTAAGTTTTGAACAGTTTAATACAGAAATTAAAACAAAATCGCAACTAAAATTTTTCAAAACAAGTTAAATTCCCGTAAATAATTTAAAAACTTTAAATAAAATTTCCAATTAATTGAAATTTCATCGAATTTTATTGAAATAAATGTTATTTTTTTATTTTTTAAAATTATTTTGTAAAAATAATTGTATTTTTGAAGAATTCTATAACCAAAAAAATTGGAAAATAATTGAATTTTAGAAAAATTTAGAATTTAATTTTTCGAGTTTATTTTTACCATATTTTTCAGTTTTTAAGTTACTTTTTGCTAGTTTTTAAAAATCTATAAAGCAAAAAAGAAACTTTATTATCAAGTGCAAAGCCTGGTTTTGTGAAAAAAAATTTTTTTTAGAGACAATAAAAATTAAATATGCACCTAATTGCTTCTTGGGAGAGAAGTTTCTCCTTCATTGCGAGTTCCATATCTTTTTGAATAATTCTCTGCTCCTCTTTTCCTCTTTCTTGATGAAAATTTTTCTCCTTCGTTTGAACATTGTACATTAATTCCTGAGCTTCTTGTAATTTCTTCTGCAATAACGAAAGTTGACGATCAACGATAATTGCCTGTTCTCTTAATTTTTTCTCCTTCTCCTTCAATTCTAAATCGAAAATTTCCTTTTGCTTGAATAATCTTTTTGTCGCCGATGCCACTTTTTCTTCTCTAGTTTCCTCTCTCTCGGTTTGAGTCGCATTCTCGCGGACATTTTTCAAAACTTTAGTCACTTTGCATTTTTCTCCAATTTCATCAATTTTCAATGAAGAAAATTGACGATGAGAATTTAAAATACATAGTAAAAGTGGTTCTTCAGTTTCTGAATATTTGGAAATAATTGACAGTCCTTCGGGTTCGTCTGATTTTATTCCCAGAGTGTCAAGTGTATGCGTCACATAATCATTTTGCAAACGTTGCTTATTCTCGTTTTCATTGGAATTGCTTGACACTTGTCGGGCAAAATTCACAAGTAAAGGCGCTTCGCTTGCAAAAACTGACAATGAACAGGCGTAATTTCTGTCGAAGAGATATTCTGCAATTAATAAATCGTGAACGTATTGCTTTGCCGATTTTGGTCGATTACTCTCGCATTTTAATGAATCTTTATTTTTTAAAGCATTTACCAAATTTTGACGCAAATGTGTCCGTATGTTCCCGATTATTCCACATTTATCGAACCTGTGAAAATTTTCAAATTCTTTAATTTTATCTGTAATTTTAATAATTACGAAAAAAAATTTGTTAGTAAATTTTACGAAACAATACTTTTTATTGTTTTCAAATCACTGAATTATCGTTTCTAAAAAAAATTAATACAAAACCTTCAAACTTAAAATAACAATATTCATAAAAAAATTCAATTATTTTCAAAAATAATAAAATTTTTGAAAAAATTCAATTATTTTTAAAAATGTTAATAAAATTCTTTTACAAAATTCAATTATTTTGATAAATATCAAAATTCATGATAAGAATTCAATTCTTTTGAAAAGTAATAAAATCCTTTTCAGAAATTCAATTATTTTCAAAAATAATAAAATTCTTAGAAAAAATTCAATTATTTAAAAAAATTTTAATAAAATTCTTTTCCCAAAATTGAATTATTTTGATAAATATAAAAATTTATGACAAAAATTCAATTCTTTTGAAAAGTAATAAAATCCTTTGCAGAATTCAATTATTGAAATTCATGACAAGAATTTGAGAAGTAATAAAATCCATTGCAGAAATTCAATTATTTTCAAAAATTTTAACGATTATCTTGTCAAGAATTCAATTATCTTTATAAATACGCAAAAATTTTCACCAGAAATTCAATTATTTTCAAAAATTAAATAAAATTCTTAGAAAAATTTCAATTAATTTCAAAAATTTTAATAAAATTCTTGGCAAAATTCAATTATTTTTATAAATAACAATATTCATCGAAATAATTCAATTATTTTCAAAAATAATAGAATTCTTTGAAGAAATTCAATTATTTTTGAAAATTTTTTTAAAATTCTATTCAAAAATTCAATTATTTTGATAAATATCAAAATTTATTATAAGATTATTCAATTCTTTTGAAAAGTAATAAAATACTTTGCAGAAATTAAATTATTTTCAAATTTTTTTAAAAATTCTCCTTAAAAATTAAATTATCCTTATAAAGAGGTAGTAAAATTCTTTTCTAGAATTAAATTTATTATTTTTAAAAATTTTAATAAAATCCTTGGCAAAATTCAATTATTTAAACAAAAGTTTAATTCTTCTCATGAATTATTATTTAAATTCCACTCAGAAATTTGATTATTTTTTTGAAAAATTTTAATAACTTTTTTCCTTGAATAATAAAAATATTGTTTTGTTATAAGAAGCATAAATACATAATATTCTGGCTTTTTTATTAGAATAATAATTTTAAAAAACTTTACGATCGTTACTGTTGTAAAAATTTTGAAAAGTTATAAAATGTTTACTTTCGTGTTCAACTTAAAAAACAAAACAAGTTCCTTTGTTATTTTTAATATAGTAGATAAACAAATATTTGCATGTTTATAAAGGGTTAAAGTGTAAAATATAAAAATTTTTAGAAAAAAGTAAACTTTTTATTGATAAAAAATACATACCAGGAATAAACGGTTGAATAATAATCATTTTCCATGATAATACTTATTTTTGACTGAACAAAAAATATAGTAAAAAAAAAATTTTCCTTTTTTTGTAGTAAAAATAATACTGTTAAAGGTGCTTAATTTAATATACAAAAGATTTATTCAACTGTCACTGACTGTCACACAAACAATCTGTCACAACAAAACATTTTTTAACAGTTTAACTTCTGCTAGAAATTGTGAACTGCGCTTGCGCCAATGCAGGGCTGTGACTCTTGTTATTTTTCAAATTTATTCACTATTATCTTGCTATTATTATTAATATTACAATTACACTACTAGAAGAGATGAAAATTAATAAAGTAGTATTTAATAATTAATATAATATGTAAATATACTGTATAATTATAAATTATAATTAATTGAAACTTAGATAAATATACTAGATGCGGCGAGGGTCGATGGTGGGGACTACCGATATATATAGCATACTAAATTTTCAGTGTATGTTAGTGCTGCCCTCTTCAACTTTTCGCCGTTTCCAAGGATACCGCTTGGAAATCGCGTTTTTTGAGTCGTGAAAGGCTAGAATTTCATTTCTCGCCAATATCACTACTTTTCTTTTTTGAAAACAACGTGTTTTTCAATAAAAACTAATCAATCAATTTTTTAAAATAAAATTTTTTAAAATAAAGAACTTTTAATTTAAAATAAAAAAACCTAATTATTATTTTTAATTAACTTTCTTATAAATAAAATAAAATATTTTGATTATTTCATTGTAATTAATTTCCTTTGTAATAAAAAGTTATTAATTATTTTTTTAATTAAAACAAAATTTTTTAATTATTAATTAAATTAATTAATTTAGTTATTAAATGTATTATTAAAATAATTTATTTAATTATTAAATTAATTATTAATTAATTTTTTTAATTAGCTAAATAACCCCACATAACCTTGGAGTGCGGAATCCAAGGTATCTGTAGGCAGATTTCCCAAAATTCCCTAAGCAAAAAAAAATAATAATAATAACATGGTTGCCACAAAATCTAGATTTCAAAATTCCAGGCTTTTTCCAGGTTTTCCAGGTTAAAAATATTAAAAATTCCAGGTTCAAATTTAGGAATTATTTGTGATGAAAAAACAAGTATTTTACAAAACAGTGTTGACAATATTCATTATTATATAGTTATAAATTAATGTTCTCTTAAACAGTTAAAATCACAAGCATTTTTATGTTTATTTTTCTGAAAGTGATACTTTTGATATTCGATTTTTCAATTTATTTTTTTTTTAAATTATATGGTTTTTTCTATTGAAACTACTTTATTTCATACTCAAAAGTAAGAATTTTTTTTATAAATATTATATAGAAAAATTAAACATCAGACCATTAACTTTATTTTAATGTGCATTCACATTTTTTTATAATATTTTTAATGTATAAAAACATCATTAATCATCGTGAAGTAATTTTAACTTAAACTGAAGACAAAATTTAAACATTTTTATCACATATAAAACGGAGGTACAAAAATTTTTAAAATGCACATAATGATAGAAAAACATTGTATTTCTTAACACTATTTTTAAAAAAAATTTAAGAGTTGGAAAAAAACCATAAAAATTTAGTTCTCTTATAAATTATAAATTTTTACTATAAAAATGGTTAATAATATTATTAGAGAGTAGATTCTATAAAATTAATCGAGATATCAAAAATGTCACTTTCCTTTTTTTAGAACAATCTTAACAACATTTTTCACAGTTTCAGTCAATAATTAAAAAAAAAAAAATTAATTTAAAGAGAAAACATGGAAAAGGGAAATTGCATGTTAACATTTTTAAAGAAAAAAAAACATGTTGAATGGAATTTTTCTTAATATCTTTCATTAACCCAAAAAAATTCCAGAAATTCGTTCAAATTCCATGCTAATTCCAGGTTTTCCATATCCTTTTTCAATTTCCATGCTATTTCCAGGTTTTCCAGGTTGTGTGGCAACCATGAATAAGAATAAAAATAATTTAAAAAAAAATAAAAACAAAATTAATAGATAATTATAATGTTTATTATAATGTAATGACTCGATAGAGTTTGAAGCTCAGTTTAAAATTTGACGTTGCAATTTAAAATACGTAGATATTTTTACTTAATTTGAGAAATTACATATTTTTATTTTATTAATTTATTTTATTATGAATTATTCTATTGTGAACCGTTATTTATTTATTTATTTATGGTATTTTATTATTTATTTTGCATGTGCTATTTATTATTTTTATTTATTATTAATTTTCATAATTGTATTTTTAATGTTTCATAAATTATAATTTTTTTTTATTAATTAATTTTTAATTTGTTATTAACTTGTTACTAATTTTATTATTGATTATTATTTTTCACAATTTTAAATTTAAAAAATTTTTTTCAATTATTTTTAAATTTATTTGATGAATATTAAGTTTTTTATAATTTTCTTTTACTCGAGACTCTACTCCATCGTCAGGGCATAAAAATTTAAGTCTTCATCTATTTTAATTATATTATTTTTTGGTAAGATAATTATCCATTAATTTTTATTTTTATTTATTTATTGTTAAATTATTTTTATTTTAATCATGTAAATAATTTTTATTATTATTTTAATTTTGTATATTTTTTTGGATAAACTTCCTGAAGAGGAAATCATTTAGATTTCTGAATTTTAATTTAAAAATTGTGTTTAATAGAATGGGAAAGGCTAAAAAAATACATAAAGTTTGAAAAATGAGGAATATTTTATATTAAACGATAATAAAATTTCTATAGTGCAAAAATTTTTTAATTTTTAAACAAATAGTTTCTGTCTGAAAAAATTTTACACTGAAAAAAATTTATTTGATTCAAAATAAAAAAAATTAAAAAAAAAAATAAAAAATAAAAATTAATTAATAATAAATATATATATTAATAATAATAATAATAATAATAATAATAATAATAATAATAATAATAATAATAATAATATTAATAATATATATATTAATAATTAATTAATTATAACTAATTGACCGTTCAATTAAATTAATGTAAAATGTAAAATTTTTCTTTTGAAAATTGTTGATTGAGAAATGTTTAAAAACATTTGTTTGGAAAAATCGCCCCCAAAAAGTGTTTTCCCGCGTTTCATATCTCACTCCTAAATAATTAGAGATACTTAGTTCCGATTTATCATGAAAATTAGGGGAATTCATGATGATAAACAATATTCTCGGAATTTGCAAGTAATTTTTAAAATAAATATTGAAAAACAAAATAACAAAAGTTGGATTTTTGGCGAAAGTGAGAGACAATACGGCGGCGAGCACACAGACAAGTGGATCTATGTGTCAGTGGTCAAGGAGGTGGCGCCGATTCTCGGAAGTGGCCGCGACTTTAACTAAGGAAATGTATTATAACCTCGCAAATTACTCCACTTTAAATCGTTAATAACGTTAATAAAATAATTTTCTCGCAAAATTTTATCCTCTCGAAATGAGACCGTGATATCAAACCGTTCAAAACCGTTTCTCTATATTTACCAAAAAACCCTGACTGAAAATATTCTTTTCTTATTTATTTTTAAATGAGAACGCGATTGAACGCGATCACGAAAACATTATTTTTTCCCGGATTCACACATTTAAATATACAACGAAATAAAAGAATTTAATTTACTATATTTAATTATATATAGTTAAGAAAAACAACAATTTTTTTTATAAATTGTATACAATTTTAATCTTAAATTTGAATGAGAAATGATCGCTTTGTTAGTATTTTCAAACACTTCCGCCTTTAATAGACCGAAGATTGACGAAGTAATCCGATTGGTCCGATTATAAGAGGCCCACGAAGGGCACATGTGGGCACATGATCTACACTAACGCCACCCTGGATTCATGTGCCTAAACTAACGCCTCGCCGCATCTAGTATATTTATCTAAGATTGAAATATAAAATTCTTGAATGAAAGAAAACTGTTGTGAACGAACCTTTAGACAGTAAAAGTACATTTATGTTGGTAATCCTGCTCAGAATTGGCAAAAGGAAAACCGCAAAACTGAATTACTGAACAAAACTAACGGTTATGAAAAAGTCAAGAAGGAAAAAGTACAAGGAAGTTGTGAAAGAAATTTAGAAAATAGCCCCTCCAATTCATAGTTTAATAAATAATTTATATTTCACTAAGATTTATTAAATACTACAAAAATATTATTTAATATAAATCTTGAAATTATAACAAAAATACAAAAAATTAAACCATTTTCGTTAAAAATAAAATAAAAAGAAATAAAAAGGAATATTCGTTAATTTTTGCAGAATTACACGGACGCATTCCTCGATCTGATAAACAAGCACATGATTCAATTGTGTGTCCATCTACCTAAAAAATTTTTATTTAAGAATTATTATTTTTTACCAACTAATAAACAAGTTGCTTTTTCAATTTTTCCCTAAACAATAAAATTTTTGTCGCATTAACTCGGGAGTAATCGTGCATTTCAACATTTTCTTAATTATTATAGGTTAGGTTTTTATTAATTTATTTTATAAATTTTATTAAAAATTCCTTTTTATTTTTTTAAAATAAAAAAAAAATTTATTGAACGTATGAATATAAAAAATAAAATTTTAATAGTGATTCCTCTCCACATTTTATAAAATGGAATGAATTTGATATTTTACTGAGTATACCGAATCTTAACAAACGATTATTATCAGAAATGTTTTTCATAAAAGAAGAAGAAGGAGAAAATAGTTTAAATAAAATGACTGACTTGGATAATTTTGATAAATCGTATGAAATGATTTTAAATTTTATTTCTAGTAATTTAACGTAATAGGATACTCATTGTGTTCATTCTTATTTTATCTCTTGATCGTATTACTGTATATTACTCATTTTATTTATTTCTATTGTTTGTTTATTAATTTTCATAATTTTATTAATTATTTATTGATTCTTTGCTATTTTTATTTTTTACTAATTTCATTTTTATTTCTCTTTATGTTTAAAATTTAATTCTTTTTTGGATTTTTTCAATTTTTTTCTTTGATTTTAGTTTATTAATTTTTAACTTTCATTATAATTTTTCTGACTCCATAAATCTATTCGAGTATTAATTATAAAAAAATTTTTTATGTCTTGTCTTCGTTTATTTGACTTTTAATTTTTGGTAAGATAATTATTAATTATTATTAATACATAAATTTTTTTAAATAAAAAAAATAAATTTTTAATTTAATTTTAATTTTTTTTTTTTAATTTTTAATTTTTTTTTTTTTTTTTTTTTTTTATTATTTAATTATTAATTATTATTAATACATAAATTTTTTTAAATAAATACCTGTTGTGTATAACAATTCGATGTAATTGCTGTGGTCTTATCCTCTATCATTTTTCCACAAAAGTGCGTACTATTAATAACTAAAATTTAATAAAATACTATTATTATTAAATTTCTTAAAATTAAATTATTATTAAATTTTTTTAAATTAAATTATTATTATAAATTCTTTATAAAAATATACATTTACCAGCATTATTGTAAATAAATGTATGTTTTATACACACATAACCAGGATTCATGGAACAAGTGTATTGATCTTTATTTGACCATAAATCTGTTAATATCGGTGGAGTTGCTGAAAATTATTTTTAAACATTTAAATTCACTTATTCTCTATGTGGTACAATTCATTTTTCTATATTGTGAATAAAATAATAACAAAGAAGATAATTTGTTTTAAAATAATAATAATGAAATAAATAGCAATACTTTAAAAAAAAAGGTTTCTTTTAAATTAATTATGAATAAAATACAAAATACTATCAAAAAGAATAAAAAAAAATATTTAAAAAAAAGTTAAAATTTTTAAATTTTAAAAATGAAATTTTACAACTAAAGTAGAATTTCATGAGCAACTGAAAATCAATTTAATTAAAAATGTTACTAAGTATCCACTTACAAGAATTAAAAAATGGTTTAACACATGGAGTATTCTTAATTATGGAACAATTGACTTTTGAATTGTCAACCATTGGTCCCAACCACGTAAATCTAAAACAATAAGCAGACGGCTCTTGTGCTAAAATTTCCACATCTGAAATAAAAAGAATTTCATTAAAATTTAATTTTTATTTCCATTTTGTAATTTTAATCACAAGCATAGAATGTTTTTGAAATAGAATTTTTTAATAAACTTATTTAACAAAATTATAAAAATAATTACCTTGAAGTTTGAGAAAAATGAAAAAAATAAAGGAACATGTTAAATACATTTTCACTATGTCACATATTTAATACTGATTAAATTATCTTTCACTTTCATGGTTAATAGAATGATAAGTATTATCTGCTAATCTATCAATTTTGCCTATAGATAAATGCTATTTCTTTTGTTGTCATTTAAAATTTATCTTTTTTTTAAAAAAAGAAAATTTAGAAATTAAGTAATTTTAGAATTGAAAAGCATTAAAAATTTTCAATAAAAATAATTAAAAACGATCGAAATTTTGAGAATTATTTTTATTTTATTATAAATTATTTATTAAAATAAGCAATGTTTATTAAGATTTATTTTTACATTATGTTAGTGGCACATTAGAGACGAAATAATTGATTCTAAAAATCACAAATGTATGAATTTCGTCTATTAAAATGAGTTTTTTTAATAGATTACATATAAGGTACAAAAAAAAAAATTGCACAAGATGAAGTAATAAAAAAATTTATAAATGTAAAAAAAAAGAGGATTTCTAATGTAGAAATATTTTTAAAGCTTAAATTAGAGATTTTTTGTTCGAGAAGAAAATCTTATATTTAAAATTCAGATCACTGAATAATAATGAAATGTTTATTTAAATTCTAAAATTCGTCATGTCTTCCTAAAGCTTCACCAAAATCTGTCGCTTGCGATCCAACGAAAACATCGTATTTGGCAACAATTTCGGCTTTCGTTAATTTTTTATCATCATCACTGTCAGCTTCGTAAATTAAATGACGAGCTTCAGCTTCCGCATGATCAAAGTCTTCGGGAATTATCCAATTTTTCACTTCCTCGAAATCGAGAAAACCGTCGTTATTTTTGTCTCGATAGACGGTAAAATGTTCCTTTTCATTTTTCACCCATTCTGGCTCTTCTTCTTCATCTCCTTTTTGGTACATATCGCCTGTAAAAAAAATTTTTTAATAAAATTATGAGCTCAAGTAATTTTAATTTATTCAAATGAAGACAAATTTTAATCGATTTTTTTTTAAACTAGAAAGCTGATGGTTAATTTGCATCATTTTTATAGCAAAATTTCAAAAATTAATTTATTTATAAAAATTTTTTTTTTTTTAGAAAATTTTAAATATCTTTAGGAAAAAAATTCCTATAATTTCTATTTGTTAATTACGATTTTTAACTACCTAGATTATTTAAAAATTTTGTTGGAAAAATTTGCATAGTTTCTATTTTTTATTATAATTTTTTAACGAAATCTCAAGTATTTTTTTTTAATGTTAATTATTTAATTCTTTTGATAAATATTGTTAATTTTAAAAATAAATGAATTTTGCCAAGAATTTTATCAAAATTTTTAAAAATAATTGAAACTTTGCAAAGAATTTTATTTAATTTTTGAAAATAATTGAATTTCTTCAAAAAATGTTATTATTTTTGAAAATAATTGAATTTCTTAGAAGAATGTTATTATTTTTGAAAATAATTGGATTTTTGGCGAAAAATTTTGCTATTTATAAAAAATAATTGAATTCTTTTGATAAATATTGTTATTTATGAAAACAATTGTGAGCAATTCCTGTAAAATTGTATTAAAAATAATTGAAATCCTGCGATGAATTTTTATTATTTATGAAAATAATTAAATGTTTGAATACAATTTTCAAAAATTTTTGTTTTAAATAATTGAATTCTTTTTGGGAAATTTTTTTAAAATAGTAAATATTGAAAATAATTAAAATTAGAAAAATGCATTTTATTTTTGAAAATAATTGAAATTAGGACAAAATTTTTTTTTGACATTTATGAAAATAATTGAACTTTGGAGAAGAATTTTGTTATTTATAAAGATAATTGGGATTTTTACGAGAATTTTTTTTCAAATTTTGAACATAGTTGAATATTATAAGAATTTTTTTTTTTTTTTTGAAAATAATTGAATTTCTGAAATTATTTCTGTAATTTCAGAAAATTCAGTGTCTTACCAATATATTCAGTGAGTGAAATTTTGCCATCGCTGTCTTTATCAATGTCATTCATTGTTTCCTCAACGACAATGTCCCTCATGTGAATGTGTTCCTCGGGATGAAGGAAGGCGGCGAATTCCTCACGCGTTAGCGCATCGTCGCCATCCTGATCGGCTGCACTCCACCTTCTACGATCACGTTTCAACATGACTAAATAGGAATTATTATCACTGTCGCCACCATCGCCCGTTGAATCATTCTCATCCAAAAATCCATAAATTGCATCCTTATATTCTCCCCATGGTATTTTCTCCTTTCCCTCGGGATTATGCGATTTCCATTGGCGATCAATGTCATCGTAAATATATCGCTTCTGCGTGAATTGAATCCAATCTTTAAGCTCCTCTTGACTGACAAATCCATCTTGATCCTTGTCAATTTTATCGACAATTATCTCCAATCGCCGTGTACTTTCCTCTGGACTCAATTTATCGAATGTCTTCGCTTCCTCTTCACCCAGGAATGCATCGTGATCGTAAGCTGGATTGTGCTCGGAATTTATAAAATGCTCCTGTTCGCTGAGATCCTAAAAAATTTAAATTTATTGATTTTTATGAATTTTTCGATTAATTAATTTAAAATAGTATTAAAAATAATTGAAATTCTTCGATGAGTGTTATTATTTATGAAAATAAATTCCCAAACATAACCTATAATTTTTTTTAAATTTTAGATCCTTTCACAGGAAAGTGTGTAAATAATATAATTATTATTCAGAAATAAGTAAAAAATTCGATCCTTGGAAGGAATAAAATAACATATTTATATTTATTATGTCAAATAACAAAAAGGAAAAATACTGACGTTTCGATAACTTGGTTTGTCAATATCATCAGGCTAAGCCTCTAAATAAATAAAAAAAAAAGTAATAAAACTTGAGATAAAGTTATTTATTTAAATAAAAATAATAAAACTAAATACAATTATAACTGACAAAATAAAATGAAATTATTCTTTTAATCGATTATCGGAAGAATGATAAATGAAACACTATTTCATTAGTTGTGCAACGTTTCGGTGTCTTGGTTTGACATCATCATCAGGACACTAGCCATTTAAAAGAAAATAAATAATTTGTTACATTTGTAGTGCGTCTCGAATAAAATAAAATCGTCCCAAAAATTAAAACGAATAAGTTAAGACAGAACACTGACATTTCGTCAAATTATAACATAATAATGTAATATAGTATAAAATAATATAATAAAATATAATTTAATGTTATAATATAATATATTATAATGTGTTGTATTATATTATAATAATAAATTAATTTATCTGACAATTCAAAATTTTTTGAGGTTACATTTTGACAGAATGAAAAGAAACAGACCTATTCTTCAATATTCTCCCTTTTTTGCATTTCCCCCCCTCTTTTTTGACATAAAATTCAACCAGTAAGAATTAAATTAAGTAAGAAAAATAAAAATATTAAAATAATTATTGTAGTAAAAAATATACAAAACCTTATCAATAATCCTCTGCTTTGTCTCATCATCAGGTCTCGGTACAGCGTCCGCAATCACAATAACGAGTAAAATATTAATTAAAATTAATCGTTTCATTTCACCGAAAAAATGAAATTGTAAATTAAAAAACAAAACTTGATTTTATTTAAAAAAATCAAAAAAAAAAAAAATTGTAAAATACTTTCCCGGTCACTTGTCAATACAATAATTGTGTTCGGTCGGTAAAATGTTTTTTTTTTTAGTAAACAAAACAAATAAACAGATTCTTTTTTCTATTTATAATTAAAATTATCTATATTATGTGAATGTGTTAATTAGATAAAGTCATGTGTATTGTTTCTAAGCATTCGAAGGCACTTCTGTAAGTTCCACATCATCCGAAGCAGTACGAAGTGACTCTTTTTTCTTACACCCCCAATTCTCCCCCTTCTCCCTCCAACCCAACCAATTCATCGGCCACGTGGGGATTTAAAAGCTTTTCTCGGTTGTGCGTTGAACGCCTCTTGACTGTTCTACGCCTATTTATAAAAAAAAAAAAAAATTACACGTTGCCTTGGTTGCCTTATACTCTCTAGGAAGTTCTCGTACATTTTTCTAAATATAAATTTTATTCGATCATGGTGTACATATATATGTTGGATAAAAGCAGTAGTAGTATAGATAACCATAAAAGACGAACATAGAATGAAAATTAAATTCGTTTTTTCATGGAATAAGGATGAATTAAATTTTTTTATTCTTCCGTATGAAAATAATTTAAAATTTAATATTTCTCTTGAAACACAAAATTATGCGACTAAATATAAAAAAAAAATAATTTTAGACATTTACAAAAAAGACATTGTCTTCTTTTACATAAAAATAATTTTGTTATGGTTATATTTTAAAATTATGGTTTAAGGTTATGTTATTATTTTTTACGTTAATTGTCGTAATTTTTTATATTTTAATTAAACAAAATTAAAATTGTTCTAAATAAAGTGGAATAATTATTGTAATAAAAGAAACAAAATGCAAGAGTTGATTTTCTGGGACAACATATTTTTTCTTAATTATAATAAAATAAAATTGTAAAAGAACTCTACGATATTACAATCACACATACCTATACACAGTTTTTTTTTTATTATTATTATTAACCTGACTTGGATTGATTGATATATTTTCATCTATTGTTTTATATATTTGACCATCAATAATGATAAATTCTATACATATATTATTATTATTAATCTTATTTATTTTTTGCTCTGGAACCCTGAAAATCTAATTTTCATTTTATAATGTTTTATAATATTTATTAACAAGAGCAAATAAATAATGTTTAAAATCAAGTTTTTCTGACATACAATGTCTATATTGCAATAATTATATTGCATTTTTTTTTAATTTATTATTTATTTCCTTTATTTCTTTCATGCAGGCAGAGATGGGTAACGTTTGAAAACTCCAAATTTACAAAGTAAGGCTGTGTTTACATGCTTGCGTTTTGCGTTGAGTGCAAGAGAGATAGCAGACTCTAAAGGGGCTTCTACAATACTTTCAAGATATTATTTCAATGTGACGTCACTAGTCAAAAAGGTTAGGTCGCTTTGTCACCTTTGTCAAGAAGAGCAGGCCCGTACCCGAAACAACATTAACTTGTCAAGAGATTTCCAATAAAAATTGATTTTTGTGATAATTAAATAGAAATTGGTTCTAATCAACTTAGTCATCTGACAGATCATTTTTTATGCTTGAATTTAAATCATTGCAAGTCACTGTTAAAAAGAATTAAAATATAAGGCAAATACAATACATCTCTCAATTATTGCGGTTTATTATATTTCACATATTTATAAATTTACATTGAAAAAGGTAATGAACTTTAATTAAAAGAAAGAGGCTTCAGATACTAATGTATTGTGAAACTTAAAGAGAGTGGTGTCTAGGTTAATGAATCAAGATCACACCACTGTCTAAATCTGCATGGTTGCAGAAATTAAATTGGTGACAACCGATGAGTGCAATAAACTATAAGGATATTTCAACACTGGAATGTCGAATAATAAAAACGATTGACACAGAGGAATTTCTTAATAATTACCATTACTGAAAATTGATAATGAAGTTTTAAAGTGAAGAATAATAAAAACTATATAAGTGACAAATAATATTGAGAAGAGTGAATTTAAGATAAATAACAGTGAAATACGATAAATCGATAAATGAAAAATGATATATTGAAGAAAACGAATTATAAGAATAATATATAATAAACAAAAAGAATTGAATTATTTAAAAAAAAAATTTTATAAAATTCTTAACAAACTTTTAATTATTTTTAAAAAATAATAAAAATTTCACAGGAATTTAATTATTTAAAAATTATTACATTCTCATCACATAAGAAAGTATTAGTTTTGTTTTTTTATACATTTCTTCGCAATCATTGAATTATTTTCATAAATAATAAAATTTTTACGGGGTTTCAATTATTTTCGTAAATATAATAAAATTCTTTTTAGGAATTCAATTATTTTCATAAATAATAAAGCTCATTGCAGAGGAATTTCAATTATTTTAATTATTTTAATCGAATTCCTTGAAAAAATGTAATTATTCTTAAAAATTTTATTAAAATTCGTCAAAAGAATATTCAGTTATTTAAAAATTAATAGATAACATTCTTTATGAGAATTCAATTTTAAGAAACATGCAATTATTCAATAAATTGTTATTTTTGCATTTAAATAATTTAATTCTACTAGAATTTTCTCATAAACATTGATTTAAAAATGGATTTTAGTTAAAATTTTAGATTATAATTGAATATTAATCTCATTACTCTATACAAATTAATTAATACTCTGCAAATTAAAAGCCTTAGAGCGTAAATTTTTAGAAATAATTGAATTTTGAAATGGTTTAAGATTAAAGTCTTTGAAAATTTGAATTTTTCATATTTTTAACTAACAATTCTGTGGAATTAATTTTTTTCGAGAAACTTTAATTGCGGATTTTTTTTTGAAATTATTTAAAGTTTTTATTTTCTAATATATATTTGAATTGAAGAATTTACGAATAATTGAAATTTTCTAAAATTAAAATGTAAACAAATGAATTTGAAAATTCTTAAAGAACTTTTTCAAAAATTATTAAAAATAATAGATTTATAAAAGATGTTTTAGTTAAAAAAACGAAAAAAAAATTCAATTTTGTAAAAGTTACAAATTATTGCAGAAATTCAATTATTTTCAATATTCTTCGTAAAAATTAAATATTGTTCATCGCAGAATTTAAATTATTTTCAATATTCTTCGTAAAAATTAAATATTGTTCATCGCAGAATTTAAATTATTTTTAATACAATTTTAATCGAATTTCTTGAAAAATGTAATTATTCTTAAAAATTTTATTAAAATTCGTTGATAGAATTCAATTATTTGAAAATTTGTTGATAACGCTTCTTTATGGGAATTGAATTTTAAGAAACATTCAATTATTCAATAAATTATTTATTTGCATATTATTTGTATTTAATAAATTGAATTCTAGTAGAATTTTCTAATAAAAATTTGATTTTCATTTCATAAAAATGAATTTCAGTTGAAAATTTTAGATAATAATTGAATATTAAAAGCAATATATAGCTTGAATTTTGAAAAATAATTGAATTTTGAAATTAATCTGTTTGAAAAGTTGAATTGAATTTTTTTAATATTATTTAAAGTTTTTATTTTCTAATATTTATTTAATTGAAGAATTTACGAATAATTGAAATTTCATAAAAATTGAAGATTGTAAAGAAATGGATTTGAAAATTGTCAAAGAACTTTTTCGAAAATTATGAAAAATAATCGATTTAAAGAAGAATTTTAGTTATTTTTTACTTTGTCAGTAATTGGTCCGTAAATGGTCCGTAATTTTTCATTTTTTGGTCCGTAATTTTTAAAGTCCGTATTTTTAAATACTTTCACTGGTTCGAGCCCTGTTAATGTAGGTCGAGCATAACCTAGAAATTTCGACCATTGAACACTATAACTTACTTCCGACTTTCATAAAAAAGCTTAATTCTTTCTGTGAAATTTACCAAAATTTCATATAAAAATACAAGCATAGAAAGAGAGTATCCAATAACTGATACATATAATAGGATGAGAAGTAGCTTTTCCTTTTCAATTTCTTCGATCCGTGGTGCAGTGTAAAATATTGTAGGATTAGTTATATATTTTGTAAGAAAACCTCTCTCTGTAGCCCTTTGGATTATTCTTTTAAAAACTTCGCTGTAAGGTGAATAATTTCTTATGTTCCAAGCAGAGGCATAAAATGTGACAGCTTCCGGCAATATTTTTAAATTTACTTTTTCTGTTTGGATCAAAAATCCATTAACAATTGATTCAGTCTTAGTAAAAATACAAGTTACATTTTCGTAATCGGCCAAGTATGTCAAACAATCCATTTTTGACTCTCTACCAGGTAGCGCTATGGACCTTTCTGCCAATTGTCGAATGTACCACAAAGAACTTTCCAACAATGAATTTTTCAAAACAGAACTCATCATTGGCGTCAAAGACGATTCGGCCAGTTCTACAAGAGATGAAATCTCCGGTTCAGGTCGCAAAGTGATGTCCAAAATTGTTGAAAAGAAAAAACCTGCGTAGACGATACACGCTGTTAGTAGTGATCCAAAAAATATTCTCTCCGATGCACTTGTCGCTTCTATCGGTGCAGACATTCCCATTATGATTTGACTAATTTTCAAAGTTTGCCAGGAGGTTTTTCTGAATCGTAGTATAAAAGCCATGAATCGTACGAAGCAAATGATGAAAATAGTCGCCAGGAGCATGCCGATGAATTCTTGTGATACAACTATGACTTTAGTGAGTCTCATATGTTTTGGAACAACCGCTTTAACATCATTTAAGCTAATAATATGTGAACTTGCAGTTCGCTCATTATTCACATTAAAATTCATCACTTGGTTCAACACCATTTCAGCTTTTGTTTTCTCTAACAATTTGTAAAATGATGTGGCATTTGTATCAGTAGGAAACGATATGATTTTTGAATTAAAATTCATCACTTGCTGAAAAATACCTAACAATATGGAAGTTATTTTATAAAACTTATGCGAATAATAATGTTCATTTGCAAATAAAAATGTGAGATTGTAGCCCTTCAGATCATGTAATTTATTTGGAAACCATTGGCTTTTAGATGACACTGGCAGAAAGGAGAATTCATTACTAAAAGGATTAAACTGCTTTAGAATTGTTATTTCCTTTGGAATTGTTTTCATCATTTTTTGCTGCTGTGAAAAGTAAATTAAGAATGTGGCATCCAAATAACCATTTGACCATAAATTGTCAAGGTTAACTTTACGTGTGACCAACATCAAGTCATAGGACGCTACAACTAAGCATCTTGGCAATGGTGAACCTCCTGATAAAATTCGTAGGCGAATTAAAAATTTCAATGTTTGGCGAGAGTCTGTATGTTGTAAAATAAATAGTGTCGTTCTTCTGGGTCGTCTAAATGATTGAAATAAGTAATTTTTACTTAGATCTGAATTCAAGTTACCGTAACTCATGGTCAAGGATGGAATAATTTTATTTACTGTTTTCTCAAGCGAGGGAAATGTTTGATCTGTACTGTCCAGTTGATCATGATGAAGAAACATTACCTGGTGTACTTTTGATTCTTCCTTTAGATACTTAATCAATCCGTCATAGTTGCTTGAAGAAGTCTTCAAGGTTTCTTCAAATAATATTTTTTCTTTGGTTTTAATGGCCTCTTGTTTATACAAATAGCCAGTAGTAATTTCTTCAAATAAAAAGAAACCCACAAGGTAGATACAGTAACTTGTAAACTTCATTCTGCAGGAACAGCTTATTTGCACAATTGCGATGAAAATTATCTAACACAATGCAAGCAATGCCATAGATTTTATTCTTTGAAACTTTTTCTGACTAAAAGCTTTTAGCATTAGTGGATTTTTAAAGCTGGCAATAAATTTTATTGTTCTTTTTACCATATATACAGGGCTTAATGGTATTTGCTAGAATCATAATTAGTATGGTTTAGTATTTGTAAAAATGTAATATAATGTTAGAAAATGATTTTCTCCTATAATAGGCATTTAAGACGACCTTCGACAATAAATTTTAAATACACGATTCACTGGCAAAAGTAACCTTCGACAAAAAGAAAAACATACTATTTAAATAAATACCTCCGATTGATTTTTAAAAATTTGTTCACTAAACTTTATTCATCGTTTTAATTCTTAAAAATACTCGCAGCTAAATAACTATAACCATAAGCATGAAATTTTGATAGCATTTTAGTTGACCCCTCAAATCCACAAATTAACTTTAAAAAAATATGTAAAATATTCAATTAATACCCCTCAAATTAATGATATCAAAACAAATATAAGTTTCTTTCAGTTTTTACAAAATAAAATCTTTTCAAAATTATCAGACATTTTCGATATGAAATGAAAATATTTCTTCATATTTTATAATAATTAAAGATTACCGATTTTTAACAAAGTTCTTTAAGAATTTCCAAATCCATTTTAATTTTATGAAATTTCGATTATTTGAAAATTCTTCAATTAAATACAGTAATTATTAGAAAATAAAAATTTGAAATAATTTTGAAAAAAAAAATTCAATTAAACTTTTTCAAAAAAAATAATAATTCTACAGAATTGTTAATTAAAAGTATGAAAAATTCAAATTTTCAAAGATTCACTATAATTACTAAACCAATTACAAAAAAAATTTTATTATTTAGAAAAATGAATGAATTATTGCGAACATATAAGTGTAAAAATATTTAAATAATTGAATTCCTAGGGTTATTATTTTCGTTTGCGTAGAATTTTATTAAAGCAGGTATATTAAAATTTGAAAATCATTGGAATTGGGGTAAATTTTTGAAAATAATTGAATTTCGGAGAAGAATTTTATTATTTATAATGAAAATTGAAATTATGACCAGAATTTAAAAAAAAATTTTAACATAAGTGCATTTTTACGAAGAATTTTATTTTTTTGAAAATAATTATTGATTTTTGCAATCATTTGTAACTTTTGAAAATGTCCATTTTTTTTACATTTTTTTTTTTATTAAAATTCTTATATAGATCCATATTATTTTTAATAAATAATTAAATATATATATATATTAAAAAATGAAACTGATTTTAGAAGAATTTGAATTTTAAAATTTTTCAAAAATCCAAATTCTTTAAAATTTCTAATTAAATTAATTCAAATCTGAAATTTTCTAAAATTTCAAATTAAAACCTTTTGAAGTCTATCTATTTATGAAAATTGTAAACACATCTCTTTCAAAATTCAATTAATTTTCAAATATTTAAAGAAATATAATTATTATTTATTATAAGAAATAATTTTATAATTAATTATCTTAATCTAATTCGATTATAAATTTCGAAATTATTGGTATTTTAAAAACCAAAAATTTTGGAAAATGACATTTTCTCAACTTTTTTGTTTGAAAACTTTTGTTTAACTATTAAATTATTATATAACTATATTGTAGAGTATTTAAAAATACATTGATTGACCCAAGATTCAATCACTTTTATACCATATTTATAAAAAGTTATTCATATATTTTCTTATTATTATTATCTCTATGTGGAAGTAAAGTGTTTATGAAATGAGCACCAAAATTATAAAAAAAATATACAACTTGGCAGCGGTTTTTATATTTTAGTAATGTAGCTGCCACTGACTTGGGATATTTTAGATGCACGTAGATTATTAATAATAGTATAGTATAGTAATAATAATAATACTAACAACAAAAAAAGAAGTCGTGATTCATTTTCTGATGTATATGACAATAGTGACTCGTTTTACTATATCTAGGGCGTGCTTATCCGTTTATCAGATGTTTGCAGAAGATAAAGAATGCCGTGACCGTTTAGTGGTACCTGTCGCACCTAAGATGATCGTTTCATGCAAACAATTCAGAGGCTCTTTTCCAATTTAAAAATTATTTCTTGTTATTAAAATTTCGATTTTTCTTCTTTTTTCCCTTTGGTTTTGAAAAAGTGATAAAAAATGGTAGTGAAATCCGCAACAAGTGGACCGAATTTGATCGAGAAACAAATTGGGTGTCTCAAGTATACGATTTTCTGCTTTAATATCGTCATATTTGTGAGTAATACTCTTGGAATTTATCTCTCGTGCATGAATGACAAAATTATCAAACAATATTTGTTTCATTATTAAAGATGTTCAACTCATTTACATAAAATTAACTCTTTAGAAATATTACTACAAGAGGGTTAAATAATTATTTTATAAAAATTTTGCTGAAAAATCATTTTTTTTTTAAATTGTATATACAGAAAATTATAAAGTTATAACCTGTACTGTAAAAAACAATTCTCATTTTTCACTGAAATGAATGAAAACCGTTTAAACGAATGAAACCGTTTAAATGAAAACTATATCATTAAATTTTATTCTAAAAATTGACTTTTTTGTCACTTTCTTCAGTAGTTTCCTCGAAAGTATGAAATTGATGCTAAAATTTTGGATCAATTTTTGATTTGATCCACATTTTTGATGTCAATTCGTTGAAATTTGTTTATACAATTAAGTTAACACTGAAATTGACTTTATCTAGTTTCAAGCTTATGAATAGGCTGCTTTAAAATCATTTCGATTTTAAATTGTAAACGCGTTATTATTTTTTTCTGTTTTAAATATAAATTGTAAGAAAAAATTTCCTTTTTTAAATAAATTAAATTTATTTTTAAAAAATTTTTATTTTAGTTGCTAGGATGCAGCATGTTCGGTTTATCAATTTGGTTACGAGCAGACTCGGGATTTCAGGATTTCGTTGATTATTTAGATATCGATGAATTTTACATTGGAGTGTATCTACTAATTTTTACGTCAGTAATAATTATGATAATCGCATTCATTGGATGTGGAGCAGCTTTAATGGAATATATAACTGCTCTTTACGCGGTATGGTATATATTTTATGAATTAAAAAATTATCGATATTTTCAATTTTATTATAAAAAATTATATAATTGCACTGTGAAAAGAAGCATCTTAAAATCATTAAAATTTTAAGTCATTAAGCATCTTAAAATAATTAAGATTTTAAGTCATTATAAGCATCTTAAAATCATTGAGATTTTAAGTCATCAAGCATCTTAAAATCATTCAGATTTTAAGACTTATAAGAATTAAAATCACTAAGATTTAAGTTATTAAGCATCTTAAAATTATTAAGATTTTAAGTCATTAAACATCTTAACCACTTTTGAATCGTTCAAATTTTAAATATCTTATTTTTTCTACCTTCCGCATCTTAAGGACCAAATGCATTATATCTTAAGATGCTAAATTTATCATAAATTTAATCAATTTATAAAGGAGTAAATTGATTTATGTTACAAGTGAAATTTTTACTTTTCAGTACACTGGACTTCAAGTTTTGTGTTTTATATTTGGCCTGGCAGGAGCTGCAGTTCTTTTAGATTATTCGACATACGATAGCGATATTCAACCGCTAATTCGAAGATCAATGACGTCTTTGATTTCAAATTCTCAACATGAGGACGCTTCTCGAATGCTCAGGATAGTACAAGAACAGGTAAATATTAATTTTTGTTTTAATATTTTTTCACATGGACATTTGAAGCTTGCTTTCACAGCTTTTCTAAGGAAAAAGTTCGTTTTTTGTCTCAATTTGATAGCCTTAGAAATTATTTATTTTTATTTTATCCTTAGAAAAAACTCTGTATTTAACAATTTTTGTCCTTAGATTGGATGCTGTGGTGCAGACGGTCCCATGGATTATCTCACTTTACTTAAACCACTGCCCACTGAATGTCGAGATTCTGTTACCGGAAATGCTTATTTTCATGGATGTGTCGATGAGTTAAGTTGGTTCCTCGAGGGAAGGTCTGCATGGTTAGCGGGTTTAGCACTATCTCTCTGTATGTTTCATGTAAGTTGATTTTCTATCCATTTCATAATAATTATTTTATTTTAATATCTTATTAATATTTCATGTTCTAATATTTTAATAATAAGACAAAAACGAAGACATTCAAACAAAGATTCTTTAATGTTATGTCCTATTATTAAATCCACTCGGACGTTACAGACTTTGTTATAATTAATATTTTAATACTTTCAATGTAATATTTACCATTTTAATTCATTAGATACTAAATCAATCAAAATCAATTATTAGCATTCACATTACAATGAATTTGGTAAAATTATATCAAACACTTATTTTAAATTCTTTTGGTTTTCAAAATTCTTCTTTTGAAATTAAATGCAGATCTTTTCTTCACAGGTGGTTCTTGGAGTTCTGTCTCTAATTTTAGTTCAAGCAATTCAAAAGGAAGAAGAAAGTGCAACATTTAAGCGTTGACTAACATCTAGCTTTTAGTACATTAGACTTTTATATTTTAATATATATTGTAAAAGAAATTTTTTACTTGCGATGAAAGATTATTTTTCTGAAAATAATTTTATAGGTATATTTATTGTTTAAGTATGTTTATATTTTATATGTTTAAATTTTATAAGTATGTTTATATTTATAAATCTTCTAAATATTAGATAAGACTCTGTTAATGATTAAACGTTAAATGATCCGCTGGAAAGTATATAACCACACATAAAATTCTGACCCCCATTAAATTATCATGATGATGCTCATCATGCTAATTTAATGGGGGTCAGAATTTTATGTGTGGTTACACTTACCGGTGGTTCAAATATTTGAGAACGATGATAAATTTGTTTACTAGAAAGTTGAGAGTGAAATGTTTGATGCTACAATTTTAAAAATTAAAAAACTTTTTCCCTTAAAAGAAGGTCAGGTTCTAAGTTATTTTCACTTATTCCCCAGTCTATTTAGATCCATATTGATAAAACTAAATTCTCCATTTTCCGATGGCATTAAAATATTGTTTAGGAGAAGGAAAATAAATTCAATATTGATTTTGAAAAGCGTTTCCTGGACGATAATCAGAATGAAAAATACACAACAGAACGAAAATGTATGCAATTAAAGTTTATCTACGCTCCAAGTAGAAAAAAAATACGAAGTACAACAGAGGACATTTGACAACAATTGCAAAACGACAAGACATAAATTCTTCCTCTATCAAAAAGCAATAGGAACAAACAGAAATGTTATCATTTTTAGTAAAGTTTATTTGTCTATCATCGTTAAGTTCGGGAAATGTTATGGATCATGCAGATCCAAGTGGAAAAGTGTTTAGAAACATTCGTCAATTGAACAGTTTTACCAGATACTTTATACAGAGATCATCCAAACATCAAGCAATGATTCTCACTGACAGTGAAGATGAAAATGAATCGCTCAAAATTAATAACTTTGTTCAAAAGATTAATTTTTGTGTGCCAACGATTATGGCGACAGTTAATCGAGCAGAGAATCTAAGCGAAAATTATAGACAGATCGGAGGAAATCCTAGAGAGACGACGATATTTGTTATCATAACTTTTTCGAGCAACGCAAATTTGATTGTAAATTTACAAAAGACGATAAGTATACTAATCGACATTTCTCAACAATACACAAAACCGAAATGTATGATTGTTCACTTCTCCAAAATGGGACAAACGACTGATTACAAGATGCTTCTGAAAACATTGTGGAAATGGCAATTTTTAGATGTTAGTGTTCTTCAATTAAGAACTGAAGACTTGAACAGTGTTCGCAATGGTCGACTTAAACAACAATCGTTCGCAATTAGCAAACGATTTGAAAATCAATCACTTCATCAATTTAATCCGTTTAGTCAAAACTATACAACACGAAACAGTTGGGTCTCGTCGTCATGGTTTCCGGACAAAGGAGAAAATCTATATAATCAAAAATTGTATGCTCTTGACAAGACAAGATCTTTTCGGTTTTATAAATTCCACAAAATGATGTCCGTTTGTCTAAATTACTCTATACGATTTGATGAAAATAGATACTTAACCGCATACAATTTGGCTAAGGGAAAATTTCAGTTCCTTCAACATGCTATACAATATTTTCACTTACCATCAGCAACGAAATTACATCGTAGCCGTGTCATACATTTAGAATCATTGCATGTAATTGTTCCAAAAATACAAGTTACCTCAGTGACGAATGTGCTAAGTTACAAATTATTTCTCACAATAATCGCAAATGTTTTGCTTGTTCTAGCCCTGCGTGTCCTTTTCCAGCTTTTAAAGTTCGATAAAGATTGTTGGCAAACCCTCCAAATTGGTGGCATCATTTTGGGAATGGGACTTGAGAGAACTCCCAAAAGTGCAAAAGAAAAATTTGCTTTGTGCTACTTGCTGCTGGTGTGTATGATCTATTCCGGATTTTTGCATTTATTTTTAACTGAATTCGAATTACAACAACCAACGTTTAGGGAAATTAATTCCCTTGAAGAATTGGCTGAAAGTAATATAACCCTACGCACTTCTGTTCCAACATTATTGACAAAAAATGACAACAAAACGGATTATATTAAAAAATTACAAAACAGAATCCAACGGCATAATTCACTCAATCCGAAAACTTGTCTTCGTGAATTAATAATTCACAAAAATGTCTCCTGCTCTTTTACGGCCAATATAATTAGGATTGAAATTAATTATAATCAGAAAAAATTCCAGAAAAAAGTAGAATTCAGTATTCTGAATGAAACTCTATCCTATAGGGGAACGGTCTTTGTTGCAGAACCCGGTTTTCCTGTGATGGATAATTTCAACAGGAAACTCCTACAGTTTATTGAAGTTGGATTAATGTCGAAATGGACAATCTATGCATCCAAGTTGGAAGCAATTTTAAGTGACATGCTAGACAACGAGAGTCAATCTACAGCATTTCTTCTACGGATTTTAGTACTTCTGATTTTTGGTTACATACTAGCTTTGATAACTTTCTTTGGGGAAATTATATGGAACTTTTTTACTTGCAAGAGAAAATTGTACGATCTTCAAAAAAGAAGGAAGCAAAAGTTTGTAATTTTTTTGCTAGGCAGATCAAAAGCAGTCAAGAGATTAAAATACAGAAAATTAAAATATTCGAAAGCTTTGACGAGTAGGGTACCCAAACGAGAATACAAACGAAGATTCATCCTGGCATCTCAGAAGAGTGTAAAGAAAACATTTTTGGTTTCTCAATGCTGCAGCAGATTTAAAATTCTTAAAATTAGTGCAAAAACAATCGCGGTATTTGCTACACAATTGGATTTATATGCCTTTGATGCTAAGGATCCAAAGTTTTCGCAGCGAATTTTTAGGTGAATTTTTCTTTTAGTTCTTAACACTATCGAAGTATTGTTTCCATTTTTAAAGCCAAGAAAAATTTTTTGTAATAAAACGTTGAAATTTTTAAGCTTATATCGATAATTTAAAAACCCTCGACAGATAATTTTCATTCTAGGCGAAAAATATTCTAATTTCATGAGCGAATACAAATATCTGTAAAAAAGATTTTAGTGGCAAGACTTTTGGGTTGAACTTTATCGAGGCTCACCGTGTAAATATAAATTATACCTTTCTTCAAAATCCGGACCTTAAAAATCAATTCAATATATTTTTTAATGTTTCTTTATTTACAAAAATGATAATATACAGAATAATGTAAAACTAGCTTGTTTATAAAATATTTTCTGTGATTTATATATATGTACAATAAAATTTCGTTCTTATAACCAATATATCTACATATTCTACTTTTTTCCAATAAACATATTTTATGACCTATAAGAAATAAGTACTTTTCCCAATAAGCTATGGGATCTTAAAATTACATCATATATAAAATGCTAAGTAAGTACACTGGCATCATCACTAACTCAAATTGGTCGAAAATTTTCCTTATCAGCAAGTAAGCACCTTCATTTAAACAATAAAGAAACTTAAATTGCAATTAGAAAAGAAAAATGTATTTCCTCATTAAACATACTATACCCTTTAATATAAACATTTTAATTTATTTGAATTTTTGACTTTTTTTCAGTATAAAAAACATTTAACAATTTTTTCTAAATATCCTAAAATTGAAAAGATTTTTGTAAAGATTTTTTGTAAAATTGCAGTGAAAAATTGTTTCTTACAAAATGACAAATGAGGCTCTGGATCTTAAAAGGGCACTTTTACCATTTAAAATCAATGCTGAAAGTGCCCTTTTAAGATCCGGAGCCTCAAATATCTAAAAGTTATAGATTAATTTATCGATTTCTAGTCCTAATCTTACTGTCGTTTAATATTAAAATTACTTATATTATATTATTCTTAAAAAAATAATTATACAACATAAACTTAAAACTATATTGCATATTGAAAAATATCCACTTTAAATGAAAATGTCATAATGTAATATCTCATAAAGAGCGTAGAAATGAAAAATTCACAAAATAAATTATTATTAGTCGTTACTATGAATCGTGAACTTATTTATATTTTAGTATATTTATCGAATTTCATGTTATTGTTAAAAAAAATTCATATCTGTTAAAAATAAAAAATGTGACGACGCTCTCCCAAGAAAGGTACGAATTTTAGGTTAGTGTTACATTCATCTTGCGATTAAAGGTTTATTTTTAATTATTCGAATTTAAAACCAATTTTCATTGAATATTTTAGATACAATGTGAAGACTTGAAAATTAATAATTGATTCTCTATCTGTATTTTTACTCAAAAAGTCAAAAACTTCAAATTTTTTGCTTCGGGTATACCTTTCTTCAGAGCGTGAGACAAATATTTTTATATAATATTAAATGTCAATAGTCAAATAGTAGAGAAAATAATACCTTCTCATATGATGAAAATGTAAAATTTCATTTCTATTTTAAAATTATTAATTTTCTTCAAAGGAATGTTGTATTTGAATCAAAATAAATATCTAGTTTTTCAGTCAAAAAAAAAAAAAATTTTATATGAAATTTACCTCGAGTAGGAAGATGAATATAATTAAAATTAAATCCTTTCTATAAATATTAAAAAAAAAATACTTAAACGCTACGGTTCAAAATATATTTGTAAAAAAAATTAAAATATAATTTTATTCACTATAATTGTTCGCAAATTGTCTGTACAATAAATTTGCTCAAAGTAATTAATTTTCCGCGATATATTTGCTATTAAAGTCAAAAAGGGAAATTAATATTCTTCAGTGAATAGAAAATCGTTTAAAATACGACTTCTTTTTCGAAAAAAAATTTTCAGTTTAAAATTGAAAATTCGAGCAATTTTATTGTAAATATTAATATTTGGACTCTTTTATTTTTGTGAGTATATTTATATAACAAACCAATATGGCCGACATGCACTAAGAGAACTAACACAAGCGCTAACTGAGCCTAGAATAATGAAGGGACATTAATAATTATTTAGTTTTTCTAAATATTAGTGCTACTTGCGAATTTAAGGATCAAAATATTATAGGTTATGTTTTTGACAAATTTTACCTTGATTGAAGAATTGAAGATTCTTTTTTTAATATTTGTAAAGTTGAAAACGATTTTTAAAATTTGAGATGTAATAGAGACGAAAATATCGTATAGAGATAATAATGGTAAACAGACGTTCCTAACCTTAAAAACATATATTTTAGCATATTTTCAAGTTCCCGTGAAGCGTTAATTTCACTGCAATTATTTTACAGAATGCGTTTCAATTAAATATATGTAGATAGAAAGTGTTTAAAATCCATTAAATTTGCAAAACATTGAAAAGAAAATGCAAAATTTTTTTCTCCCATATAAGAATCGCATTGCGTCGTCTGTTTGTTTTCCTTCCAGCTATCTGACGTCATACTCGAACTCGAAATATCTCGATGTTAGTTCATGACATATGAATAAAGGCTGACGCACAACTGTCGTGCGAACGTCGCTTAAACACAAAATAATTATCTCTCTCACAAGCGGTGAAAGCCTAAACCGAAGCGTAATAGCAAACGGAAGAATGAGTTAGAGAAGAATAGTTATATTGATAATGAGATAGAAAAGAATAGAGATATACTTTTGTCCATCTCTATCTCATGTATCATGTTCGCTTGCGAATTTAGAGATTAGGCCCAAAACAGAATAAAACAGTAACGTGAATGTATATAAGCATCAATCCCTACAAATATCCCTTCACTCCTCTAAAACCCAGTTAAATTAAAGTTCCATTCCTAGCTTTAACCAACAAACGGAAAACCCGGATATCCAACAGGCTGATAGTACCCCGGAAAAGCAGGAACAGTCGGTTGAAGAGCCACAGTGGATGTCACATATTTGGTGACTTCAGTAGGCACAACCTTAGTGGAATAGAGTGTCGTGTAAGCGGTTCTAGCACCGAATGTAAGTTTCAAGACTCTCGAGTCAGAAACAGTGGCGACAGTTTGAGTGACCACCGGAGCAGTGGTGACAGTGAATTGCTGCTGTTGCGGGAAGAGAGGAACCTGTGGTACCTGAGGTATTTGCGGAACTTGAGGAATCTGAGGAACTGGTGGCGAAAGAATTGGTGAGAGTGTAGTCGTTCCGAATTCATACGACGTTCTCGGTATTGTGCCAACTGGTTTCGATAGAGTGGAGAAGATGGTATTTCCATTGTTTACGAGAGGAATCACGTGCGATTCGTAGATTGTCTCCAGGACGATATACGGCCGGGAGGTTGTGATCACTTGGGGTTGTGCCTGACCGAAGAGTTTCAGGAGCGCCAGCTGTTGTGCTTGATCCGGAGTGAATTGCGATTCTGGAACAGGGGAAGATGTTGCTGCTGGTTCCTTGGCTGGTTTCGGTGCTGCTGCTGATTTCAAACTGGAAGAGGTATTTAAATTTTTGTAAAACTTCGTTTTTGGAAGAATAGGAACGATACACGAGTGTTCGTACTTAAATTAGAACCTTCTAGGCTGGTTCTTACGCGACGTGTCTTAATAATCAAATATGACGCTTCACGGACCTCACGCGACAAAACCATAAACATTAGGCTCAATTTTGTCGCGAAGGTCCTTGAAGCGTCAAATTTGGTTGGATGACAATATCGCAAAAGTGCCAAAAATTGAATAAACAATACTCACTTGAAGGGATCGAGGTCCGAGTCCAATTCAGTGCTTGGCGCCAGAATTCTCTTGGGAATATCGTCGTCGTCCCGTTCATCGTCACCAAAGTCCAACTCCAGATGAAGTTCACTACCAGCCTCGTCGAGTTTGGAGTTGAATTCATTGAGGGTCTTGCTGGGGATAAATTGGTAGATGTCCATGGGTGGTAGGGTCTTAGTGGCAGTGACGATCCGGGCAATATTGTAGGTCTGAACCAAAGTCAGTCTTGTCGTATTTCCACCGGCGACGACAGGCAGAAGATGAGTCTTCAGCAAAGTTTGGGTTGTGGAGAAGGTCTCGGTGATCGTCTCCAGTGGAGGGGTTGCTTGACCCGACTCTAGGGATATTGCCGGAAGTGTCGCAATCGATGAATCAAGGGGCAGTGTCGTCTCGTAAGCGGCGCCAGTGTTAGCTAAAATATTTTCCGTCAGGGGTTCGGTGGGTGATATCGATGTGCTGGGATCAGCGGTTGCAAATGATTTCTTGATCGTTGAGGTGACGGTGACGAAACGTGTGTTCTTTACACTGCCGACCTGGAAGAGAATTTTTATACAATACCCTTCTTTGGTATAACTCTTTGATGATAACTCTCCGCTGATGCTAACGATTGTTATTCGTTATCGTCAAAAATCGTCATTCTGGATTCTTTGGCGATAGAGTAGGGATAAGTTAGCATCAGCGGATGACGATTAGACAATCAAAATCTGCGCAGGAGTAGATTCGGACCCTACGCAAATGTTGATTCCGATTCGGGAAAAAAAAGGGAAATACCTGGAAAGAATACGGTGACTTAATAGTTGCAATCTCGAAGTAAATATCATTGAATTCGGCGGGAGTTGAAATCTCAACATTAAGCGTCTCGACGGGAATGATTGGTTCAGTGGCTGGTGATTCTTGGACGCTGATGCTGCTCACGTCCTCACTTTCACTTTCATCGAGTTCGTCATCATATCCAACGCCCTCTTGAATCTTCCTCTGAATAACCGGACCGGTTTGTTCATCAACGGTCGTTATTTGCGGAACGGACGTAATCTCCTGAAGTGGTGCATTGGAAGAGGAGACCGGTACCGTGGGCAGAGGTTTACTGTCATCCTCGGCTTGCTTACGAATAGTGATCCTTGGTTTTGGTGTTGTCTTATAAGACCATCGTCCTTGAGTTCTAGGCAGTTTTAATTTCGGCAGGGGATTTGAACTTAAATCAGACTTTGAGATTTTGTTCGGAAATTTGGGTGCGTTACTCGATTGTCCGTTTGGGCGGAAACCAACTCGTCTTTTGGTTGTTGGCTGTTCTGTGGTAGTTGTCTGCGGTCTGTTTCTGTAAAAATTATTTCAAACTCGTTGAGTATTAAAACCAATGCAGATTTTGCGAACGCGACGCATGGGTTAGAAAAGGATAGACATATCTTCGTGTCCTCTATTGCATATCTATCAAAATGTTGTTAGTTCGTGGCGTAAAGGCCACCGCACAACTACTTCGCGAACGATGTTCGCGAAGCTGTTGTGCGATGGCCTTTACTCAGTCACGAACTTAATTTTACTTCACAGCTTGTGAGAAAGATTCAAAGTAAAGGTCAACGCACAACTGCTTCGCGAACGTGAAGAATGAGATAGAAAAAGATATTTCTGTCCTTTCTTAATTCATGTTTTGCGTTCGTGAATGACGCTAATAGGATAAAACTTACTTGTAACTGGGCCGAGCGGTGGTTGGTCGATTCTTTCCAAGGGCACGCGCCTGTGGTAATGATTCATTACTCTCCACGTCGTCGGTGATTTTGTTGCGAAATTTGGGTCGGGATTGAAGATTGTTGGATTGTTTACGATTGGGACGAACTGACCCTGTGGTAGATGGATAGATATCGATTGAATCAAAAGAAATGCTATCAAGATGACATTAATATTTGTAATATTTGAAATATTAATGATTTTAAATATTAATTCTGACATTGTAATTCGAATGACGCGATGATTAATTGTCCTCTACACTTCTCAGCATCAACATAAAAAATAATAATTCAACTCACCTTGGCCATTGAAAAGGCCCTCGAGGGGAATTCCCGAATCGTCAGTTGGACCCGTTGGCGTTGCTTCTAAATGAATCTTCCCCTTATTTTGATGGGGACCAATTGTCTTTAGAATTCTCTGTGAATTTGTGGGTTTAATTTTTCCCTCGGGAACTGCAACTTCCTCGTCATTCAAAACTCGGGAGGAACTTTGAAGAACTTGTGCGTATTTGCCATTTATGTAAGTGCCAATTACACTTGTTTCGTGGACAGTGGTTAAGCCGTCTTTGACGATTGTGCCACCGAGTTTCGTGACGAGACCCGTTGGGTTCTCTTTTTCACGTCGTGATGGTCGTGGCTTGCCGTGAGCCTTTGACGATGGCCTCAAATTGATAAGCTGTCGATGACAATTATTGGTAAGTATATTAATATATATTAATAAATTAATTTAATAATTAAGGTAGTAAATTAATTTAATAATTAAGGTAGGAAATTAATTTAATAATTAAGGTAGGTTCTCAAATTAGAAAAAATTAATTGACGATCACTGCTTTGCTTTCGGTAAATTAATTTTTCGTAATTTGGTAACCTAACCTAAAAATAAAATTCGATATCGCGTTGCGACGTGAAAAATTATTGTAACAATTAAATATCGTCTGCTACTCATTCGATGCGTATTGTGTATTTTGCTTAAATTTAATATTAAGTTTTTTTATTAAAAAAATATTAATATCTTTAAAATAATAACATAGTGATTGCCAGTGAATAATTAAAAAGTTGAGAAGGGATTCACCCAAAAGTAAGTATATTTTTTATTTTTCTATTTCATTTGTAATTACGTTTCATTCTTTACAGTTATTTACAGATTCATTTGCGCCTTGCGGTTCGATCCTAGAGGCAATCTGAACGTCAAAATTTTTATTAATTCAGTAGAAATTCTTCTGTCAAAGTAAGTACATTATAAAACAATGCGAAAACTTAAAGGAAAGTAATTAATTAATTAATTAAAATTAAATTAAAGTAAAGGAAACAATTTTGTCATTTAGAAAATGAAAGGTTAAATTTTAGGTTATGTTACTTCCAAGAAAGTCTGGATATGGTGAAGAGGATTACTAATTATTTATGAATTTTGTTTTCTATTGCTTTATTATTAATTACTACTAAACAATTAAATAATTGCAAACAATAATGTAATAATAATTAATAAATATACAATAATAATTATGGAAAAATCAATAAATATTGAATATAAGTTATAATGCGAAACAAAAATTTTATTTTTATTTTTTAATTGAATATTTTAAAATCGTAAAAATTTATTTACAGTTTAAATTTACTTTAATTTACCTACTTTAATTTACTTTTATTTATATTTACTTTTATTTGGAATTTGGATGAAAAATATATAAATTTCAAATACAAAATTCTTTCTACTATTTTGATTAGATTGAACTGTGGGTATAGATTTTAGATAAAAAAAATTTTTTCAAAATGAATTATAAGTGAATTAAGTAGCAATTTGAATGATAATCGAGTGAAATAACATGAATGTGCTTTTAAATTTCATTTCAAGTAGAAAAGTTCAAGTATAGTCAGACAATTTGCTATACGTGTCTGACAAAAATCTTTCGTAATCACTTAAATCTTGCATATTAATGCAGGAAATTAAATATAAATTTGAAATATGAGAATTATTGCTTTCTTCATTAACTATTATTACTTTCAGTACGATTTTTCAATATTAAATTATCAAATTTCTTATATAAATTATAAAAATTAGTATACTGACATTTAATTTTAAAATAATATATATGAAAAGGAAATTTCGTTGCAGTAATATCACGTACAATAATTCCTAAAATACGTTTCTTATAATTTTACTAATTAAACTATATTTAAAAAATGTTTTTTATTGAAATTAAAATTATTTCTTGAACTAAAATTAAATTTCAAAATTTTCCAACTATTAAAATTTGATTCAATATTGTACCTAATAGAAATGATTTTTATTTTCAAATATAGAAAGTATTTTAATTTTCTGCTTGAAATTAAATTAAATTTTCTAATGCGCGGTTATTATTTTCATTTTTTAATTGAATTAAAATTTAATTTTCCAATATGGTAATTACACTTATGTTAACTTAAAAGTATCAAATTGCAAGGAATTGATACCAAAAATGTGGATCAAATCAAAAACTAATTCAAATTTTGGATATTTACATTAATACCAAAAATGTGGATCAATTAATAAAAAATTTTTGGCATCAATTTGGTCCTCTTTTGGTACCAATTTGATACTTTTAATTTTAAATTAAAGAAAGAAAATTGTGTAAATTGTTTAATTATATAATTAAAGTAAACTTCCTCGATTTTTTTAGGTATAATTGAAAATAGAAAGAAAATTTTAATTAAAAATTTCTTTTTGAAATTTTACTCAAAATATTTATTTTATTGTCAGAAAAAAAAATCTGACAATAAAATAAATATTTTTTGTTTAATACTGAAATTAATTGTTAATTTACATAAATTAAATGGTAATTTCAGTTTATCAAAAGGCCGAATATAACATTTACGCCTAAAATAAATATTCAATTTTTTTATATATATTTAATGAAGAAATTTTTAACTCTTCGAAATTATCTAGACTGCGGAAGTTATTATAAATATAAAAAGTGGAATATATTTTACGACAATGCTACTTCACATTTTTTTTTTTTTATTTCAAGAGCAATTTAAGAAAAAAATATCTTCTTTTTCTATTTCCGTTTGCGATTTTAAATATAATTGTAAATAATTTTTTTTAAAATAAAATCAGCGTGGGAAACAACGCGTAGTAACGTTTGTCATTTTTAAATCTAGAGAAAAAATTGCGCCATCTTGACAAGAGGTTGTTTACAACGTTTACAACTGGGACTTAGTGACCTTAGAGTACGGAACTCGTTTTTAAACCTTTTATAACGTACATTTGTAATTTCAAATTTTTCTTTCAACAAAAGGGGGGGAGGGAGAGAGAGTACATAAATTTCAAAACTATTTTTATAATTATTTTCAATTTTTTTTTTTTTTTTTTTTTTTTTTTTTTTTTTTTTTTTTTTTTAATCAAGTAGCGTAATTTACACGTGTCAAAACTAATACACAAATAATTTACTTTTATACATTCAAGAAGAGAATATATTTTTAAAATTTTTACGCTCGACCTCAAGTTCTCAAATAAATCTATCAATATGATTGTTTTTCTAATTCTGAATGGAATGTTAAAATTTATCTTTATTTATTAATTATTCAGTTATTATTATTTATTACTTTTTTTTACATTAATATTTATTATTTTTTTTATTAATTTTTTTTGAATTTTTATTCATTATTTTTCATTATTATTATTATTATGTTTCTTTTAATTGTCGCGTATAGACGCGTATATATGCCTTTTTGCTATAAAATAATTTTAAAAACTTGTTTCGCAACCTCAGTCAATGAAAGTGCTTCAAAACTTATTTTAAGAAATAATTTGGCTCAATTTTAATTATTGACTTCTGAATAACTTTATTATTATTATAAAAATAAATAAAAGAATAAAAAATGTGAATAAAAAAATAAATAAATAAAAAATAATAATAAATAAAATAATAATAATAATAATAATAATAATAAATAAAAATAAATAAAAAATGTGTAAAAAATGTGGTATAAAGCCTCAATTTCTTTAAAAATATGGCTAAAAACCCTCTTTTTTAAAAAATTTAAAAATATTAGTTATAAATATAAAATATGGTATTATTATATATTAAAATTATTTTTTTCGCTAGCCTCTACAATTCTATTATTAATTTCTAAATGGGAATGAAGAGGTCGAGGTCCAGGGAAAAAGTTTGATTACGCCACAATAAATAATTTTTTAATGTAGACGCAATATGAGAATTATAGAAATCGTTGTCTCGTGCGAAACTATACGAGCTCGATCGGGTAATTGAAAGTATATATATATATATAATATGAACTCTGTAGAACTGCAAAAGCACATTATAAGGATTTCCTCGTGGGAACAACTTAGCGATTCACATATATATAGTATATAGGATATTATAGGGACACTTGAGGTCTTGTTGTCCTTCGCGTCTTTTACAAGGAGCGCACGTTGAAAAAAACCTAATGCATTCGTATATATACTTTTTAGGAGGATGAGCCGCAAATTTATGGGCCCTTTGTCATTGAACTCGAGGTCAAATTTGTGCAATGTCAAAGTGCACTTGTCCTTTTTCTGTATTTTTTATTTTTATATTTTTATATTTTTATTTTTTCCTCGTTTTTATATAATTTTTTTGGCTTTTTTTTTCTTTTTTGCTTAGGGAATTTTGGGAAATCTGCATACACATAACTATTTGGATTTCGTTGTATTATGAAAATTTTTAAAATATATATAAAATAAACGAAATGTTAATATGCTTAATAAGTTCAATTAATTGATTAACTAAACTGATTAATATTAACTTTAAATTAAAATTAAATACATTGGCCCTATTTTTAATTCAATTGGAATATTAAATTAAAAATAAGGCCAACATTTTTGTTTCCTAACATTTTTAAAATAATTTTTCACTTTTAAATATTTTCAATTTTTGAAATTAATGTATTGAAAATCATTGAATTCTTGCATAGAATTTTATCAAAAAATTTGAGAATAATTAAATTCCTTGGAAGAATTTTATTATTTATAGACAATAATTGAATTCCCCAGAAGAATTTTATTAAAATTTTTGAAAATCCTAATTAAATTCTTTTGAAGAATTTCTTTGAATTTTTTTTTTTTTTAAAATAATTTAGTTTTTTTTTTTAATTTTAAATGAAAATTTTGAAAGTAATTGAATTTTATGAACAATTACTTTCAAATTTTTAAAATTCTTCTCTGAATCAAATTATTTTTTAATAATTTTCGACAACACTTTTTTAAGGATTCAATTATTATTTAACGAAAAAATCAAGTTCACTTAAAATAATTCTGTATTTTACTATAGTTATAAAAATAATTAAATTGTTTTGAAAGATTTATTAAAATTTTAGAAAATAATTGAATTCTTTGGAAAAATTTTATAACGAATTTAGAAAAAATATTAATTCTTTCGTGAAATTTTATTGAAAATAATTGAATTGTATCGAAGGATTTATTAAAATTTAAAAAAATAATTTAATTAAATTCGTGAAATTTTATTAAAATTTTGTTGAATTGAAAAAGTTTTTTCAATTTTTTTTTAAATAATGGAGTTTTTTTAGGAATTGAAAATTTTTTTTTACATGAAAACTTTGAAAGTAATTGAATTTCATGAATTTCTTTCAAGTTTTCAAAATAATCGTGTCTTTTAATAACTATAATTAAATATTTGATTATTGAAGTTTATTAAAATTGTATTGAAAATAATTGAATTTCTGAGAAGAATTTTATTACAATTATAAAAAATAATTTAATTCTAGTGATGAATTTTACTACTTGGAAAAATAATTAAATTGTTTCAAAGGATTTATTAAAATTTTAGAAAATAATTGGATTCTTTCGAAAAATATTAAAAAATTTTTAAAATAATAAAAATAATTTCGAAGGATTTATTAAAATTTTAGAAAATAATTGAATTTTTTCATGAAATTTTATTAAAAATAATTGAATTGTTTCGAAGAATTTATTAAAATTTTAGAAAATAATTGAATATTGTTTCGAAGAATTTATTAAAATTTTAGAAAATAATTGAATCCTTTTAAAAAATTTGTTAACAAATTAAGAAAAAAATTGAATTATTTCAAAAATAATTGAATTGTTTCGAAGGAGTCATTAAAATTTTGTTGAAAATAATTGAATCTTTGCAAAAATTTTTACTATTTATAAAAATAATTGAATTCTTCCAAAGAATGTTATTATTTATGAAAATAATTGAATTCCTGCGAAGAAATATATAAAAATTTTTGAAAATGCAAATAATAATTAATTACGCACTTAGTAAGTGAATTTTTAAAAATTTTGTCTATTAAAATTATTCAAAAATTAATATTTAAAAAAAAAATATGTTTGTAATAACAAAAATAAGAAAATAATAATAATAATAATAAAAGAAAAATGTTATACTTTGTAAGTCTCGTCCACAACTTCCGCTGGTTGAGTCGAGAGGAAATCGTACTCGGGTTCGGCTAAATTATTCTTTACTCCGGGCACGTCGTCTTTCGGTCGAACCTCAACAATCGTTGAGAGCACTGGATTCTTCGTTACCACCTCCACTCGGGTCTTAACATTCTAAAAATAAAAAAAATTAACATTTATTTCATCCACCTTCGCACAAAATAACTATAATCATTTATATGAATATAAATATATAAAATAAACTTGTTCTGATGCACCAGAAATTCATTTTATTTCAATATTCATTAAATATTCATTTAAATATTATAATTCGGTTAAATGTTAAGAAATTTCACTTTTTTATTTATGTTTTCTTTCAAATTTCAATAAATTACTTTTTTCTCTAGTTTTTCGATATTTTTATTATTATCTTCCACTTTCAGTCAATTTTCCCTTTAAAAACAATTTTTTTCCTTAAATTATTTCAAAAAATAAGTTTTTCACCAAATATTTAGGATTTTTAGTATAAAAAATACTGAAGTAGTTTGAATTTCAAAAATAATTATTTTCTTCTCTTTCTTCAGTATTTTTTCTCTTTCTTCAAAGCAGTTTCCACTTTTAAAAATAGCAAAAAAAAAAAAATAATATAAAAATAAAAATTTACAATACAGTGAAATTTAACTCTGAAAATATTTTCAAATGCAAAAGAAAAAAAAAACTTGGAAAAAAGTAAAATGATAAACGAAGACATTATTCAGAGAAAAAAGTGGAAAAAAGTGTTAAAATTGTGAATTCTATTGATAAATAAGTAATAGCAATAGACATAAAAATAAGAAAGCTTTAAAATAAAGAGTTTTAAAATAATACATCCGTAACTGAATATAAACGAAATTATTATAAAATAAAATGAACGTTACATAAGATTTTTGTAAGAAAAGTATGAACATTAAACATTACAAGAGAATAAATGCAGATAAGTTTCACCAATAAAAATAATCACTGTTTATTCAATTGTTATTGAATATCAAACACAATATGCAAAAGAAAGTGAGTTCATAATGTTTTATTTTATAATTTTATTTTCCAATGCTTGGAAATTTATGTCTGTAATTATTAACACAATAATTTCACTCACAAGGAGAAAATACTCACAAAAGTCTATTCGCATTATTTTTATATTATTACTATTTTACAATTATTATTTTATTTTCTTAATAATTATATTTAAATTATTATTAAAACGGCAATAATTCAAAATTAAATTTTCAAATTTAAATGATCGATGTTTTATTGTTTAAACAATCGAATTATTATTTTAACAATTAAATTATTGTTTAAGCAATTGAAATTATGTTTTAAAAATCGAAATAATGTTTAAACAATCAAATTATTATCTCAACAAAATAATTATTGTTTAAACAATTGAATTGATATTTTAAAAATCGAAATATTTATTTCAACAATCAAATTATTGTTTAAACAGTAAAATTATTGTTTAAACAAAAGAATTAATATTTAAACAATCTAATTATTATTTCAACAATTAAAATATTGTTTAAACAATTGACTCGATTATTCAAACAATCAAATAAATATTGTTTATACAATAGAATTACTATTTAAACAATCGAATTATTATTTCAACAATCGAAATATTGTTTAAACAGTAAAATTTATTGTTTAAACAATAGAATTATTATTTAAACAATCGAACTATTATTTTAACAATCAAAATATTGTTTAAACAATAAAATTATTGTTTAAACATTAGAATTATTATTTTAACAATCAAAATATTGTTTAAACAATAAAATTATTGTTTAAACATTAGAATTATTATTTAAACAATCTAATTATTATTTCAACAATAAAATTATTGTTTAAACAATTGACTTGATTATTTAAAAATCGAAATATTATTTAAACTATCAAATTATTATTTAAACAGTAAAATTTTTATTTAAACAATTGAATTATTATTTAAACAATCAAATAATTATTGTTTATATAATAGAATTACTATTTAAGCAGTTAAATTATTATTAAAACAATAAAATTATTATTTAAACAGTGGAATTTTTATTTAAACAATCCAATTATTATTGAAACAATCAAATTATTGTTTAAACAATTGAATCGATAATTTAAAAATCGAAATATTATAAAAACTATCAAATTCTTGTTTAATCAGTAAAATTTTTATTTAAACAATCGAATTATTACTTCAACAATCAAATTATTGTTTAAACAATTGAATTGATAATTTAAACTATCAAATTATTGTTTAAACAGTAAAATTATTATTGAAACAGTAAAATTATTATTTAAACAATCGAATTATTATTTCAATAATCAAATTATTATTTAAACAATTAAATTAATAATTTAAAAATTGAATTATTATGTAAACTATTAAATTATTATTCAATGGAGACAATCAAATTAAAAATTATTATTTATATAATAGAGTTGTTATTTAGACAATTAAATTATTAAACTATCGAATTATTATTTAAAGAATCAAATAAATATTGTTCATAAAATAGAATTACTATTTAAACGATTAAATTATTATTTAAAGAATCAAATAAATATTGTTCATAAAATAAAATTACTATTTAAACAATTAAATTATTATTAAAACAATCAAATTATTGTTTAAACAATTAAATTGATATTTTAGAAGTCGAAATATTATTTAAATAATCAACTTATTAGTTAAGCAATCAAATTATAATTATATTATTTTATTAATAATTAATTAATAACAAATTAATGTACCTAAATAAATTGTTTTTAAAAATCTCTAAAAAAATATCTGAAACATAATAATATGAAAATGTTAATCACCTAAAAATTCACATTATTCTTCCTTCCGCAATTAAATAAAATAAATTCGTATTAAAATTTATTTAATTAATACAGTCAATTTTTTTCCAGATTTCTATAAATTATGCTGAATGATAGTTTTTTTTATATATTTATAATATAAATTGATTATTATCTTAGAGGTTGAAAAAAATTTTTCCTAAGAATGAAAAAAATTGGTGAAAAAAAAATGATGGAAAACGTTTTAATATTCATACGTAATTTATAAAAATCTTTATTTTCTAAAATTTAATTCAAGACAATTTTTCTTTTATCAAAAAAAAAAAAAAAAAAAAAAAATACATGTCAAGTCCATGGACAAGTTTTTAAGAAATACTAAAAATAAGAGAAAAATTTGAAGAAGCAGCAAAACCGGTAATGTGAGATTGACTCATTTTCATTTTTTATTTTTTTTTGTTACATTCATTCTCGTGTCATCTTTATTAAAGGTAAAAATTTTCACCTTAAATTATACTAGAAATTCTAATAATTCAAAAATTTCATTTTTAAAATTTTTTTTCATTTTTTTTTTAAAAATTTCATTTTTACTGTACATACAATTTTTTATTTCTTTCATTTATTCGGGATGATAATAATAATAATAATAATAATAATAATAATAATAATAATAATAATAGCATAATTTCTCTACATTTGAATTAGTAAAAATGTTTACTAATTTAAATTAGTGAATGACTGTTTGCTTCAGAATTAGTAAATTCTACTAATATATAGTCATTTCTACTAATTTATTAGTAAAATTTACTAATTACTAAATAAATTAAGTAAATTTTACTAATAAATAGTAACTTCTACTAATTTATTAGTAAAATAGTGATTTTTACTAATTTATTAGTAAAATGGTAATTTTCACTAATTTATCAGTAAAATTTACTAATTAGTAATTAAATTAATAAATTCTTTCCAATAAATAGTAATTTCTACTAATTTATTAGTAAAATTTAGTAATTACTAATTAAATAAAGCAAATGTTACTAGAAAATAGTAAATTTTACTAATTTATTAGTAAAATTTACTAAATTAATAAATTCTTTCTAATAAATAGTAATTTGTACTAATTTATTAGTAAAATTTAGTAATTACTAATTACTAATTAAATGAAGCAAATTTTACTAAGAAATAGTAATTTTTACTAATTTATTAGTAAAATTTACTAATTAGTAATTAAATTAATAGATTCTTACTAATAAATAGTAATTAGAAAATTTTACTAATAAATTAGTAAAAATTACTATTTATTAGTAAAAACTACTGATTATTAGTAAAATTTGCTTAATTTAATTTACTATTAAATTATAGTAGAAATTACTGTTTATTAGTACAGTTTACTAATTCAAAAGGAAAAAATGACGAAGCGATTATTATTTTAATTTGTACTAGTTAATTACTATTTAATTAGTTAGTTAATTAATTTTAGTTAATTTAGAGTAATTAGTTAAAATAATAATTAATTAGTAAAAAAAAGTAATTAGTTAATAAAAAATCATTGATTAATTACTAATTAATTTATTATTTAATAATAATAATAAAGAAATTAATTTATTTATTTATTCTTATCATTATTATTATTATTATTATAAATAAATAATAATTACTTTTATTATTAGTATAATTACAATTATTTGAGTTTCGAGGATTGGAAAAAAATAATCTCTTCAAAATCTTATTCCCCTGCTTGTTAAATTAATTCAAGAATTGTGAATTTATAAAAACCTGTTTCTTCCTTCCTCGTCATAAATTTCAACTTATTTTTAATTTTTCGATAATTTCCTCTAAAAAAAATATTCGCTTCTTATTCTCAAAATAAAAATTATTCAAATTCTATTTTCATTTTTACCTTTTTATCAAGAAATTGATATTCCAAATTTTCTTACTACGTGATTTTAAAAAAATTTTTAAATCTTCTTGAATGTAATTTAAATAATATTCCCATATATATCGCATTAATTTATCAATTTGACAATATATTGAATTATTAATTGTACAAATTCATCTATATTTTAAAGCCATGTACATTCTTTAAGCATTTTCAGCCTAAAAACAAAGATTTTTCGTTAAAAAAAAAATGCTTAAAAAATTAGGAAAATCAATTTTTTATTTGGAAATTCAAATTTTTTTGTGGATGCAAAAACGTATATTCTATAAAATTGCATGGACTTCAAAGTCTAACAATTTTTAAGTAAAATAAAAATTTAGAAAGGATCAAAATATCTTCTGACCGATTTTATTTTTTAACAAATTAAATTCCTCATATTTAAAATAATTAAAATAATAAAATATTTTAAAATAATTTAAATAATAAAATAATTTAAAATAATTAAAATAATAAAATATTTTTAAATAATTTAAATAATAAAATAATTTAAAAAACATTTAAATTATTTTATTGGTATAATTATAAAAATATCGATGTACCGACTCCTTAAATAAATAATTAATTTAAAATACGATAAATTTTAATTAAAAATATTATTATTTTTATAAAAAAATTATTTTTTTTTATAAAAAATTTTTTTTTTTTTTTTAACACTTACATCATTTTTGGAGGGTTGAACTTCAGCTTTAATGGCAGAATTTGGCTGTACAAGTGAATTAACAATTATTTTTGTTTCTTTAGCCAAATTTTTCTTTGTCTCTGATTGTGAATTTTCACTTTTGTGCGTTTTGCTTGGTTGAATATCGGGATTCTTTTTCTGCGGTTCCGTTGGCTTTGTCGTGATTGGCGTAACTTCAGGTAGATCATTGGATTTTTCCTTTTCGCCTTCTTTATTAACAGAAAATTAATAATAATATTAATTATAATTATAAAATATTATATTTATGTAAATTATAATCATATAGAATATCATGAACACTAAATTTGAATCAGTAAAATTTTTTTTACTACTTTGAATTAGTGACTGACATTTTTGCTTTTTAATTAGTAAATTTTACCAAAAAATTAGTAAAAATTACTTTTTTACTAATAAATTAGTAAAAGTTACTATTTATTAGTAAAATTTGCTTCATTTTATTAGTAAGTAGTACACTGGTAAATTAGTAGAAATTATACTATTTTTTAGTAAAATTTGCATTGTTTAATTAGTAATTAGTGATTAGTAATTAGTAAATTTTACTAATAAATTAGTAGAAATTACTATTTTTCAGTAAAGTTTATTAATTCAAAAGCAAAAAGTCAGTCACGAAAATTTAAATTAGTAAATTTTACTAATTCAAATTTATAGGATACTTCACTTACTGAACAATTGCAATTTTTTAAATCCGTTTTTCACAAGATCTTGAAATTGTTTCTAAATGGAAAAATTTGATTTTTTTTTCTTTGATTCAAAAAAATTTTAATGAAAATAAGGTTTAAAAATAAGTTTTATTCATGATCTATGGTGATCTATGGATTGAATGAAGTAAGCGGTACGGAATTTGAATAACAACGTGCGGTCAGCCGGTCATTAAATAGCCAAGAGCGAAAATGTGCCTAACGCGTACATTACATTTACTTATAGCTTCGGAATGCATTTGCAATGTTTTTTTTTCTTTTTATTTCAATATAACTATATATATGTAAAAGTGTAGAACAAAACTAAAATTATAAATTTCAATATGTATAAAACTTCATAATTTTTTCTTCTTCTAAATATTATATGCATATACGAAATAACAAATATTGCAAAACTTGTAGATACATTCTGATATTATACTCTTTATGCATTTATTGGTTAAAATTCTATTTTTTCCCTATGAGAATATATATGTTATGTAGGTTCAATGATTTAAACACGTAATTTCTAGAATCGACGAAAAATGTGAAATTCATGAAAAAAATATTATTTCGAAATAAATAAGTTAGGTATATATGTAATTAAAAGACAAAAATAATAATAAAGATAAAATTCTTTATTAATCATGCAAAATACGTATTTTAAAAATGAATAAAATATAGAAGAAACTATTAATTTTCGTTCATAGAAAAAAATAATCTTATGGTTAAGGTTTCTTTATATTAATTTCATTAATTTAAAACATTTTTTTTTTAAATTTTTTAAAAAATTTTTTAAAAAATTATTTTGTCTTCATAAATTATTACATATTTTACTTCTTAACTATTTTTTTATTCAACTATATCGAAAAAGGGAAAATTAAACAATTGTCATTTATTGTTTAATGAAATGTTTCTTAAACATCAAAGCACTGAAGAAAGGTACCTAAGAAAAAAATTTGAGGTTAGGTTTGTAATTTTTGGAATAAAAATATAGAAAACGGATCTACTTTTAATAAGAATCTTCGAGATTCAAGTCTTCATTAGGTATATTTTTAAATAATTCTAAAAACTGAATGTAATTTAAAATTAAACACAGAAACTATTATTTAAGTTAAGAATGACACAAACATAACCTCAAAATTCTTTGCTTCCTATTTCCTTTCTTTGGATGATATTCTCCTATTTTTCTTGTCTTTATTTTCGATTTTTTATTCTCAGTTTCATTTATGAAATTTTTAATTAATAATTTAAATTTTTAATATATTGAAATTATTATAAATACTTAATAAAAATAATGAATAAAAACTAAATAGTTTTTTATGCGACTAATATGAAAGTCTTAATTAAAAACAAATCGATCATCGACAAAAAAACATCTCAACACCTTTTCTGGTCCGATTGACCTTTTATTTTCATTATTATAACGTCAAAAATGTAAATTTTGGACGTTATAATAATGAAAATAAAAGGCCTGATAGATAAAAAAAACTATCAGTGGAATGCATTATAATATTTGTCCCTATCACTCATTTTAATAAAATACTGACTCAACCTGAATGAAAGAAAAAAAAATTCATTGTTAGGCGTCCAGTGTGTAACGCAGATTTTTTTTTCAATCAATCGTGCGAGCCTTGACTCATTTATTTCTATAATAGTCCTAACATTAAACTTATAACTATATATATATATATATATATATATATATATATATATATATATATATATATATATATATATATATATATATATATATATAATTTTTGACGATCGAAATATTATTATCATTATATATATGTATAGAATAGAAGGTGTGTATATCCATCATTGACGAAAGTGAATTGAATCGTAATGATCCACGCCAAGAATGGAAAACCCGTTTACTTCACTTTCATTATATATATTTCTATACACATATATATATATATATATATATATATATATATATATATATATATATATATATATATATAGACACTTATTTTTGATGCGTGCCGAGAATTTCTACTCTTGTCCGCCTTTAATAATCTAAATACCATTTATAGAATTTGACAATTATTTTCTATAAAACAGAAGGAGAAAAAAAGCGAACAAAATTATCACTGTGCGCTCTATAAATCACTTCGAGAAATTAGATTTCAATTTTGTAGAAATTTATTGATACTATCGATATTACTGATACTATTGATATTACTGATACTATCGATATTACTGATACTATCTATATTACTGATACTATAAATATTCTTAATACTATCGACATTATTAATAGTATCGACATTATTAATACTATCTATATTAATGATACTATTACATAATATTAAAGATACTATTCATATTACTAATACTATCTATATTAATGACACTATTAATATTAAAGATATTATCGATATTATTAATAATATCCATTTTAATGATACTATTAATATTGAAGATACTATTAATATTCTTAATACTATCGATATTATTGATACTATAAATATTCTCAATACTATCCATATTAATGATATACTATTAATATTAAAGATACTATCGATATTATTAATTATTAATTCGATAATTATTAATTTTTTATAGAAAAAAGAATGTCGGCTATTAAAAGATTTAAATCGTGAAATGTCGGTTATTTAGATAAAAAAAGCGATATAAATAATAATAAAAAAAAAATATCTAGATTATTTATCGATAATGTAATCGATATTTTTAATAAAATAAAAATGATTAACGTTGAAAAAGAGAAATTATAGATTATAGAGATAAAGAAGTGAAATTACCGAATATTGATAAAAAAAGCGATAGAAATCGTTTATCGATAAGCGAATTTCCGGAATGGCGATAAAATAGCCGAATATTCGATAAAACGGCCAAAAAGACAAAAAAAAAATAAATAAAAAGGCAAAGTTAATCGATAAAAAGACGATAAATATCGATTTTATCGATAAACAATCAAAATATACCGTACGAAAGAAATTACAAAAGAAAAATAATAATGCCTTGCTATATGTGGTTCGATAATAATTGAGGTACATATTTGTATAGTTTTGTAATTGTTACAACACGAATTTTTTTTGACACAATATAATAACTACACGCAAGGTCCCCTGATGCAAAATTATACAACGCGAGTTCAAGCGCTTTACATTCAATAAATAATAATAATTACACCTTGAATAATGATTAAAAGAACAAATAAATAAAATTAATGCATTAATATAAATAACGGACCTCGTGGCGGACAAGAAGCTAATATATAAGAAATGAAGCATATCCATTATTCTTTATAGTATAATTTTAATAATAAATAATATTTGCCATAATTGTTATTGATATTTTCTTGTGAGAAATTTTCTGATTTCGCACGTATCTATAGAGTTTATAGCAATATCGATGTATATGGGCGCTCATGACATTTTATAGTGTATACTCCCCCCGTGTAACCTTCGACGTCGACGTTTACTAGCAACATAACATTTTTTCTTTTCTTCTTTTTCTTCTTCTTAAAAGAGTCTCGAGTGCAAGTCAACAGCAACAATTTTAAAACCGTTTCTTTTACCATCTTCAGAGGTGTATACCATGACTGGGCGATTATTTATTCACTCTCAAGTGTATATTTGTTTAACAACTTTCTTAATGGCACTCTATATTTATGTACGAAATCGAAAATTACATCAAAATTATTGTACGAAACTTTTTTTTTTAATTTTATTTTATTCGTGTTTATTATATAAGGCACTGTCATTCATTTTTTTTATTTCGGCAAGCATTTTTCTCTTTAATTGAATATTATTATTATTATCAATATTATTTTTATTATTATTTATTACTATTGTTACTGTTATTACAGAAATTAGTGCACTGATAACTAGAAAATATCAAAATGTAACGAATTGTTACTAAACATGTGGATCAAAAATTATTAATTGAATATTGAACCAAATTTTGGTATCAATTTGATCCACTTTGGTAACAATTTAAATAAAAGTTTTTTTTTGGTATCAATAAAATAGATATAAAATTTTAGTACTTTTAAGAAAGCTGTGTGCTATTTTGTAAGAAATTTTTCTTTTTCGGAGCACCCTACCTAATCAATTTAAATTAAGAATATTTTGAAATTTAAGCCTTAATTTAGGGTTCCGTACTCAAAATATAAACTTATTATTTAAACAAATATGAGCATGGAAATTTGTATTAATAGTCGAAATACTCTTTTTGTTTTTTCACTTCAAAAATTACGAACGTAACCTAACACTTTTTAATTCTAAGCATTCTAAGCAAGAATTAAACAGTATTGGAATTAAAAAGTACACAAAAAATGCTTTAAAATTTACTATAAAAAAATTAAAAACGACTAATTTTTCTAGAAATTATGTCAATTTGAATAAAACAACGTCTCTTAAAATTTAATTTTTTTGATTGGATCAGTTCACACGGAATTACTCAATTGAGGGAGAATCCTCCCTAATTAAGCAATTCCACGTGAACTGATCCATTCAAAAAAATGTGAACCAATGTCCCAATCTAATTATTTTGATTGGATCAGTTCACGTGGAATTGCTCAATTAGGGAAAATTTCTCCCTAATTGAGCAATTCCACGTGAACTGATCCAATAAAAAAATTAAATTTTAAGGGACATTGGTTCACACTCCGAAAAAGTGTCAATTTCTTATAGAACAAACCCACTTGTGGAAAATAAAAAAGAAATGGGATAAAAAATTGAAAAATACTTTTGAGGGTAAAAAAAGTGGTCGAAGTCGTTACTACAGTTGTTCTCACTATGTTTGGGAGGGCGCTGCCCTCGGATAATTTTATCGTCATATATTATGACCGAATATATATTATATATTCAATTTATACTACATATACACAGTATATGCAGTGTTGTTTTATTAGTCAAAGATCGCAGATCTTTTCCGACTAAACGGAAGTTCCTGAGTAACATCAGACCACCTGTCAATGAACCAGTCGAGTTGTCCTTATATATTAAACGTAGGCTTCATTAAGCCGCTTGCGAGAAACGTCAATTTCACATCGACTCAAATTAATAATTATTTTTTTCACAAATTTTTCAATTCTCACTAAACAATTGACCCTGGGTCATTTAAATAAAATTGCAAAAACTCCCAAAGTATTCAATAAATATTTCTTTATTTAAAACTGAAATAAAAATTTATCTACTTTAGCCAGTGATACTGCCTTTCGAACCCTAGCGGAAATTTTAAGAAACTTAACTCGTGGAGCGGGAAAATTAAACTTATGAGGTTTTACTTGTCTTTTCAAAAACGTAATATATAAATTTTTAATTGCAACAAATTGAGATGTTTAGTAACATTTTTTTTGTGTCTTATAATTAATTTTATAAATTTACATTAAGTCAATTTTATAAATAAACGATTGTTTTGATTGAAAAAGTCGATTTTCTGAAATTTTATGCCGATAAATACAATACTACAAAGTTTCATTTAAATTCGTGAGGTGCTCCGAAAAAGTATAAATTTCTTACGGAATAAATTGCAATTGTTAACTAATTTTGAAGAATAGACACGAAAATGTCTGGTTTAACGAACACACACATTAACTTTTATTATTCTTTCTTTCTGCTCTCACAGGCACAAGAATCGTAAATAGTAAAGAGAATGTGTGAATGAAAAGTAAACTATACTATAATGAAATTTTACAGACATACTTTTGTTGTTTTCTTAAAGTAGTTGTGAACCAATGTATATTATTTATTTATATAGACAAGACTTATTATATATGTATTGACTAACCTGCAGGGGCGCTCTGCGGACTAAACACCATCACCGTATTGCCAATAGTTGTCGTAAAGTCCAAAAATCCATAAACCGTTTGCGTTATTAACTCATTGTTGACTGTTGTTGAAGGCTTTTCCGATTCTACACTTTCTGAAGGCTTTTCTGATGTGTAAATCTGTGTAGCACTTTCTGAAACTGATATAATTAACATTTATTAGTATATATGGTTGTAATTATTATAAGAACTTAAAATTTTTAAAAAATAAGCAATTAAGATTCTTTTAATTTCCTTTCATGATTTTCTTTAAAGTATCAAATTGATACTAATAGTGGATCAAAATGAAGCTAAAAATTTGGATCAATCTTTTATTTGATCCACATTTTTGGTATCAATTCGTTGAAATTTGATACTTTTAAATATAACAAGATTTTAAGTCATTCTAATAAGTTATGTGATTTAACCCATAGTTTAAAAAAAAATAGGCTACTCTTTAATCATTTTGGATTTAAGATCTCTTTAAAAAATAAATCCTACTTTTCGACCACTTTTTGCATTTGAATAATTATTCATAAATTATAACCTTTTGAGAGTATAACTTTAAGTCCTAAAGCTAACTGAATCTGGTTTTAATCTTAGAAATAGGTTTTGTTTGCTTTAAATCATTTAAAATAATTTAAATAATTTTTCCTAAGCGTATGCAAAATTATCAAGAGAAATTCAATGAAAAAAGAGGATATCAATAAAATGTAGGGTACTTTAAATGTTACTAGATTTTGATGTATGTCACAGAAAATGTCGATCTTGATAATGCGGCTGAACGCCGATTATCTCTATATTGAAGCATTGGAAAGTATTTTTCCTCTCAAAGCGTTCTCTATTGGTGTAGTTATATATATAATGACTTGTCTTACTGTTTTTGTCACGAGAGTATAAAGAATGCTGAATATATTATTGTTTTCGAAACAATTTTTTCTGTTTCTTTCTTCTTCGAATCGTAATTTTTTAAAAATTCAAAATATTTTGACCCTTTTTTGAAAATTAAAAAACATTTTTTCCTTTTAAAAAGGACACCCCCCCCCCTAATTCTTATATAAAATAAATGGGTATATACTTTCAACAAATGAATTAAAAAATGTTTTCATGTCCCTGAATTAAAGTTAGCGTCGACGCTCAGCAATTGAATATTATTTTTTTCGATTCTTAGGGATGAAAATATAGCATTGTTAAAATTCGCAATGTAGCTCAACATATTTTTTTTCAAATTTAAATTTAATATTTACTTATTATTACTACCTGATGCAAATATGCATATATAGTGTACTATAATAAGTACACATGTAGTTCAGGGAACTCGCAGCTATTTAGAAAGGAAAAAAAATCATGTCGTACACGTGCCAATGGTTCACGTGTGCTCTCAACTTTTGTAGCACGTGTGTGAAAAATCGCGAAAATCGCGGTCATTTTATAACAGTGGAGAGGTTGTCTCTTTGAAACCATGTTGTACACACATATATATGTACATCTAAACCTTTCACGGACTCTCGCGCGCGGGCAAAATATTTGCTGATTTCTACGCTATTCGGAGCGTAAAATGTACAACCACCTGAAATTTATATCGAAACAGGTGTTTATGTGTATATATACGTAAATTAGAACACGATTTACTCGTGATTTTTTTTTTTGACTGAAAATATAATTATAATGTTTAGTGTAAATTTTCTCTGCGAATGTAGACTTAAGGATATAATATATATAAACTGAATAAGTTTAAAAATCAAAATAGAAAATTTTGTTAAAAAATCGAAAAATTTGTCAATTTTTTAAGAATTTTTTTTTTTAAATTTTTTTTCTATATTAAAAATATAATATATTTATGCAATATATAAAAATATATTGGAGGTAAGAAATAATAAATTTTTTACGTTATTCTTGACTGTTAAGTTTTCTGATTTATAAATTTTTTTCTATATATATATCCGACCGACTTTTTTTGTTTCATATATTTCGTTAAATGATACTTAAATACATAAACTTTTTATAAATATAAAAAATATATAGAGTCATGTGTGCTATAAATCTCGCGCACGTTTATGAAGTAATATCCGGATATTTTATACGGATCTACGGAAATTATCATCGAAATTAATAACAGTCATTATTTTGTGTTAAAAGCATAAAAAAGAAATTCACTTTTTTTGCGTGCACACATTTATTCCTTGGCGAATAAATATTTATGCAACTGTCACGAAGGTCTTTTTCTTGGGGACACGTATAATATTACATATAGTCGAAAATAGAAATGTTGTAAACTTTCGCATATTAATTTTTTTTTTAATTTTAATGAATAATCCAAGGACATTATTCTGACGAAATAATAATGTCAATGCTAAAAATAAGATTATTTTTCATTTTTTTTAGTGTCATCATTTCTTCAAAGTACCATGGCACGAAAAAAAGGGTCTAAGAAGTAGAAACTTGTAGGTTATGTTCGTAACGTTTAAAGTGAAAATGCATAAAGTGGGTTAATTTTCAATTTAAATCGATTACGTTCGATTCTTTATTACATTTTAAATATTCAATAAAGATTATTTTTCTTTTTATAAGAAAATAGAAAAATTTATTTTTTAAACTAATACGATCATGAATGTATAACCTAAAAGTAAAATTTGATACTTTCAAGAAATCTGTGAACGTAAATTAATTTAAAGAGTAAATGTTCTTTTTCACGGAAAGTTTATTTCTATTTATTTATTCAATATTTAAACAAGCTTGAAAGAAATTTTTAAAAAGTTGGAATTTTTTATAATCAAAATATATATTTTTCTGGGAAAAAATTCAACTCTTGCAGTCTATGTTTAAAAAAAATGTCATACATTAACTGCGTTTGGTTTAGAAACACAAATAAATAACCTTAAGACTCTCATTTCTTTTTGCACTATTGTCTCGCATTATACGCGAACGATGCTTATTAACAAAGACAAAGTCAGACATTGTTATGTTTATATCGTTGACGCCCAGGGCGTGTCTCCCGTTATAAAATGACTTCTATTTCCCACACAAAACCTTATTTATATATTTATGATTAGCAATAATTATACTATTCTTTTTCTATATATACTGATTTCAAGTATTAATTTTTCTCAAAAGTATATATGGGAAAATTGTCTGTAATTCTTCTGCGTTCTTCGATTTTTCAACCTATTTTCTTTTTTTAATTATACCGTTTTTTATAAATTAAAATTTAATTCTATAAAAAACATTAAAAATCAAATTTTAAATTTTTTTTTATTTGATCAGTTCACGTGGAATTGCTCAATTAGGTAGAATCCTTCTTAATTGAGCAATTCCACGTGAACTGATCCAATAAAAAAAAAATAGATTTTAAGGGACAATGGTTCACATTTTTTTTATTGGATCAGTTCACGTGGAATTGCTCTATTAGGGAGAATCCTCCCTAATTGAGCAATTCCACGTGAACTGATCCAATCAAAAAAATCAGATTTGAAGGGACATACGAATAAAGTGAAAAATTAGAAAAGCAGATGAAATACAGATCAAATGAAAAATTAAAATTACAAATCAAATAAAAAAATTAAAAATACCGATCAAATGAAAAATTAAAAAATACAAATCAAATAAAAAAAATTAAAAATACAGATCAAATGAAAAATTAAAAAATACAAATCGAATAAAAAATTGAAGTCTCATCGTTACATAAAAGAGAAAAGTTTAAATTGTTCCTATACACTGTAATAATGAAACACATTGGTTTATACTTCAAGTTGAAGGAAAGTTAATGACAAAGCCTTGAATTTTCTCAAGAGGCATTCCTCAAAGTAGCATTTTTACTTATAAAAAGAATTACGACGAATAGAACACAATTAGTTATACAAGAAAGGACAAAGCTATAATTGTTTTAAACTTACATCCTATGCGAAATTTCTTCGAGCTCACATCACACCTTTCTATCTAATATTTTATATATTCTTTATACATTGTTCATTTATATAATGAAGGAAATCACTCAAACATGACGGAAACGTGAACCCACAATTTTATCTCGATGCTTTAGTAAAGAAAGAAAAAAAAGAGGAAAGAGTAAGAGAGAGAGAGAGAGAAAGAAGAATAATTAAATCATATAATCAATTTCGTGATTTTCTATAAAAGCATTGTTTTCTCTCTTTTCTTTTTCAATAAATTAAGGAAGAATTTCTTCTCTAGTTATTAAGAAATAATTTCCAACTTATTCCACGAAGCGTATTATTTTTAATCAATTATCTAATAAGAATTATGTATCTGCAATATATTGAAGAGAATTTTCCGTAACTTTTGAAATAATTATATTATTACAAACACGATTGAATGTAATTCGATATTTCTTTGAATTGTATTATAGAAATCGTGATTCGTTGATATAATTCATTTGAGATTTAGATTTTTTTTCGTTTATAATTTATAATTATTTTATTTATTTATATCACCCCAGGAGGGGGGGATTATATATATAATTATTTTGCTTACTTTATAACATTAATGTTTAAATGTCGTTTTTTTTTATATAAATTTGACACCCTCTCTAGAAGCAAACACCCTCTACCCCAAGAAGCAAACGAATGATAGGTTAAGTTTATTTATCTTGATTAAAACCCAATTTTTTTTTTTTTAATTTTTATAAAATTTTTTAAATTTTGCTCCAAAAATTAAAAAATTTACTTCTTATCTTTCCTGAAAAAGCATCATGTATTTATATTTATAAAATTTGAAATTAAAAATCGTTTGATATTTTGCTTATTTTTGAATACATGAAAAATTTAAAAAATTAAAAATGAACATAAATGTTGAACTCACCAAGTACAAGAGCAACGGTTAAAGAAATTAATTTCCACGCCATTGTATTTTAATCAGATAACATGATCCGCTGGTGCATGAATTTAGATACCTGGAAAAAAAGTAAAAAGCGTAAATTAAATTATTTTCGAAAACGGAAAAGAAATTATTACTTCAGTATAGTGAATAGGATATATGCTATAACTATACTTTCACAAAAAGAATTATTTTTTTCGTAGGTATTATTTAAGATTTTTCGAATTTAAAAAAAAAAAAAATTTTTATATTTTCCATAACTACATTTTCTATGTTTATCAATATATACAATAAAAGTGTTTAAACATGTATTTATAGATTGATAGAAATGAAAGGACGCAATCATTAAAAAGTCATGCCGTTAAGTAATGACAACAAAACGGTATATTTGCCAATAAGCATTGAAGAAGGCGTAACTCTTTGTGATGCATCATCAAATAATGAAGTAAACATTGAATTCCTTGTAGAAATTTTATAACATTGAATTAATCAGTGTCATCGTTTATATATGTATCTAAAATAATTAAAGATGGCCCTCTACCCTTATGAATTAATAATTGAATTCTTATAAATAATTTTATTATAAATTTTTTATAAATGCATAATTGAATTGAAATTTGAGGAATGTACCCTTGTAAAGTAGATCTTTGATATAAATTTTTAGGATAGTTTCGGTGCTGTATGGGGTATAGAACTTATGTCAAATAATTCGCCAATAAAGGGTTCGATGGAATAAGAATAATAAAATTGATCAAAGAGGAATGTATCATAGTAGAAATTAGTATGAACGTGATTTTAATTAAACTAACGATACATGACCAAAAGTGCGAAGATCAGTTGGGATAGAAAGAAGAAAGAGCATTAAGCATTTTCTAAATTGACAGTAAATCTTAAAGTACTATCTATATAGGACAATGATGAATGTGTGTATATGGAGTGATTACCAAATAAGACTAAGAGTATATACAGTGGGTATACTTTTATAGGAATATTAAACTCTCCACTTCTCTTGCGTTCGAGTTTCGTTGCTCAGCGACGCATGAATCTTTGTGTAAGTTAAAATGAATGCGAGTATACAAGTTAAAATATTGCATAAGGTGAAGTAAGCCTAGTATAATCGTTTAGACGTTCAGAAAACAATAGTAAGAGGTATACATAAAAGCTTAAGGTCCACTGCCTACGAGGCGTGTACGGAATTTGTAATTTCAGATCAGCTCTTGTTTCTTCCTCTCTCTCTTCTCCTACTCTATCACAGACTATTTCCCAAACTAGAAAATTGCTCTTGTTTTGTAAAACACAATATTTACATATAAATACATAATGATCCCTCTACACTCAGTAGTGCTAAGTAATTTTAAGATTTTGTAATAGTATAACAAAAGTATACTGTAAATCAAGGATTCAGTCGAGAATTGCTGTAATCGCGTAGGAAGTGAGATTTTTCAGGTCATTGTTATAAATCCGATTCTTATAATTGAAATGATGCGATAAACGTAGAAAGGGACAAATTGAAATAATAAGTGACGAAAACGACCCATGATCATTGTTTTTTCCTTCTACAATGAAATTAATTTTTATTAATGAAGAGGTAGCTTCAGTTTTCAATTTTTAGAGGGTTGACACGATTTTTAAGTGAAATTTAGAAATTTATCCGAATAATTATATAAAAATCAATTGACTTGGCCTAATACTAAGGATATGAAGCTTCTGGGTACGTACATGAAGAATAATTATTTTTACATTTTTCTGGTAAGAATAATAGTTTTATAACTCCAGTAACTTTATAATAACACGTTAATATAGTCGACGTAGAAATTAGCTGCGGTATATATGAAAAATAAATGTGTCAAGAGAATTAACGAGCATCCTTTTATAACATTGTCATAAAGCCTCGGCTAATAAACCATGATGATGATGATGATAATGATCATATCGACTCATGCAGAAAAACTTTTTTTCTCCCCGCAATTTCACGATTATTTATAAAAGTTATTCTTACTTCATTTTGTGCATAAAAAATTCTGCAATTAATTCCAACTATTCATCAAAATTCAATGTTTTCAGTGTTTTTACCAAAAATATACCAAAGTTCAGAATTATTGCCAGTAAATAAATTAAAAATAAACACAAAACGAAGGCCTAAGAAATAAATTTAATGATAAAGATAACTAATTAATGATAAAGATATTATATTTGTTACATAAAAGAATAATAAGAACAGAACAGAACAGAACAGATGAAAGTGAAGATGTCAAATACGATCGAAGGATGACATTGTGTTTTTGTTCCCGTTGAAGCCGATCGCTTCCTCAACATTCTATGCAAATGAACTTATCACTTTCTCATCGAAAAGCCCCATCACGGTTAACTTTCGATCGTTGGTCGAAATCATCGTGTGTGAAAATAAAATTAGTTCCTGGTATACATACTGTAATTAGTATTATTAACCTCCTCAGTTTTCTGCCTTGTTTGCTATTCTCATCATTTACAATCAAAAATATATAAATTCTACAGCGACACAATTTCTATATTAAGTGATTAGCTTCTTCCTTTCTTCAGAATGCGTCACAAATATCAAAATTATTGGCGAAATTTTATGAAGCCTTAGGCACCCAAAGAGTCACTTTAAAGAATCAAGAAGCAGAAGCAAGCGGAGAAAATTGTGAAGGTAACAAAAAGATATTCCAAAACAAGGAAAATGTTAAAAAATTTTTTTTTGCAAAGAAATGTTTACATTGTTTACATTGTTTTTTTAAAAGAATATATGAGACATAGTATGTTAAACTTTTTATCAAGAAGATTAGAATAGAGATTAATTAATGATGCGACTCTCGCTGTTTTTCGTGTATAAAATCTTCTCATTGTAATTATAGTGAATTGTTACGCCACCTGCTAGATGATTCGTGAGGAAAATTAACGACAATGTTGAATTATAATCGAATAACGTAAGTAAACAGGAGCGGAGCAGAAGAATCGTGTTGTGCTCAATGTACCTCTCGCCTTTCACTATATTATACACACCGCGATTCTCTCGATGATATCGCAACAAAACGACTCCTACTTGTAATCAGCTTTTTCCAATTCAGTACAAAAAGAAAATATTCTCACCAATTTATAGAAGCAATCGACACTATAATCTAGGAGAAAATTTTTTAAAAATAAACAAGTTTCCGCATGTTCCAATTGGCATCGAGGATTACAATAAAATATGAAATAAATATGTAAAATACCAAAACGCCTCAGCCTCTGAATGTTGTTACATTTCAAGAAAGATAAAACACATAATAGAGAATTTAAAATTTTGTTAAAATTTAAAAAAATAATATTTATACTTTTTTTGTACAATACTCCATCGCGCAAAAACCGACTACGTGGTTATTAAATTTGATAAGAGACAACATAAAAAGACAGTTTCATCGAACAATGGTTTCATTCTTTGCTGCGTAGAAGTGTAATATTAAAGAAAAGAAAATTATTTCTGTTAATCGTATCCAACATGAAAATTCGAGAAGAATTATTTCTTCTATTTTTCATCGCAGTGCAGGTGCAGTGTTTTAATATATCCAAGTATATAAGCAACAACCCTTGTTTGATTTCAGAAGTAAGTTAAAACTAAATATATAAAACAGTTAAACAACTACTTAAATATAGTAATTAGGTGCCTTCATCCCTAAAGTTAGTAATAGTACATCAGAACACCTTCCACAATCCCTATTTTATTGGAAAAATAAGTTTTATCCTCCTTTCCTACCCTATTGAAGAATTCCATATGGAATATTGTAAGAATATGCTTCTTCTTCTATCTTGATTTTTCATTATATTTAAGAAAATGTTACATGTTCTTTGTAGATCGAAGTCTCGTTTCAAGAGACAAATTCTTCAAAAATATTAACTACGAATAATTTATGTGTGATTTACGAACACTTGAAAGCAATCAACTCTCTTTTAAAACCAAAATATGAAAAGTTGATATTAGTTATAGCAGATGATGTAAAAGACGCAGTCACAATGGCTAAATATTTGAGTCACAATAATCGGGTCCCAATTGAGAAAAACAAACTTTTTATTCCTTATCTATTACTGAATGACGTACGAAAAATACTGAATTTGCTCTACTACGATAACGAGACTTCTACTTTCATCTTCGCTTATCCTAGAAATATGGGAAATGAAATATTAGGAAACTATCTTGCCCAGAAGATTATTAACGCGGCAGAACTTAGTTCTGTCATTCTTACAATTAAAGGAGAATTCGAGAATGAAACTCTCCATCGCTTATTCCAAGTGTCTTCAACTATTTTGATGGAATATCCACAGATTCTGTTAATTCCATTACCTGATATTCCACTTAATGAACACACATGCTCAATTAAATTTATACTTGAAAAAATAAAAAACTACTTGGATGATGATAATAAAAATGATGAAAATAATGATGATTATTACTATTATTATTATCATTACAATGATGTTGATAATAATGTTAAAGAAAGTTATAACTATCTAGTAAAAAGTATTTACAATAATTTAGTAAATTTGAATTCACAACCAAAATCAGAAACATTCTTGTGTAAAAATGGTGAATTATTTAATAGTCCTGAAAAAGTATTACATTTATTATTGGGTTACTCAAGGATTAAATTGAACAATTTTTTTAATTTAAATAGCACAGAAGAGGATGTAAACTGTATGCGACTACAAATGTTTAAGCTGAAAAGTAAAAGCTTACTAACAGATTCTCCTTTCTCAAAAATAACTACATTATCAGACGTGTTTGACACCCTAGACTTTTTAGTGAAACAAATGTCTGATTTAGAAAACGAAGTCAGTTATATGTGTAACAACAATGAAAACTTGGAAATTATTCTACAACTCTGTTTTCTAAAATTCCTTCCTGATAAACAATTATTCGAATCTTTTGAATCCTTTGCCAAAAATTATTTCAAACAGAAAATAGATTGGTTTCAAAGATTATTGGCAATGTTCAAAAATGTTAACTTCTGGAATGCAACTAGAAAATCAAGTGAGTTAGAGGAACTATACTATGGAATACCAAAAATTAATGAAAACGACGAGAATTCAATGAAGAATGCTCTTTTTACAGTGAAGAACATCACATTGAAGATGAATATAAATGTTAATTGTTCTCCAATATCGAGCATGAATTACAAGTTACAAGTTAAAGGGAATTTCCTAAGATTAAGTGACATAGGAATTGCTTTAAGAAAGCATATCTGTCCTGGAAACGTAACATTTGTTGAACTCTTTTCTTTGGACAAAATTATCATTGATAAAGATTTAGTGCTAAATGGTGAAGGCATGAGCATCTACATATTTGCACCAATCACAGAAATTATTTTAAACAGAACGATAGGTACAGATAGTACATCTATCAATTCTTATGATCTGCCTGAAGATTCAAGAAGAACATATTTTGCACTTAGCAAAAAAGTTATTAACCGAAAAGATTTACGATTATCAAGTATTGTTGATAAAATTGATGAAGTTCAATTATCATTTTCTAAAGTTAGGAAAAATATTTCCAATGGAATATCATGCTTTGTTGAAGCTGGTCAAGGAGTTGCAGAAGGTATTCATGTCAGAAATGAATTGAATTCTTCATCTAACTATTCCAAAGTTGATGTACAACTGTTAATAGATAATGATGCGGTAGATAAAATAGATACTTCACTAAACTTTCAAGTTTACAATAAACAATGTTTCAAGAGATCACAAATTTTTGTGGGAATGTCGAAATATATCAGACTCGAAAATTTTGGTGATTCTTTTAGTGAATATAGAAGATTTATTGTCAAAGAAATATTGAAATGTATTTGCAGTACTTACGATCAACTGTACTACGACTTAAACAGTATTAAATTCATTCCACATAAATATAATACTTTTATTTTCATTGATGAATTGACAGAATTTGAAAAGCACTATTCAGCAAAAACAAATAAAACAATAATGTTGAATTTGCTTAAGATGTGGAATAATAAATTTCGTGAACATCTTTTATATCAATTGCAGAGTAAGAATGAAATTCTTCATACAAAAGTACTGTTGAGTTTGGACACGATGGTTTCTAGAAAAATCCAAAAACTAGAAAATAAAGTTTACCCTGATGCCCTTCTGATAATAAAAACCCTTGCGGTGGCGTGCATTCAGGATAGTGAGAAATTAAACGATACAAAGATATTATTTGACATGGATATTATTAATGAGAGGTACACTGCTGAATTCGACGAAGAAATTAAAAACTTAAATGCATTACTTTCAAATCAAAATTATTTGTTTAGGAGAATAAATAATATCACAACCAGAATTCAAGAATTAGTCAAAGGAATTGATAAAATAATAGAAGTAAATAAAATAGAAAATAACAGATTGTTAGGGTTGATAGGCGAACTTAAAAGTCAAGCAGTATTGTTAGCAATACTAGATTTCTTTAAATTTGTTTCTCTAGCACTATCATTCATAAATCCAGTTTGTGCGATAGTTGGCGCTTCATTAAGTAAGGATGTTAACACTTTTAAATCAGAGCCTACAGATGGTTCAAAATACAAAGCAGTGATTACTTCGATGAACCGCAGTTATCAGCACTTACGAGAAATTAACGAGAATGAAGAAGGTAGAGAAACATTCAAACCTAAAAATTATGAAAATAATTATTTTGATCTAGTTAGTATTGTAGAAAAAGTAATAAACAAAGTTCGGGAAATTAAACCTAAAGCAGATGAATTGATAGATAATATTAACAACAGTCTAGAAGAGATAAAGAATTTAAAAAAATATAAAATAGAAATGTATGAAAAATTAGAGCCTTTCGCAGAAGAAATTCATATGAAAGTAATTAATCAGTCTAAGAAATTTCGTAAATTATCAATTCCGTATCTTGATTATGAAAAATGGCGTATGGATGCGTTCTTATTGGATGCTTCAAAGGATTTCGAGGAGTGGACTAGAAAATTCAACGTCGATGAAAGAGTTATAACAAAATTCAAAAAAGCAATGGAAACAACAATTCGTCTTCATACACTCATGAAAGAAATGAATTATAAAATTACTGGTGCGCAATTAATATCCGATCGAGCCAAAATTCCATATCAAATTGATGACATTCGTGATGAGAAACTTGAAAATCGTGTAATACAATTGACGCGTATTATTTACGCAAACGATATAATAGACGAAAACAAAAAATTTTCTCTTATACGTAATCAGTTACTTTTTCCAAGTATTGGAAGAATGAAAGTTGAAAGTATTGTTGACCCACTGGAAAGGGCGAATCTCATTGTTAATATTTATAAACCAATTTGGAAATTTTTAAGAGATGCTAATATCAATAAAATTTATGTACCATTTTACGAGAATAGCTATTGGGCAAATCTTTATTCATTTTACACCTGGAATAACAGCACACACTCCACCGAAATTCAGAAAATTCTTGAGGGCAAAACTGTAAAACTATTCGCAGACATAGTATTGACGCTAAGAATGCTGTGAAATTTCGAGATATAAATATTTTGTTCACTTCATCCAATGCAACTTTAAATGAGGAACTGATAAAAGATTTGTCATTATTTTCTGTCGAACTGATTCACAATGGAGACTCTTATTATAGATGTAATAAAAGTATGCAATTGTTTCAGTCTGATGTTTATAATTTTCAAATTAAATCCTTTACCTATAAGAAAAAACAATTTACTGAACATAAGAGGTTTGACTTTTTTTTAAGCCCTTACGCAACGTGGACTATTCGCCTTTTGGAAAATTTGGGCAAAAGAGATTTTAAACTACTAGCTAAATACGTAGATAAAGTGAATGTGGAATTAGTCGGAAATGGCATATATCAAATGGAATGCAATACAAAGCATTTCAATTTGTAGTAAGAAAAGTTTAACTTGTTGGAAATAAGGTTCTCTGTTTCTAATTTTAAAAATTGTTAAAATGTATTAGCTTGTAATTATTTTACTTAATAAATGATATATTCTTACAATACAATTTAATGGTTTTTAATCATTTATTTCAATACCTGAAAAACCGACGAATTGTCTTAGAAGTAAATTTTTACTTAAATTGATGAAATTTTTTCCATATTTGGATATTTATGTTTACTTGTAATCTCTATGGGATTATCTTTTCTATTTCTTATAGAATATTAATAAATTTTAGTAACTTTTTCGAAGTTACATTATTTTAAGAAAGTTTAATTTTCTAATTCTCGAACTCTTTTTTACGCCTCATATAATTCTATACGATCCTCTAGGGTAGTAATTCATTATAAAAATATTGTAAATATGAAAATGAAAATGTAAATCGTGAAAAACCGACTTCGTGGTTATTAAATTAGATAAGAAACAGAATAAAAGAGCTGTTGCGTCGCAAAATTGTTTCATATTTTTCTAAATAGAAGTGCTGTGCTAGAAAAAAAGAAAAATAATTTCTGCTAATCGTATCCAACATGAAGTTTCGAGAAGAATTATTTCTTTTATTTTTCATCGCGGTACAAGTGCAATGCTCTAATTTGTCCAACGATTTGAGTAGCAGTTCTAATTTGGTGAGTTAATTTAAAAACTAAATATATAAAATAATTCAACATCTACTTTGATATAACCTAGATAGCAAAGGTATCCTGCCCGCCCGGCACGCTTCGTCCACAAAAACTTTTTTTTTCAAAATCGTTTTTTTATAAATTTTTTTTCAAAATCGTTTTTTTATAAATTTTTTTTCATATAAAAGTTTAAAACATATACTTTTAGTAAACAAAGTACGAAAAAATAATTTTTTTATCGAAAATTGTTTTCAATCGTATTAAAATTTTAAAAGTTTTTGTTGAATTGTTTTCAATTGTAAGCTTGCAATTGATATATGAGGCATTGTATTTGAAAACGAGACCCCCCTTGTAACATGGTTGCTACACAACCTGGAAAACCTGTAAAAATTATAAAGACATTCTAATGTATTCATGTTTTTTAGTGCGAAGATTAAAAATTAAAATTTTCATTCGTTAATTTAAAAGAAGCTACATACTGAAATTTTTTTAATAAAATTGAATATTTTCGCAAAGTTTTTTTTAAAAATTCTGAAAAATAAGATTTTTGAAATTTTTAATTCTATTGTTTCAAGATAATTAAATTTTTATAAAGAAATAATTGAAATTTCTTTACATTCTATTAAAAATTATTGAATTCTTTTAAAGAATTTTATTTATATTTTTCGAAAATAATCAAGGTAAGTTTGTCACGGTAATTATAATTTTATTTTTAAAAATTTCTTCGCAATATAGATATTCAATTATTTTTATAAATACTAAAACTTATTGCAGAATTTCAATTATTTTTAATACAATTTTCATCAAATTCCTTGAAAAATGTAATTTTTATTTTTAACAATTATATTAAAATTAGTCGAAAGATTTCAATTATTTCTAGAAACTGTAAGAAAATTCTTCACAAGAATTCAATTATTCTCATAAATTTCCATAAAATTCTAAAAAACAATTCAATTATTTTCAAAAGTTATAAAATTCTTCGTAAAAATTCAATTATTCTCATAAATTTCCATAAAATTCTAAAAAATAATTCAATTATTTTCAAAAGTTATAAAATTCTTCGTAAAAATTTAATTATGTTTAAAAATTTTTTGCAATTCCCTTCAAAATATCAATTACTTTTTATAAATAGTAAAATTCTTTGCAGAAATTCAATTAGTATCAATACATTTTTAAAAAATGGAATTAATCAAATTTTCAATTTATTATTGTTATGAGCAGACAAGATTATTTTAAAAAATTGAAAAAATTCTTTGTATAATTCAATTATTTTCAAAATTTTTAATTAAAATTACTTAAAAAAAATATTATTTTCAACAAATTTAAAGAAACTTGTAAAAAAGAATTTAATTACTTCTGGTTACTGTATTCGATTTCGGTGCGATATAATGTTATATAGATAGGTGTAGGTTCCAATCCCCAAGCGTTAGAAATTTTAAGTTAACCCTTTAACGCCCAAATGTGCTGTTTTCCGACTTGAATTTTAACTTCGTACAACTATTAAAAGAAAGCTAAAAAATTTCAAAAGTACCATTTCCTACTATTTTCGGGGTCGCTCTTTCGAACCCCCTCTTTTAATGAAATTTTTCAAAAAATGCAAGATTTTTGGATGAAATTTTTTTTTATTGCAATTTTTATTGATATATCGGTATCAACATATCGTCTAAGGTACAAAAACCGTATTCCCGATAACTGTACTTTAAAAATATGCAGTAGTTTTTTTTCATTTTTTATTAAAAAATGGCGCCCGAACGCTAAATTCCTTTTTTTATTACACATACAAATTTTTTTTTCTAAATTTGCTTAAATTCGCTTGAAATTTGTTACTCGGGGGTTTATGGGGTCGCTGATTACGAATCTGATGTTAGTTTTGAAAAATTAAAAATGGCGGATTCAATATGGCGGACGATTTTTTAAAATTTTACCAAATTCACCTGAAACTTGTTACTCGAGGGTTTTCAGGGTCGCTGATTACGAATATGATGTTAGTTTTTAAAAAATCCAAAATGGCGGATCCAAAATGGCGACCAATAAAATAAAAATCATTCAGATTGGCTTAAAAATTGGTACTCGGGGGTTTTTGGGGTCGCTGATTACGAATATGATGTTAGTTTTTAAAAATCCAAAATGGCGGATCTAATATGTCGGACAAAAAAAAATAAAAATCATCCGGATTGGCTTGAAAATTGTTATTTGGGTCAATTTTGGAATTTACTTATACTCAATTAATAATAATGTCAAATTTGTAACATTACTTTCATAAAACTTAGTTTAATTACTTATTGAATTTTAAAGTGGGGACCTTTTTTCATCATTAAACTTTGTTTGAGGTTTATCGACCGCATACAGCGGCGTACGCTTGATAGTATATCGATACACTAGCACGTGTATCTTAACACTTTTAAATAATTATTCTAAAATGAAAACTTATACAATAGGTATATATTGTATTGAGGAAGCTAAATGATCATGAAATGATCAACTTGTTTATTTTTTCGGTCGCCATTTTGGATCCGCCATTTTGGATTTTTAAAAACTAACATCATATTCGTAATCAGCGACCCCAAAAACCCCCGAGTACCAATTTTTAAGCCAATCTGAATGAATTTTATTTTATTGGTCGCCATTTTGGATCCGCCATTTTGGATTTTTTTTAAACTAACATCATATTCGTAATCAGCGACCCTAAAAACCCCTGGTGTAACAAATTTCAAGCGAATTTAAGCAAATTTAGAAAAAAAAATTTGTATGTGTAATAAAAAAAAAATTTAGCATTCGGGCGCCATTTTTTAATAAAAAATGAAAAAAAAAACTACTTCATATTTTTAAAGTACAGCTATCGGGAATACGGTTTTTGTACCTTAGACGATATGTAGATACCGATATATCAATGAAAATTGCAATAAAAAACAATTTCATCCAAAAATCTTGCATTTTTTGAAAAATTTCATTAAAAGAAGGGGTTAATTTCATTTTTTTTGGAAATTTTGACAACGCCATTCGAAAGAGCGACCCCAAAAATAGTAGAAAATGGTACTTTTGAAATTTTTTTTAGCTTTCTTTTAATAGTTGTACGAAGTTAAAATTCAAGTCGGAAAACAGCACATTTGGGCGTTAAAGGGTTAATGTAAATAAAATTGCGATAGGTAAATCGAGAAAATATGTTGAATGTACCATAAAGTAATAATAATTAATATGTGTAACTTGTATAATTATTTTTTTTATTAACATTCACTCAATTGTCCGGACTAACTTTTGACTGTTTCGGACTAATTCCGGATTTACTATAGTTAAAATTAACTGATTAATTTCGGACTTTATCGGACCAACTCCGGTTTCAAATTAGGAAACTTGCTGGCAACACTTGCTAGCTCTGGGCTGGCCATAAGCCAGGCATTTTGCTATCTGGAAAGGTTTAAATAGATGTCTGTTTTTTTAGAGTTAATATTAGTTAACTATTAGTTAATTTTTTTTGTACTTTTTCACTTTTAATTTACTTGATACATAAGAGGAATATTACATGTTTTTGTATAGAATGAAGAATGGTTGATAGAAGCAGGTTATTCTAATTTTGTAACTTTGAATGAATTATGTGTGATTTACGAACACTTGGAAGAAATCAATTCGTTTTTAAAGCCAAAATATGAAAAGTTGATTATTGTTATATCGGACAATATAAACGATGCCGTCAGAATGGCTAAATATTTGAGTCGCAATAATTCGGTTCAAATTGAAGGAAATAAAGTTCGTATTCCTTATCCATTGATGAGTGAAATTTTGAACATTCTAAATTTGCTCTACTACAACAAAGAGACTTCTACTTACATCTTCGCTTATCATAGATATAGGGAAAATAAAATATTAGCAAACTATATCGCCAAGAAGATTATTCACTCTGCCGAAAATACCTCTGTTATCCTCACTAGTAAAGGAGAAATAGAGAATGATTATGTTCTCGATCACCTATTTCTGATGTCTTCGAATATTTCATTGCAATATTCACCGATTCTGTTTATTCCATTAAATGTTATTCCACTTGATGAACACAAATGCGCACTCCAATCTATATTTGACAAAATAAAAGTTTACTTCAAGTCCGTATTTAATGATACTCCTGGACTGGCGATCAATGACATAAGAGTGAAGGACATATTTTTAAATTCCTATCAGTCCAACAATAAGATACACAGAAGCAAATGTTCGTTATTTACTTTTTTTGCACCTGGTAGTTACGGAGTATTGTCACAAACGTGCCACAACGATAGAAAAATGGAACTATTCATTAATATTTTCTTTACTTTGGCAATTTTAAATATTCAAACTGAAAATGGAATCATCTCGTGCAATGACAATGAATTATTTAATAGACCTGAAGAAATTATCAAGATTTTAAACCTTTATGGATCGAGAGAATTAAGTGAAGATACAAATTTAAATAACGTTGTAGATCATGTAAAGTGTACTGAAGTACTACTTTCTAATAAGAAACGTAAAAGTTTATTGTTTGATTCGCCATTCTCAAACATGACTACATTATCAGACGTATTTGCCACTGTAGAATTTATAGACGAAAACATGCCTCTATTTGAAGAAAGAGTCTGGAACACAGATTTCGAGGAGAAACAAGATTGGTTTGAAAGATTAAGAGCAATATTCATAAATAGTAATTTCTGGGAAGAAAAAGTAAGATCAGATACATTAACACACATGTACAATTCTATCCCGAAATATGATGAATTTGACGAGGAAGTAATGAAAAAGGCTTTATCTATTGTGAAGAGCAATACAATGGAGAAGAATATACAAGTTAACTATTCTAAAATATCGAGCACGAATTGTAAGCTACAAATTAAAGGAAATTTCTTGAGACTTAGTGACATTAAACCGGCTTTAAAACAGAATAATTGTACAGGAAACGTAACTTTTATTGAACTCTTTTCTTTGGACAAAGTTATCATAATTTATCAGTTCGAGAAAGAATTATTTGGTGAAGGAACGCAAATCAACATACTTGCGCCAATTTGGGAATTCATATCAATCGGAGAGTCAAGTTTTGATGATGCACCTGCAGAAAATGTTCAGGTGAGTAAGATTTTTATAAATTACGTAAAAGTTTATATTCACGTACTTTTGTACGAAGATAGAAACATTTTAATATAGAAAACGGATTTGAATTGTTTAAATCAAAAGTATAATTTACTTCGATCATTGAATTATTTCATGTCTTTAAAAATTTCCACGACTTTTGTTCGTCATCACAATAAATGTTGGCTTCCAAACTTGGACCATTAATGCCATTAATACCATTTCTTTTGTTGCTTAAAATTTTTTTAAAAATCGTTTTTTTGCTCATAATGTCAAATAAATTCAATTAATCTTAAATGAAATAGACAACTTTTTGTGATCGTTATGAGATATTTGAAACCAATATAAAATTTCTTGACACCAAAACTATTTTTTTTCTAAAGTGTCTAGCGAACATTAGAAAATCAGAAATCACCTTAAGATTCATATATGATCATATCATTGAGTATATCTCCGGTTAACCATCTAGCATATAGTGTGTGCCACTTTCAATGAAAACGAGCAAAGACTTTTTAGGACTGTAACCATAGTGCGGAAGAGAACGAATGAAAAGAAAGGAGAGTCGAGAAATCGAAAGGTGAAATGAAAAGGAGATATTTATACTATTTTTTCCCTTTTCATTTTGAAGATTATTTTTCAAAAAAAAAAGAGGATCACTACTATAAATGCAATTTCTATTCTACTCGCATTTATACATACATATGACTTCCATCGAGTATTTTTATTACTCGTACTCTAAATTTCACTTTAAGTTAATTTACTTCATCATAATGTGCTCCACATACCTAAAATTTCCATTTTTCGAATCTTTAAGTAAAATATTTATCATTTTTTGTTCTCCTTCAACATTTTTATACAAAATTAGATATTTGTTATAAATAATTTATTTTTATCTATATTTTAAGCTTTTAAATTGTTCTTTTAATTCTATAATATTAATATAGATTGTTTTTTTAGATTTTATTTTGTTATTCTATATTTCTTATCTTAAGCAATAAAAAATGTAACAAAAAAAAACTATAGATAAACTGAATTTAAAAAGGAAACGATTTGACATTCTTTTTAGAATTTTTTTTGTCTAATTTCTTTTAATGAAAATAATTGTTATTCAATAATTATAATAATTTTCATTGGAAATTTCTAAGATATTACACTATTTTTTTTTTGTTAGCGAGTTCTAATTGTACATTGGGTATCAACAGAGCGTGTCTTCTGACAGCATGTTATTACACACGTTTGTTAACTAAAATCGAGTACGCATAATAAATCCAAACCCAGGGCAATTAAAGATTAGATATTGATTTCTCTTCCCGACGATTAACGGAAAAATCGTACCACACATTTGTTATAAAAGAAAGAGTTTTTTTTAAATTTCAACTCATTTTAATTTTATTATATTACTACTGTATATAAATTGTAGTAAACAATAAAATTTAACATAAATATTATTAATAATAATATTATAATAATACAATAATAATATAATAATAATATAATTTAAGAGTAGTAGTAAAAATAAGAATAATGTCAAATTTGAAAAAATTAACGTTAAAATATAAAAAAAAATCAAGACGAAAATTTTTGGTTACTTAGCGTCAGAAAATGAAATATTTATGATAAATTTAAAATTTCGATGAAAAACACATGATAATAATTTTAAAAGTATTGTGTAATAATAAATATTTTAAAAATGAGTTAACTGTTTTTTTTTAAAGGAGAAAAAATAAAAAAAAAATTATGAAATTGATTTCTCTCGAGTTAGAAATGAACTTTGAAACTGTTTGTATACCTAGTTATTTGCGCTTCTTTGCCGGCGGGCACAGATTGCACTCTATTTGTTAATTGTGAGCGTAATAATGATATTTCACACAGAGTACAGACACTATGAGACTCTATATAGACAAACTAACTTCAACTTTCAACCTTCTCACCGAGATTGGATGCAAAATAAAATATATACTTCTTCAATAGTTAAAAGTTGTATGCACATGGGAATAGGCTTTCTTGACGATTCTCACTATGCAGAATAAATTTTCAAATAATTTTAATATTTTCCGTTTGAAAAAAAAAAAAAAAAAAAAAAAATGTTTTTGAAAAACAGTTTTCTTTCTACTTTTTTATTAATATAAATTCTATGATTTTACTTTTTTTTTAAATTTTTCATTATTTTTTACCAGTGATGGCTTCATATAATATAGATAATTTTTTTTTTTTAAATTCATGAAATTAAAAACATTTTCTTTTTTATGAATATTTTAGAATATGAAAAGGAAAACTGTATATATGAAGAAACAAAAGTGTTAAAGTAAAATGACCACAAAAAGTTACAAAGAAGGAAATGAAGGCACACTTTCTAAATCTAATAATAAGCGCAACTAATGCATTTTTTAAAAAAATATCTATTCTAATCTCAAGTCCGGTTTTTTTATGAACCACTTTTTAATTAATTCAATTAATTTTTTTACCGTTTTGTTTTTTTTTACTTTAATATAGGTACTGAACATTTATTGGCTTAAAAAAAAATTATTTGATTCAAGTAAATATTTATTTGAGAAAAAACAATCAATTTTTTCAGTGATATATAATATGATATGATATAATATAATATAATATAATATAATATAATATAATATAATATAATATAATATAATATAATATAATATAATATAATATGATATAATATGATATAATATAATATAATATAATATAATATAATATAATATAATATAATATAATATAATATAATATAATATAATATAATATAATATAATATAATATAATATAATATAATATAATATAATATAATATAATATAATATAATATAATATAATATAATATAATATAATATAATATAATATAATATAATATAATATAATATAATATAATATAATATAATATAATATAATATAATATAATATAATATAATATAATATAATATAATATAATATAATATAATATAATATAATATAATATAATATAATATAATATAATATAATATAATATAATATAATATAATATAATATAATATAATATAATATAATATAATATAATATAATATAATATAATATAATATAATATAATATAATATAATATAATATAATATAATATAATATAATATGATATAATATAATATAATATAATATAATATAATATGATATAATATAATATAATATAAAATTCTTCATTGAAAGTATAATAATTTTCATTTTTGTTGTGAAAAAATAATTTTTTCTGCTTTTTTTTTGCAAATCGAAAAAAACTCTTACAATCATATTTACGTCATTGTTTCTATATAGAAAAAAGTTACGAGGATAAATTTTTTAATTTCACTGTCTCGCTTATCAAAAATTCCATTCTCGTAAAAAAATGTCAATAAATACGCGGAATTCCATGAATTAATTTATCGATTCTAAGAAAATGGATTCAAACTTTCATGAGAAGTTTGCAAAAAAAAAAATAAAGAAAGGAAGAAAAAAAGAGATGTGAAGATACGAGGAGGAAGAAAAAAGGATATATGTAAAAAGCCGATGGTCGACGTTGGGAATGACCATGATCTTGAGAGATTGGTCAAGAATACCATTCGGCCAATGACCGGTTTTAATGTATTCTCGACCAGCAGTACATTTACATATATCTCTTCACATATACATATTGAACCTTTCACATATTCACAAATATACCGCTTGTGCTTATACATTATATATTATCTATATACGAATGCACCTGGAATGACTTACGATCTTATGCTCACTCGGTTCTTGATATTTAAATATATTGTGCAGTCCGGACATGTTTCCGGATACTTGTAACTTCTATATATATGTAAATTCTAACTCTCATGTCTCGATGAACTGATTTTTCAAATTCAAATGTTTACATTATATGTTGGTTTTGAAATTTATTTTTTTTTAATTTTATACTAATATAAGTGAAGAGTGTTGCACTTGATATTGAAGGCTTTGCACTCATCTACTAAAACCTACTATTTACTACTTTTTTACGTTATAGATACTATTTGGGTACTTTTTTAGATTTCAGCCACTAAGAGCTATTATTTCTGTTTTTTTTTATATTTCCACTACTTTAAATTCGTTAATACTAGAAATAAAAAAACTATTCTCAAAAATTATAATCAAATTCTTTAAAATCATTCAATTATTTTCAAAAAATATTCGAAACTCAATTGTTTTCAAAAAATTATTCGAAATTCAATTATTTTCAATATTTAGTATTTTCATAAAAAGCAATAGGAATTCAATTAAAAAAAAAAAAAATTGATAAAATTCAACCAAAATTCAATTATTTTCATAAATAATAAAATTTCCACAGGAATTCAATTAATTTAGAATAGCATTTTCAAAAACATTTCGAAAAAATTAATTATTTAAAACAATGTTTATAAAATTTATATAAAGAATTCAATTATTTTCAAAAATAACAAAATTTTTCACAGAAATTCAATTCTTTTTGAATATTTTAATAAAATATTTCTCAACAATTCAATTATTTTCATAAATAAATCAAATTCTTCTCAGGAATTTATAATTATTTTTGAAAATTTTAATAAAATTCTTCGCAGGAATTTCATAGTTTTTAAAAAATTTAAATGAAATTCTTTGTAGAAATTCAATTATTGTCACAAATATTGTATTAATATTCTTTGAAGCAATTCAATTATTTTTAGTACAATTTTAATAAAATTCTTTGCAGAAATTCAATTATTATCAAAAATTTTAATAAAATTCTTCTTATAAGAATTAAATTATTTTCCAAAATTTCAGCAGAATTTTTCAAATAAAAATTAAATTATTTTCAAAAGTTTTAACAAAATTCTTAAAATAAAAATACAATTATTTTAAAAAAATTTTTAATAAAATTGATGGTGAAAATTCAATTATTTTCATAAATATAATAAAATTTTTCTAAAGAATTCAATTATTTTCAAAAAATAATAAAATTCATCCCAGGATTTCAATTATTTTTAATACAATTTTACA